TATTCTCATCCTCCATAATGCATATTTCTTCTAATAACTATACAAATAAGTACATGTCAGAAAATTTTTGTCAATATCCATGTACAGCATTTTTTTTTCTGTATGCTATAATACAAATGAACATTCCTTTTAATAAAGTTTTGTTTATGCTATTATTATTATTATTATTCGTTATTTAAAAAATATTGATTTTCTCATCATAATCTAAAAAGTTAACATAAACACTTTTTCTCAAACTGAAAGAAATTTTAATAGTGTGTCACTAAAAATAGAAAAGAAAAACATTCAATTGTAAAGTTTGTAATTGTGTTTGTTAATTGAAATTGTAATAAGTTTTTTTGTCACTTTAGAAAACTAAAAATAACACAGGTTAAATAATTCACGGTTATTTTCATTTAATACCTTAATTTATTTAGTCTTTTTCTAAAAAAAAGAAAAATATTACGCCGCATCATCAATCTTAACCTAGTCACTTAAGATAGCTAAGGAGCGAATAATACAATATAACTTAATCATTTAAAGAAAGCTAAAAAGTAGTTTACCCTTAATTAACTAAATAACACTATGCATGATACGTATTACGCTAATTACAAACTTTTTCTAAAGTAGGTATCTTCTATGGATGAGATTTCAAAGAAGACTAAAACGGATAGGGTTCATCTTCTATTTTACTAATTTCTCATGACTATTTTGATGATTAAAATGATAATTATTGCTTTGAAACTAAACAAAATTCCAAATTGCATAGTAGCTAGCTAAATAAAAGTGGTCTAGAGGACACTTTTATTTATATACATATAATATCAATGTCCCTTTGTTTATCTTTTGCATGTTTATTTTTTGGGTCCCATAATAAAGTTGGCATTGAAAACATTATCTTCGTAGTTTTTCACAATATGCATCAACAACATTCTTAAGCTCCAACCAAACACACGTGATTTGTCTTCACAAATACGAAACCAACTATAATTTAATGAAAACATGAATTTATGTAACATGAGATTTTTCAATAATTTTTATTTTGAGGAACCAATTTCTTACATTTAGAGACAAATCTAGTAATTTACTCTATGGTTTAAGTTTGGGATTTTGGGGAAGGTCTCTCTCCCATGAAATACGGGCCTTAGTCATAGACTTTAGGTTTATTCTTCTTACACCCCTACTTTCTGCCGGCCTACACCCCCTATTTATTTTAAAAGATAATAACACTTTTATTAATCAATTAGTGATCTAGAAGTATATTTTAGAGTATCTTAGATTGAAAAATCTATAAATTTTTTATATTAATAAATTCAAAAATATATATAATTTTTTTAAATTTTGAATTATGAAATCCAAAATATATTCTCACTATTTCAAACTATATTACGTTTAAGGTTGAACTACACGTACCAATATAAATATTCATTCTTATTATTTTTAATAAATTTATTAATCTTTTATTATTAATACCATTATCATCTTAAGATTCTCTCCATCCATAACTTGTTATCTTCTCCCTACAATAAATATAATTAAAAAATAATGGTATAATTAACAAAAAAGTAATTCACACAATCTTAAATTTTGCAAAGGATGTATATTTAGAACAAACTTTTCTTATAAAAATTTCATATATATTTGAAATAGATAGAGTAATTTTACCATTAAAAAAATATTAATATGGAAAGTTGTTGGAAAGCTAATTCCAAAATTGATTTTTTACACGTATGATATAAGTTCCCAATTAATTCTTTTGTAAGTTTTTTGAAAAAATTCTGAAAAGATCAATCTATAATATTTTCAAAAATATTATTTAAAAAAAAATCACAAAAACATAAATCCAAAAAATTATTTTAAAATAAGATCAATATTATCTTTTTAAAATAAGGAAGGATGTGCCGAGATTTTATTTTATCTGAATAAATACTTAAGACTTTTATTTTATTTTATGTTAGCTTGGGCCAAAGCCCAGATATTTGGGCCAACAGTTAATTCGAAAGAGAACTCTGGACAGTTTAGAACTGTGAGTTCAGTTGGGCCCAACGGATCGTGTGTATCAAATTAATTTGTAGATTAAATAAAACAAATAAGCAGGACTGAATTTGTTCCAAACTAATAAATTATGAAAAAAAAGTTTTTTATTATTTCCCATATCATGAGCGAAGAATATTATAAAAACAATGATAAATATTTTCTTGATTTTTAAGATAATAAATAAATTTAAAAAGCATTGACTTATTCCAAGCTAGTTAATTTGTAGGTTGGATCAAACTGCACCCAACATATATTTAGTTTAAAACTTTGAAAATTCAGTGCACGTTTTATTTACTTTGTATTGATTCATCCTTCTGTGAACTTATTTTATCATTGCCGTCACCTTCATCCTTTTATTCAAACTCTCTGAGTTTTTCGTATTAAAAAAACTTATTCAAAGTTCAAACACTAAAGTCTAAGGCATAACAATTTATCTCCCCTTTCATGCCTTTCAAAAAATAAATTATATAACAAATCTCAAAACGTGATAGTTTCCAACGTTCAAGGGTAGATAAATCCAGAATAAATAAAATAAAATAAAATAATGATTTTGGACCATGTCAAAAACTTCTAAATTTTTTTATTTATTTTTTTGTGTATAGATAAAATTGTGTATAACATAACGAAATAGAAAAATAAAATCAGTCAACGATGCTGGGAAGTAACCAAGTTATGGCACCCACATGGAGTGAAGAAAAAATTCTTGCAAATTTAAGTTGACTAATGATAGTTTTTCTGTTGACTATGACCTCCAAAACGTTGACTTTTTCCTACTGTAAGAATTAGTCAAAGTTTAGTTTCCTTCGACTTTAACTCATTTATTAAACATACAACAAAATAAAATGTTTATTAGTTATTTTAAAATATTAATATGTTCCATCATAAAATTTAATGCACTTTTTATATACGGTTTTTACTACTATTTCAGTACTAATCAAAACAAAACATCATCAATGCAAACAAAACTCGAGAGTTTTATGCTCACTGATTCTGAAACCACGTAATTGCAATAATAATAACAAATTATAAATACTAATAACATTACTGTATATTAATGTTAATAAACTTGCAGGAGATTTGGTCAAACTTCGTGGAATGTTATTTTTGTTTATTGGGCTTTATTGGAGTTTTTTATTCCTCATGACTTGGGCCTCTTCAGTGTCATTTAAACCCTTCTCTGGATTATAAATTATTTTTGTTTTTCTTGTAATTTTTTTTTAATATGAAGTTACTACGAATAAATATTTTTTTAAAATATTTTAATATTTCACACAAATACTTGATTAAGACATTGCTTTAAAAAGATGACATGATCAATAAATTGCTACTTTCTACTTCCCAGCAATATTGAACAACTTGAAAGGTAATAATTTATAATTTAAATACCCTTTTAGTATCTTCAATTTGAAGAAAGATACAATTTTATTCCTTTTTTTTTATAGGTTTGGATTTTAAAATAATTTTTTTTTTGTTCAAATGTCATGGGAATGGATATTTAAGGTAAAAATATATAAACAAAATTTAATGGGATAGATAATGGGACAGTGATTTGTTGTGAAGATAATTCATACATAAAATAACAAGTATTGTTGTAACTCAATAATTAGAATTTTAGTGAGTTTAGTTATTAACTCGATAAATTTAAAAATATATAATTTTTTTTGTAAAAACATAAAATTAAATGTAAATTATTGTACACAATTACTTGCAAATCATTAGTCATGTCAATTTTTTTAATAATGTTGACAGTTTAAAAAAATTATATCGATTAAAATTTGTTTTAAGTTTTTTAAAAAATAAATTTGTTTAAATTTTAAACTTCGGCAATCACTATAATAATAATATATTGATAAAATAAGAAAAAATCCGTGTAAATTTATCTAATATTTGTGAAAATAATTTAATTAACATTATTGTATTTTAATAATGACAATAATAACTAAAATATGAAACTGTATACATTTAAATTTAATTAATAAAACTAAATTTAATGATATTTTATATTTTGTATCACGTGAAATTAAATATAGATCACAGAAGATAAAATATATAAAATTATATTGTTTTCAATAAATTTATGAAGTTTGCCTCTTTTAATTTTTTTTATTTCCAAATTTTATAATTATTATTCAAGTTTTAGTTAATATAAAAATTAGAATAAAATAAAATAAAAATTATTTTATTAAAAATATAAGTGATATAAATGATAAAATATGTAAATATTATTGATTAAAGGTATAAAATATTTTAAATTAAAATAAATAAAAGTGTTATTTAGAAAGGTAGGAGAAATATTTTGCTATCAACCAAATGGATTTTATAGCATCAACAACTACCAATCAATAAAACAATTCTTTACCAAAAGTTGGAAGAAATGACAAGTTAACATAATATTAGATTCTCATAATTTATTTTGATAAATTAAGAATAATAATAAATAAGTAATAGTTGTTTGAAAAAGATAAGTATGAAAAACTTAATCTCATCTTATTATACATGATTTTCTTATAATATAATAAAGGAAAATAATACTTTGACAAATAATACTTTGACAACTCAAATCCATACAACTCCGTATACAACTCTCTTTTAATATTATAATAATAGTTTTAATTTATTTTTATTTTTATTAAATCATTCAATAGATTATTATATTAATAAATGTGAGTTGTTTGAAGAGTTGTATGATTTGTGGTTGTCAAAATATCACCACCCTATAATAAATAAGAGGAGTCATATATATATATATATATATATATATATATATATATATATTTGTTATATTAAAAAAATTAATCTGAAATTCTTTCTGATTCTTTATAGTAATAAATATTAAAGTACATTTTTAACGATTTGACTAAATTTATTTGAGTGAAAAGCGAAATCCAAATAAAATTGTGTTGGTTTTGTGAGTTTGAGGAACCTACATTTTCTCCACTCTCAGTGGAAGAAGCTTCCAATGCTAGCTGTAGCACGTTTGCAAAATGCACACCCTATATGACCATCGACAACACCGTCACACATTTTCTCTCTTAAATAACACAAACAACACTACACAATCTTTGTCTCACTCTTCATTTCACAAAATGAAGAAACACCAACACGCAACCCTGTTCCTCCTCTTCCTCGCGTCGATTCCAATCGCCGTCGCGCAGCCCCAGCCCAATGACTACATCGACCCAAAACTCACCCGGTTCAACCCCTCTCTCGCCGTGATCATCATCATACTAGTGGCGGCGCTTTTTGTCATGGCCATTTTCTCCATCTACGTAAGACGCTGCGCCGATACGCCTCCCAACAGCGTTAGGCCTCTCACGACCGCACGCTCCAGGAGAGCGGCGCGTGGCCTTGATCCCGCCGTCATCCAAACCTTCCCCATCCTCGAATACTCCGAGGTTAAGATCCACAAGGTCGGAAAAGAAACCTTGGAATGCGCGGTGTGTTTGTGCGAATTTGACGACGCCGAAACGCTGCGTCTCATCCCCAAGTGCGACCACGTTTTCCACCCCGAGTGCATAGACGAGTGGTTGAGCTCCCACACCACGTGTCCCGTGTGCCGCGCCAACCTCGTGCCAACAGAGTCCCAGGATTCTGACGCCAATAACGCTAACGGTGTTGGTGATGGTGTTGTTCCCGTTCCGTTAACCCCAGACGTTGAAGCCCAAAACGACGTCGTGGAAGCCGCGTCAGAGCAGCAAAACGCGTACTCTGACTGTGTCTTAACCGAACCGGAAGTTGTTCCTCTGGACAAAACGCTGAACCGGAACCGCACGCGCGGATCGCGGTCGAACCGACAGCGCCGGTTCTCGAAGTCGCACTCGACCGGACACTCGATCGTCCAACCAGGCGAAAACACTGACCGGTTCACTCTGAGACTCCCTTTGGAGGTTCGCAAGCAACTAATAAACCGGCAATTGCATCGTGCGAGTAGCTTGATCGTGTTACCGAGGGAAGGTAGTTCGAGGCAGGGTTACCGAACCGGAGGAGAAGGGAGTAGTAGGGGGAAATATTTGAGGCGGTTGGACCGGAGTTTAAAATCGGACCGGTGGATTTTCTCCAGAGCTGCTCCGTTTTTCGCGAGGGCGCTATCTTTAAGGTCCCCGAGGGTGCGTAATAACGACGTTGAAGGAACGTCGTCGTCTTCCACAGCACCGATCATGCCGCCTACGGCCGTTGACTCTGCTAGGCCACCGGTTTAACCGGAGGAGTTTGACCTACTCCACTTGTCGATGTAATCATTTTCTTTTTCTTTTTTTCCTTTTCTTGCGGGGCAAGGATTTTTTGTAAAGGGGTGTGTGTAATTAATAAGTTATAAAATTATTTTCTTGAGTTTAGATTTTATAGAATACATGGTGCAAAAAATTTTGAGTATTGATTGTTTTAAGAAATCTTAATGATATTTTTTTTAGGTTAATATAATTTTTTATTGTATTAATTTTGGTTTCACAACAAATAAGCCAACAAGTGGTTATATTCTTAAAGAAAATGATACTTTCATAATCTAACTTCATATAATTCTTATAAATAATTTTCTTTTAATATTATAATATTAAAATAGTTTTAATTTATTTTTATTAAATTATTCGATAAATTATTATATTAATAAAAATAAATTATGCTATCATATTAATAAAAATAAATTATTTACAAAATTGTATGGTTTTTAATTATCAAAATATCACCATTTTATTTTTAAATTAAATTAGCAAATTTGATTAGTTAAAGGATAACATATTCCACTTGTCCTCACAGTTGCCTTTTGTGAGTTGGCGAAAAAGTGTTGTATTCAATTATCCAATTGTTCTTCACAAACGCGTTGATTCTTGTAGCCAAATAATACAATTTTTTTGTTGTTGTCTAAATAAAAGTACTTTATGCGAAGGACATAAAAAAATAATATTCGAATAATTTAATGTATTCTTTGTCTAAGAGAATCAAATTCCTTTTATTTTGTGCTCTAAATTCAACTATGGCAATTGCATGTCACTTTCCTTCCTTATTCCTTGATCTTCAGTTTTTTGTTTGGAAGAAAAACAATAGTAGCTTCTTTTTTAAAAAAACATGTTCCCCTCTTGTTTTTTTTTTCATGGATTCCCTCGTAAATAAAAAACAAAACAAAACATGTTTTGTTTTTTAAATGTGAACTTAGTAAAAGGGAGGGTGGAAATAGAAAAGCCCATCATAGTTAACATTACATCTAATCTAAACTTTTAAGATATTAATTATGTGGATCTTTCTCATTTAGAAGACTTTATTTTCATCCTTCAAAACTTGAGATCTTTCATCCCAAACACACAAAGATTAGAAGAAAAAAAAAAGAGTTTTTGTATTTTCTCATTTGGATGCTAGTTTAGTAGTTTCCCGTTGGGTATCAATGCAACATGTTCAAGATTGGGAACTGAAGATGCCTCTTCCAATTGCTGTACTACAAAAGTACAAATCATCATATGCCAGCCACTTATACGTACCATCCTACCCAATACAAATATATATTTTTTATTGTTGTTTGTACACTAAAAAAAGTACACTTCATTCTTTTACTAATATTTCAAGTGTAATAACAATAATAATAATAATAATAAATATTCCATATATGATTATGTGAACATAGTAACATTTGTGGATATAAGTTGATCCTTAATTGATATTTTCATTTTTTTTAAATTAGTTCCACAACTTCTATATGTAAGTATTCTATTGGGTTTAAGTAAGACATTATCAATTTTTAATTTAATTTATATTATATTTACATTTATGCTATTGTTTTTAAGTATAAAATATTAAAACATATATTATAATTTAAGTTCATATCTCCTTGATTTTATATTATCTAATTTGAAGAATCTCAATAATGAAGAAAGAGGAAAACAGTTATAGAGTCTGTGATTGTGTCTAGTTGTAACATGTAGTTCAATTTGTTTACACCATGCTCACATTTTTGTGTGTGGGTTTTGGTGTGAGTTCGTAGGTAGCTTCGGTGTGTTCCCTGCACCACATTGATTGGTCCAAAGTGTTTCTAAACTATTAAAACTTATAAAGGGAAATAATCCTTTGATTACTAAAATGGATCTAAGTTGGTAATTTGTGAGCATGTTTCATTATTAACATTTTAGGATATAGACTATTTAAAGCAAAATGGATCAATTTTTAGGGTTTTATGTTTCAATAATAAAGTATTGAACATTCATTGTTTTGTTTAATGCAGGATTGAGACGGAAGCTTCGGACACCGCCTTGTACGTGACAGACAACTCATTGTTTGTTGTTTGTTTATTGCATCCTCTGCAACCGCCTTCTATTGTCTATAAATACAGGAACGTGTCTTCTGTACGCGTCACTGCTTTCACACTTTATGGAAACTTGAGCAACTTAACTCAACACTTCTAATATCTTCTTCAACATTCTTCTTCTTCTGCACACAACTCATATCTACTTTCTCCCTTTTCTTCTTTTCTCTGCTCTCTAACTTCTGTAAAGGATGAGTAAACATGACTTGCTCAAAATTCAGGTACGCTACACACTTCGTACTATGGTACTGTTGTTGCTGTTAATTCATTCAATGGTTGCACTTATGTTTCTGTTCTGTGCTTATGTGTTTGGTTTTTGGGTTCATGAAACGTTAATTCTGAGTAAGCTCGTTGATTTTGCTGTCCTTGGTGTCCTTGTAGACCTGTGTTCTCAAGGTTAATATCGACTGCGATGGCTGTGCACAGAAAGTAAAGAAGCTTCTGCAGAAAATCGATGGTACATTGTTCTTAGGATACCCCTCTTGTTTTCTTTTTCTTATTTCAATTTTTCTTTTCATGTTAATGTGTTTCATCATGGCAATTAATTAACAAGCCTCACTTTTTGTGCTTGCAACTCTTTTTAATTATATATGCATTCGAGTCTTCAACTTTACTTTGTTGTATATACTATTCCAATTTTGTAAATTTGTTTTTGTTGTTGTTTGTGTGCAGGTGTGTATTCTGTGAAAATAGATGCAGATGAAGGGAAAGTGGTAGTGGCAGGCGATGTGGATCCAGCGAAACTAGTAAAAAAGCTGAAGATGGGAGGGAAGCATGCTGAGATATGGGGTGGCCAGAAAGGAATGATGTACAATCAGAACTATCCGATCAACCCCAAGTTCCAGAACATGCAAGTTGATAACAACAAAGGGGGGAAAGACAATAAGTCTCAAAATCAAAAGGGTCAGAAAGGTGGTGGTGGTGGTGGCGGTGGCGGTGGAGGTCAAGGTCAAGTTGGTCAAATAGCACACTTCCCAAATATGAAAGGGGTTCAGGATCTTAAGGTACCTGTCAAGGAACAAAAATCTGTCAAATTCAACTTACCAGAGGAGGATTTTGATGGCAGCGATGATGGTTTTGATGAATATGAGGACAGTTTTGATGACTATGATCATGAAGAGGAAGAGGAAGGGTTAGGCCGTGTGCATGGCCATCCAATGTATCACAGCAAGATGATGCCAAAGATGGGGGATGGGCGTGGGCCTCATGGGCCTGCTGGTGTGATGAATGGCCATAAAGGCCATGTTGGTGGGAGTAGGAATGATAATGGAAGTGCCAAGAAAGGTGACCTCATAGATCAAACAACGCTAACGAAGGGCAAAGGTGGAAATTACAGTGAAGCCAAAGATGACAATAATGAGGGAAAGAAAAGTAGCCAAAAAGGTGAAATCAAGAAGGGGGATAAGTCTAAGGGAGATTTTATTAAGAAAAAGGATGCCAAAAGTGATGGGGGATTGCTAGGTCGGTTTCTAGGCTTTGGGAAAAAGAGCAAGAAGGTGGAATTAAAAGAAGCAACTTATACCAACAAGAGCAAGAACCAAAACAATGAAAGTGGAAATAAGAAAGACAAGGAAGGGAAATTGGAGGACCATAGTAATATTAAAAATGATTTTGATTTTGATGATTATGACAAGACCCCTCTCCTTCACAAAAATGGCAAAGTAGGCCAGATGGGCCCAAGCCCAAAAGTGGGAAATTACCCAATGGCCCATCAGGCAGTGCAAGGTGATGGTGGGTATTATCAAGGGATGCAAATGCAAGGTGTTCCATATAATCACCTTCAGCAACAGCAGTACATGGGTATGATGATGAACCAACATCAGCATCAACATCAACGACATGAAGCAAGTATGAACAGCAACAACCTGTATCCAACAAACATGATGATGTATGGCAGGCCACATCCATCTATGAACTACATGGCACCACCTCCTATGCCATCTCATCCAATGACTGATCCTATTACTCATACTTTCAGTGATGAAAATGTTGAGAGCTGCATTGTCATGTAGTGTTATTACTAGTCATAAGTTTTCAAGAATATGTTTAAATGTGTACCAATGTTTATAATGTTTGTTCAGTCTGCGAAGAAGTTTTTAGATAAAGACAATAATTTATTGTGTTGTGTTTTTTGAATGAGAAAGTTAAACAGTTGTCCTATTTTGGAACACTAATAATGAGAGGGAGTGAGAGTGTGTCACAGCCAAGCACCGACAATGTGTCACATGACTTTGCTAAAGTTGTATTTACAAGACACAACATTGAATACTTCGAAACGGAAAAAATACCCCACTCAGCAAGTGTTTGTTTCTAGTATGTGGTTTGGAACTTTCTTTCTATTTTCATCCTTTAATCAAAGGTCATAGGATTGGTTTTCTTAGAAATGAAGTTACAGCATCTCAAACTATTGTACTCTCTAGTGACCATAAATACAATATTATTTCAAGTATAAGATCAATGCAATTTTTAACTTTATATATATATATATATATATATATATATATATATATATATATAATAATAATGATTTTAGACATGATTGATCACAAAGCATACCACAATGGGGAAAGTCAATAATTATATGGATCGCATAAAGTATGATTTTAGGGTTAAAGAAAAAAAAATGAAAGGAAAAAGAAAGACAATGATTTTCTTAAGTCCCCCTTCAGTTTCTTTGATATATAGTTTAAAGTTTTGTCAATAAAAAATAATTAAGTGATCATGAAAAGATACTACTTTTTACAGACATAAACCACATAGTCAAAAATTGATTCTTGTAAACATTAATTAAATATATTATATTAGAGAGTTAATAAAAATTCATTTTTTTATTAATTCTGTCATAAAAATACCTATAGAGAAATTTATTTAAATATTAAGTAAAGAGTTTCTCTCCATCTATTTTTCCTCTTAATTCCTCTCTTCATAATAAGTGTTTATATGTTTTATGAAATTTAGAGGGATGATTGTTTGTATTTCTTATATAAGTTTATTCTATATATTATTAAATATCGATAAAATTTAAAGATGAAAAAATATTTAATAACTATATTAGTCAAGTTAAAAGTCATTTTAATTAAATTAGTTTCTAAATGACAATTTAAATTGATCTTTACCTCAACAAAGAAAGCTTTAATTGTTAATTAAAATTTATACTCTAGATTATTAAATTATCGTTTAATTTTTAATTAATAATTAAAACTTTGGTAATTGAAATTATATACCAATTTAATTTATAATTTTAAAATCAATTTCTAGAAAATAGTTTTTAATCCAGTCAATATAACGATTAATTTTTTATTTAAATTAATTTGTATTTAATAAATTTTTTTATTACATGTAGTTGTAGATTAAAATAACTAAATTTGAGATTTGACGTAAATTTTAAGAAATTTTTAATTTGACTTTGCTATTTTGTGCTAAAGAGTTATTTTATAACAAAAATCAAAATGAAATATTCAAATAAGTGAATGATGGAAATCATTTAAGTAATTGAGAGGATTATTATATCATTAACTCAATTGTTAAAAGTTGTGAGAGAGATATATATTGATTTGTTAAATAATGATTGCCATTTATAATTTTTCTATAAAATATACAATTATCAATATTTTTAAAAAATGGAAATCAGAATAAAATGAAACTACAAATTAAATTTAAAATGTTTAAAAACTTAAAAACAATTGAGAGCACGACTAAATTTTAATGTTGTCGGTTGGTTATGTATGATTGATTTTTTACACAATCATAATATGAGGAGATCCGTGAAGGATGTCAGAGTGCAGAACCGAACACTTTGCATATACCATCAATGTGGTGGACAGAGACTTTTCATTAAACGAATCCAGTGCAGCAAAATCTGGACAATGTTTTTAGAACAGAGCTGAATTAGTTAAGTTACATCAATTCATACAAGTTATAGCTATGTTCATATAAACAATATCATTACAGTATTTGCTAGCATGAGTAAATTTTGTAACACGAACATTCCTTTAAACAATAAGCAACTATGTATGTTGAGAACTGTTACGGGACAGAATGAAATATGAAAGTCTGACATGAAGATCCTTTGAAAAATCTCATTAAATAGTAGCATGTTGAGATATTAATGTAGTAAATTGATTACCAAGGCAAAAATCCAAGCTAAGCTAAGTAGTCACCACAATAATATTGCAGCACCAACTCCATACGACTCTTCTGCAGATTGCATATTGCAGGTTGCAGACTGCATGCATGCAATGCAACTAAGCATTCTTCTCGGCTGCCAAGTACCCCCTCACTCATCAACCCTTTGTTTTTTCTTACCAATACAGTTAATTCTACTTTACCCTGTGGCTTCTTCTGGAAATTGACATCACACAAATCCAATGTAATGAGCTGGCTTTGTCATCAACACGGCCAAAAGAAAAAAGAATCTACCTGCCGTTGCGTTTTTCCCTTAGTCACCTCCACCCTAAAGGTTATGGTCCTTTCTCTTTAAATTCTAGCCCACTTACACATTAACATTACTATCTATTGCTCAAACCTTATTGTTCTCTATACAGGGTACGAGTATAATGGCTTCTATTCTTCACTTTCTAGCCATATCTATTTCTTGCTCTTTTCTTTTCTTCTTATGTGAGTCTAATTCCTCTACATATCCATCATTCCTACTTGTTCTACCAGCTCAAAAAGATGCTTCCACTGGTCTCCATTGGACCAACCTCCACAAAAGGACCCCTCTAATGCAAGTACCCGTCCTACTGGACCTCAATGGAAACCATTTGTGGGTCAACTGTGAGCAACAGTACTTATCCAAAACCTACCAAGCACCCTTCTGCCACTCCGCACAGTGCTCCAGAGCTAACACTCACCAGTGCCTCAGTTGCCCCGCGGCACCAAGGCCAGGGTGCCACAGAAACACATGTGGCCTCATGTCCACCAACCCTGTCACCCAACAAAACGGTTTGGGTGAACTAGGCCAAGACGTGCTTGCAATCCACTTCACTATAGGAAACCAACTTGGTCCACTGTTCACCATCCCTCAGTTCCTCTTCTCTTGTGCACCTTCCTTCCTTGTCCAAAAGGGTCTTCCCAAAAACATCCAAGGAGTCGCTGGGTTAGGTCATTCACCTATTTCTCTTCCAAACCAACTTTTTTCCCACTTTGGCCTACAACACCAATTCACCACGTGTCTCTCTCGCTCGGCTTCTAAGGGTGCTATCCTCTTCGGAGATGCGCCAAACAACTTGAATCATGCCCAAGATATTTTCCACGATTTGGTTTACACCCCATTAACCATCACCCCACAAGGAGAGTACAATGTGAGAGTCGTCTCCATAAGAATTAATCAGCACGACCTGGCCCCAGTGAACAAGATATCATCAACCATAGTAGGACACTCTGGAGGAACCATGATTAGCACCTCAACTCCTCATATGATTCTGCAGCAATCTTACTATCAGTCTTTCATTCAAGGGTTTGCTCAGCTGCTTCCAAAGCAGGCTCAGGTAAAATCTGTGGCACAATTTGAGTTGTGTTTTGATTCAAAAAAGATCAAATCATATCCTAGCGTGGACCTTGTGATGGACAAGCCTAATGGTCCGGTTTGGAGAATCGCTGGTGAGGACTTGACGGTGCAGGTACAACCTGGGGTGGCGTGTTTGGCCGTTGTGAATGGTGGAATGCAACCTAGTGCTGAAATCATCTTAGGAACGCACCAATTGGAAGAGAAGCTGGTGGTGTTTGATCTTGCACAGTCAAGAGTTGGGTTTAGCACTTCCCCACTGAGCTCCCATGGGGTGAAATGTGCTGATCTCTTCAACTTTGTGAATGCATGAGAGAATTATTACATATGCTTATTTATAGAAAAGTAAGCATTAATAAATTCCTCTCTGAGAATAAAGACTTTTAATCAAAATAAGATAAGTTTCTGGTTTATACTATCTACAACGAAACTATTTACATTTCAACAACAGCGACAATATTGTTACAGAAAAGGAAAAGGAGACAAAACTTTGATCGGTATTTTACATCTGGTTAAGAATATGGTCTGTCCTTTAACTTATTTAAATCTCATGACATCGATTGCATTGAAATTCAATTGTGCGAAAAAAAATCGAAGGATAAAAATCACTTTTTTTTTTTTTTTCTTTTACAAATAAGGATGCAAAATGTATTATTAGCACTATTTCTTTGATTTTAACAAGTGTGGTCAGAGATCAAGAAAAAAATACAAATAAATAAATACTGAAAACCATAAAGAATAATAATTGTACACTACATTTCACGCCACCTCTGACCCCGACAAAGGCAGCGGCGGAGCTCCACCGCGCGTGCCGGAGGATCTTCTTGAAGCCGTACGGTTTGATTGAAATCCGGCGAGCCCGCACCAACAGTGTTACTCCTGAGTTAGATAGGATGGAATGCCGATGTGGAACTTTTTCATGACGTGGCAATGTATGATTGGTGGGAGAGAAGATTTGCATGCGTGTTTCTATGGAGTGAGTGAGTGCGTGTTGGATCCAATGAGAGAGCAGCAAAACAAACGCACCAAAACGTTTCCCTTGTATGCTTAATACAGTCAACTAGTCTACCCTCTCTCTCTCTCTCTCTCACTTCGTTTGATCGAACACACAGAGCGCAGTCGAAGAAGAAGAAACCCTTAAGATGCATTCATTCGGGTACAGAGCCAACGCGTTGCTAACCTTTGCCGTAACCATTCTGGCTCTTATGTGCGCCATGGCCTCTTTATCCGACAACTTCAACTCCCCCACTCCCTCTGCGCTAGTCCAGGTCCCTCTTCTCTCTCTCTAATTCCACTTTTACGGATCCGCAATTCGCCAATTCTTTCACCCCTTTTTTACTCGTTATGTGTGCTTTTGTTTCCGGATGCAGGTGCTCAACATTAACTGGTTTCAGAAACAGCCCAACGGCAATGACGAGGTAATTCATCTTTTTTTTTTTTTTTTTACTAATCAAAACAACATCCTTGTTGGTGGGTGGGTCTTGTAGGGCTTTCTTCTCTGGAATCTCTTTCAGATTTAGGATCGTGTTTAAACGTTACAATTTTTTGTTGTTTTCATTTATACTTTGGATTGCGATGAACTGGAAATTGTTCCATTGTTTTAAAAGTTTATTTAGGGTGATTGCTGATTTCTAATTGATCCCCAAGTAGAAACCCTAAAATTCTTTACACTTCACATTATGTCAAAATTAAACTCATAATTTTGCAGTATATGATAGTTATTCTTTTAATCTTTCAGCGATTGCGAACTCCGTAAAAAAAATGTTGCTTGGACAGTTTATTCTGCAATTTTAGGTTTATGGTTCTCGTCTCAGAAACAAACAACTTAGTTGTTGCAAATTCTATAGGATTTTGGAGGAGGAAAAAAGTCGATTAACCTAGGCTTTAATGCTTAAACATGACTAGTTTATATGATCCTTGGTTGCGGCTTGCAAGAAAACACGGTTGAAACATAGCATACAGGATACTTTTTATTGGTAGATTGTTATGTCACGTAGGAAGAGAGAGTCCGAACAATCAAACATAAATGACACGAAAGAGAAGTAGTAAATTAATTCCACAGGTCCTAGGTGCTTAGTATTTGTTAATGCGCATGATTGAGCACATGAAGCTCCGACTGTACTTGCGAAAAATTTAAATTTTACACTTGACTTGTTTAAAAATATGAACTTTGTGTCTTTTTTTTTTTTTTCTAGTTTTATTTTGTTTAGACTGAATGGTTGCTTCCCTTTATCAGATCTATTCACAATGTATTTTGAAGTTTATTAATTTACTATTTAGTAGACATTTTCATGTTATATGATGAAGTATAAAGATAAGTTAAAAAGAGTAAAAGAATATACTGACCTAATTATAGTTGTTTAGATAGAATTACGAAATTCTAATATAGCTACTCAAATAGCTTGATCTTGGGTCGTTTATATTATTGAATCTAAAGCTAATCTTGAGCTTGTTTTTAGTATAACAAACAATAGGGTTAAGTTTGAGCTTTATCATGTTTAACAGATCAAGCTCAAACAGATAACACATATCTTACATTCCTAAGGATGCTGGTTACCGTTCCAAGTTCCAAGACTGTCAACCATACATGAACAATAATTTTACAGATTATTCTGAGATTGTTAAAGGCATTCAAGGTGTTATTATATTGTGCTATTTTAAACCAGCTTAGCATGGTCAAGTTTATAATTCTATTGTTCTATTTGCTTAGAAGAAGATATAGTTTTAAATATTCATATACTGTATTCATGTTTCATGCTCATATTTCTCTGCTCGTGCTCTGAAGCTGCATAAAATATTATGACGTCAATATCATATTTTGTCGAAATACAGCTTGTTGTAATCCTTTTCTCTGATAGTTAAATGTCATCTTTATTCATTATTTAATCTGAAGTGGAAGCGTTTCTATTCCTGTAGGTCAGCATGACACTGAATATATCTGCAGATTTGCAGTCCCTTTTCACGTGGAACACAAAACAGGTTCTTATCTTTAATTTGGAATTTTCATTATAATCTTTTTTGTCTTTTCTTAAAATTATGGATGCCCTTGGCAGGACAGGGAAGAATGAAATAATTGCTTTTGGAGACAATATAATTTTTTCATGAAAATGATCATAAACAAGTGTGTGTTTGTTTGCTCTTCTATCTCTCCCATGATAATGCGTGCCTTAATGTTTGAATTGCCTTACCTATTGTTATATCTTTTTTCATTTGCGATATATTTATTTGTATCTTAGTGTTTTGGATTGCCTTGCGTATTGTTCTATCTTTTTTTCATTTTCGATATATTTATTTACATCATGTTGGAGCTGCTTAATGACATACCCATGAGATCCATATTTCCGATAAATTATTCTAAATAAATGATGTCAAAGCTAGAAATTTCAGTGCTTTCCAGTGATTTAGTTTTGTGTTATTTTTGTATGGTTGCAGGTTTTTGTTTTTCTAGCTGCTGAGTATGAAACACCGAAAAATTCCTTGAATCAGGTAATGAATCGTATAGCTTGTTTACGTCTAAATTTGAAATATAATCATGTAAATTTTAAATTTGCTAGCATCTCTGCCAATCTTTTGTATGTGTTGTGTCATGTATGTTGCTTAGGTTCTTGAAATGTCATGTTACAGATATCCCTGTGGATTGGTGTCTTTTTTTTATTATTATTTAAAGTTAACATGACCTCGTTATGAACTAAGGAATCCTAACTAGATTATCATTCCGTATCTCACCAATCATGTGTCCATGTTAAACATGTTATAAAAAGAAAATAAAACAGAAAATACAGTCATGGAGGACCCAACCAAGACCCCGTGAGAAGATTAAACAAAAACCTAAACTCAGGCATATTAATTAAACCTATTCCTAAAGAAAAAACAAGGTGAGCAAGAAGGCAAAGAACCAAGCCAACAAAAATTTACTTGCCTAACAAACCCAAGAGTAAAGATCCTATCCCTACATAGATTGCCCTCACTAAAAATGAGACTCTGAAAAATATAGTTACAAATTTCTAAACACATCTTCCAACGACAACGTAGATGTCAAGGATAAAATAGTTTCTAAAAAGTCTCTACCACCAACCTGGAGTATTCTTCCGCTCTATTTGTGAAGCTTGTTCAATAGCTATCATAGCTGCCATTATCTCTGCATGAAAACCATTAGATATCTCAAGAAAAGAGGAAAAACCATCCATGAATTCGCTTTACTCCCACGGAAAAATACCCCCACAAGAAGCATAGCCAGGACAACCCCCAGTTGCACAATCTGTATTACATTTTACCTGTCCAGTTAGACATCCGATAAAATTGGAACGGTACATAGATGATAAGCATGGTCCCTGTGCAAGGATGACACACAAATCGAGAAATGGGTTGGTGTTATTCACTCTAAAGTACAGGGGAAGTTTTGGACTCATACATAAAATAGCTGTTCTGTTTTACCGATAAATATTTTGGCGTCGGAGTTTGTATATACTATTCATATCATCCAAATACATTTCGCTTTGCATATTATGCCGCATCTTCCATCCTGGTATCTGCTTTGTCATGTATGTTGCTAAGGTTCTTGAGATGCCATTTTACAGATCTCTCTCTGGGATGGTATCATTCCGTCTAAAGAGCATGCGAAGTTTTGGATTCACACATCAAATAAGTACCGGTTCATTGACCAGGTATACAACTCTCGAAGGATATTTTGACTAATATGATTTGCATCAGATTTATAAAGTCTTATTTTTCTATTATTTGATGTTCAGGGAAGCAATTTGCGTGGCAAAGAATATAACCTTACCATGCATTGGCATGTTATGCCGAAGACTGGCAAAATGTTTGCAGATAAAATAGTCATGCCGGGTTACCGATTGCCTGTGGAGTATAGATGATGATGCCTTGTCATTAATTTTTTGTTGTAACGTTAACCTCTTTTTATAACGGATATAGAAGATTTGTTCAAAGAACTAGAATGAGGAAGGAAATTTGTGTTTTGGAAAGTGAAATCAATAGCGCTTGAACATCCGAAGTTTGCTTGTGGTCTTCATTTGTCTCTTGCATTCGTCTGAACTATTTAAACTCCTCCAGGAAAATAAAAATAAAAATACAGTACCTCAATGAACCCTTTAACTGCTGAAACTACTAAGGCTTGTTATTCATTTTTGTGGTAATTAAAAGTGACGTCTTCAGTACCAAAAACTTGTGTTGGAAGAATGTCAAAGCATGTTCAATCAGAAAATAAAATAAAAAATAATTATTTCAATATTATTTAGATTATTTTCCTTAAAATAAATAAAGTAAAATATTTATTATTGTATTTTGAAATAATATTAGTATGTATTTCGAAAGGAAGTGAGTGATATTAGAAAGGAAATATTGCGAGAAAGGAGATGGTATGCTGAGTTAGATAGAGATCTGAGAGTGTGTAGTAGTGGGTATTGTCAAAGCAAGAAACGCGGAGAGGGTGGGCCCCAGCAATGGAGAGGCGAGGGGGATGATTGAGATGAGATGGCGGAAGAGCAGAGAAGGAAAGCAGTGGAGGAATGGCAGTGGCATGGTTGAAATTGAAACGAAAAGCCTCTTCAATTCCAATAATCCTCATCACAACCCTCGTTCTGGTCTTCTTCTCTGTAAACCCTCCTTCTCCCATTGCCACACCACGCAGGTCACTCCTCCTCGCTCCCTCACCCTGCTCCGCCAATTCCAATGGACTCCTCAATTACCACTGCCTCTTCCCCCAACACTCCTCTCTCTCCATCCCCTCCCTCTCCCTTTTCCTCCTCCTCCACTTCTACATCCTCATCACCACCGCCCAGCACCATTTCTCTATTGTCACCACCAAACTCGCCTCCCATCTTAGCCTCTCTCCCAGCATGGCCGCCGTCACCCTCCTCTCCCTCGGCAACGGCGCCCCCGACGTCTTTGCCTCCCTCGCCGCCCTCCGCGCCGGCCAGTACCGCACCGGATTCGGCGCTATCCTCTCCGCCGGCACTTTCGTTTCCGCCCTCGTCGTCGGCTTCGTTGCCATCCACGCTGCGCCCTTCTCCGTCGATCCCGCTCCCTTCGTTAGGGATGTTCTCTTCTACCTCACCGCCGCAATGTTCCTCTTTTACGTGTACCTCAGCGCCGAGATTTTCCTTTGGCAGGCCGTCGGATTCGTTGTTTTCTACTTGTTCTTCGTAGGGTTTGTGTTCTATATGGATTTGGGGATGGCGTATCCCAATGAAAAGAGTTCCGCGGACCTCGAGGAACAGATGGAATGGGATTCCGACGCTAAAGTTTCGGGATCTGCCGAGGGAGAGAAACGTGCATCTGGAGTGCGTGGAACGTTTCGCTTGGTATGTTGTTGTAGTTTCCGTTTCGAGTACGTACGTACATAGATACGCGATCTTGATTTTGTTCAGTCCTAGCATGGTAATTGACATGGAACTATTTTATTTATTTGAAGATTCTGGAGATGATTGAAGTATGTTTAAAAGAATAATGGATTGGAGAAGAACTTTGCCTTTTCTTTTTGAATTCTACTTTTCATCTTTTGATGTAGCACCCAATTTTATGTTGTGACTTACTTCCTTGCGTTGTTAGGATACTCACTTTTAGCATGTTGCTTGCCATTTTTCATGTTTTCTTACAATCAGTTTTGGTACTGAATTTAGTAATACCGACAGCTAATGTATATTTTACATGTTTTCTTATAATCAGTTGTGGTAATGTGATACGTTTCTCAGGTTATAGATAGATAAGATAGTATATCTGAATTTGGAAGGAAACGAGGTACGATTGGAATCTTGTGTTTGAATTTTTTTAACAGAAGATTGAGAAAGTTATAGGTATATATAGACAAAAAATATTAATCATTCATAATTTTTCCAATTTGGTGGTATTTCTGACAGAGTGATATGATTTTGTCTTGGTAACTAAGTAGTTGGTGCAACAATAAGAAAGATGGTGAAAAATTAATACGTGATTACAGGATACCTTCACAGGGTGACTGGCTGCTTCCAAAATGTAATGGGGATGGATGATGGGATGGTTTCTTGAGAGGGTACATCAAGAAGGAGAAAATATTTAATGTGGTGGGGTTAACCGGAATGGTCCCTTTGTTATTAAAGAGTGGTGGATTTAACCTGGGGGAGGTAATTGATCGCCTTGTTGGTAAACGTTGAGTCAAGTCTAGCAGTTAACATTTCAAGATTCTGATATTAAATCAAAATTATTTCTGATTTTTTTTTTTATTTGATTCCTGAAAGACATCTTAGACTAATTATATTGCCAGTTCTTGTGATTGATGCTACCGTGATCTTTTCCTTAATTTGAAAGTAATTGTCTAATTTCATTTGATAAATATTTCGTATAACCCTTAAAAACAATGATTCAGCACAATATAATCAATCATTCTTATGTAAAAATATTTAGGGAATTATATGTGTTGCATGATAGGTTCCTAATGCTAGTTCTTTACAATATTGTTTAATTACTCTACTTTAGGCTGTCCTGATTTTTTATCCCTTGCTCTGTGCACTCAGATTTCTAAAACATGGGAGCTTCCTGTCAAAACTCTCCTGAGATTGACAATCCCTCAACCAGCACCAGCACAATGGAGCAGATTTTATGCATCAGCCAATATAGCACTTTGTCCACTATCCCTCTTGTATGCCTGTAACTCATTCATACCATTTAATCATCCCATAGTTTTCCTCCTCCCCAACACTCACCTTCCCCTCTGGTCAGTAGTGCTCATGACAAGTTTCTCTCTAGCATTTCTTCATTTTGTAATCGAAAAGGAACCGCCCAAAGCAGAGCATCTGCCTGTGGTTGTCACGGCATTTGTGATGAGCGTGTTTTGGATATCTACTACAGCAGGAGAGCTGGTGAACTGCCTGGAAGCTATAGGCACACATCTCAAAGTGCCCCCAGCATTCCTGGGACTTACTGTGCTGGCATGGGGAAATTCTGTGGGAGATCTTGTTGCTGATGTCGCAGTTGCTAAAGCTGGTCATCCAGCGATGGCAATGGCAGGATGCTTTGCCGGACCAATGTTTAACATGCTTGTTGGCCTTGGCAGTGCTTTAGTAATACAGACGGCCAATGTATATCCCAGAGCTTATCAGCTTAATTTCCACGTTGGTATCGTGATCGCATTTGTATTCCTGCTTTTAAGCCTTATGGGGTCTCTCTTGGTGATCACTTGGTGCAGATTCAGAGTGCCTAGGTTTTGGGGATTCTGCCTGGTAGGTATCTATGTTGTTTTTATGGCAGCGAGTTTAGTAATAGCCATGTTCTCAGGGTGATTGTTTTTAGGTAGATTTATGATTTGTATTCATACTCAAACTCATCCATAAGCTAAATCCTCATAGATGGCATTATTGAAGGAAGAATTCAACATATTAAATTGACATAGGCACATAATTTATGTTCAGGATGAATTTCTCTTTTTTTGTTTCTCTAATAGGTTTGGGTAGATAAAAAATCTTAGTTGGGCTCTGATATTTAGAATTTCTTCCATTACGTTCTTATACAGTCCAGAGCAGTCCGTAATCATCTGAGGTGAGATTGATTGTTAATTGTATTGAATGTAGTTTCAATCATTGGTTTGGATTTTTCCATTTCATAAACGCGAGGCTAGGGTGAGTAAAATATGATTAGCATAATCATATTTTTGTTTCCTAACTGTTATTATATTCCTCTTCATCTCTATTTAGACGCCTTCCGTACTCCATTGGTAGAAAGGAGAGGAATTATTGTGGGTTGTTTGGTGGAAATAAATGAAGTCCAAGAAAACATCGCAAGTGAAGAGCCTTGTTTGTGAACTGAAGAAATCTGTTGCTTAAGTTTCCGATATAATGTGTTGTTGAATATCAGAAAAATGAAGTAAAATTGTGCCAAATTTAGTAGTGAATATAAGCGTAGGGGTGCTTTCACAACAATCACATGTTTCCAATTTTTTTATTCACAGAAAATTACAGTGAAAGGTCTGAAATTATGGACAATTCATTTTCACGAATAGTATGATTGACTGATTCACTACTAGCGTTAACACATTCATCCATTGTTCATCCATCCACAGTCAAATTCTTCGAATTTATCCATTATAAATCTAAGAAAATAAATCAAACTTAATTTTATAAATCATTCAGCAATTATTTTTCATATTAAATACATTCTCATGTCAATATTTAACGTAACAAAATTAATTAAGCTTTTGTTACTATTAAGTCTTTCTTTATATTTTTTTACAAATATATATTTTACATTTGTTTACAAAAATTGATTTTGTTAAACAAGAAGTCCAAAGCAATCTTTCCACCAAAGTGGGTGCTAGATGTGATGAATGTTGGAAACGTGGCAGCCTAAGCATTGGAAGTGAGGTTGGAATAAAATAAAGGTTGGTGATGGATGGGTGTAAAAAGTGGCACTGAATCAATGGAGTAAAAAGTAGGGGAAAAGGGTTTGAGGGATGAAGAAGAAGAAGAAGAGAGAGGTATGATAACATGACATATGCCACTTTCTTTATTTCTCTTCTCCTGTTTTTGGTCTCTTGACCTTTGGGAGTTGAAAAACACCACCTTTAATCATATCATCACGGACTTTATTCAATGGATCTCTTTCACCCAAAACCCAATCTATTGCCCTTACAATCATGTCACTCCCACAAATTCACATTAAAATTACCATCCATCTATTCAATCAACTTCACAAACAAAACAATATAACTAGAATGGATCAAGAGTTACAACGTTTTAAAGTCATGTGTGAGTTAGAATAAAAATAGAAAGTTTAATAATATATGAACAAAATTCATAAACCTAATATTTTAAAATTTTCACTAAAAAATAATGTCATCTTTTTTTAAACGATTTTTAAATATTTTTCAATCATGAAAATAATTAATTTTATAATTATAATTAGATTCTATTATATATTTATGACCATAATCTTCATAAGTCTGTCCCATAAAAAATACCTCACACAAAAAAAAATGGTTAATTATTGAATCAAAGTTTAAAATATCTCAAATAAAATAAAAGTAATAATTTTAAAATAATAAATACAAAGGATAAAATAGGAATATAAACATATTTTGAATTAAATCAATCAATTCATATTTTTATTGAGATTTTTAAAATATATAATATTTAATATCTCATTAAATATAACCGATTTAATATATGACGTATTACTAAAATCCTGATTATAGAATTAACTAATTACAAGTATTTAAGTAACTTAATATATTCTCACGTGTCCTTTTTTCTTTATTTCTTCTCATACTCGAATCTTAAGACTACAGTCATATGCTTCAGGAATATGACTAGCATCAGTACTAATCGTGTATATATATATATATATATATATATATATATATATATATATATATATATATATATATATATATATATATATATATATATATATATATATAGTTTTTAGAAAATAGTTTTAGTTAATTTTTTAGAAATTAAAGATTGTCGGACAAATCTATTGATGGTTGAAATCCTGGTCAAATGAAATATATCATTTTGTTAATTTTAATTATGTTGCTTTTTATTTTCAATATTTTTAGCAACACTTTTTTTTTAAATACATATCTACGTATGCATATACAAATTTATATCTAAAACACATTATAACATTTTATAAAAAAATAATATAATTAATTACTACAATATATAATATTCGTAAGGTAGTACAAATTTTAATATAATCACGACTTAATTTTAGTTGGTATTTGAATTTAAAACAATAATATATTATAATTTTATGTGTCAAAACATTCTATAAATATATATAAAATAGAGGATTAAATCTTAATATAATATAGTCCAGATAGTATGAATTTTAAGTTTTAAATATTTAATCTTAGTTGACTTTCTTTATTAAAATAAAAATATTTTCTCAAAAAAAAAGTAAAAATAACTAAAGTCTTTGATCATAAAATATTTAGATTTGTTTAACTAAATTTTATTGAAAATTTTGGTTGATATTAATTGTAAATATAAATAGTATTAATCTATAATAATTAATAAAGAGATACTCACTTTTTCTAACTATTTTTATTTTTATCCATCTTCTTGCTATTTTATCCATAAAATTGTGATAAATACTTTTATTGTTATGGACAGATAGAAAATCAAATATTTTGTAAGAATTTAGATAAAACATTTTTTTGCTTAAATTATTTTTTTTATATATATAAAAATGTGTACACATTTACGACAATGTCTACACTTCCATTAATAAATTATAAAATAAATGACATAAGTTTTGTTCAAATTGAAAATCATTCCCAAGTAGAATTAAGGACATGCCAGCAAAAGTGAAATGAACACTAATTTTAACTAATCCATATATTTCACGAATAATCAAATTATATATCTAAGAAATTTTAATTGATTAATGTAATCATGGTAATATAATGTAAAATAATTAAAAAACAAATTTTATCAATTACATTAACATAAGATTATGCTAGTTTATTAAACTATATATAATTATGTTAAATATTCTGATGATATTTTTTATCACTCATCATCATCATCCTTATTCGTGATAGTTTCATTACAAATCACTACTACAAAATATACTTTCAACGTCGCCATTTAACATCGGTTAAAGTCGAGCTGACGTTAAATACACTTTCAACGTCAGTTGGTTAAAAAACGACGTTGAATGTGTTTTCACCCAAAAATTCTCTTAATTTTCAAGAATTGTCACCGACAGATTCGAACCCAGTATTTTAGAGTTGAAAGTTGATACTCCAACCACTAAACTACTGTAATTTTCCGATAATAATTTACAAATTAATTATATTTATATACAAATAAATATATATCCGTGTAAATATATATTTATTTATATATATTTTCCGGAAAGTGTTTTTATTTTTTTTCAGCCAAAAATTTACTTAAGTTCGAGAATTGTCCCTGACGAGATTCAAACCCAATATTTTATACTTAAAAGTTGATACTCCAACCACTAAACTACCGTAATTTTCTCGATAATAACTTACAAATTAATTATATTTATATATAAATAAATATATATCCGTGTAAATATCTATATTTTTTGGAAAGTGTTTTTATTTTTTTTCAACCAAAAATTTACTTAAGTTAGAGAATTGTCACTAACATGATTTTTTGAACCCGAGTATTTTAGAGTTGAAAATTGATACTTCAACCACTAAACTACTATAATTTTTTATAATAATTTACAAATAAATTATATTTATATACATATAAATATATATTCGTGTAAATATATAAATATAAAATATATAAATACAAATATATTTATATATTTTGATATATTTATATATATTTATATAGTTATATAGTTATATATTTATATGTTGGATGTGAAGCGCGTTCGAGGGTGAAAGTGAGATTGACTCTCGCTTGAGTGAAAATACGTTAAAACTCACGGAAATTCACTCGTTCAAGCCTCGCTTGAGCGAAAATTAGTATTTTTCGCTTGAGCGAATGATGCGTTTCTCATATTTATTTTATATCATTAATAAATTATAAATATTATATTCTGTTATTAAATTACAAACCCATATAAAGAGACTCACTCACAAATTTGACATCAAATTTTGAAAACTCACTCGACACACTTTCACCTTCGAGCGTGCCCTCACATCCAACATATAAATATATAATTATATAAATATATCAAAATTTATAAATATATTTGTATTTATATATTTATATATTTACACGGATATATATTTATTTGTATATAAATATAATTTATTTGTAAGTTATTATCAAAAAATTCGAGTAGTTTAGTGGTTGGAGTATCGGCCTCCAACACTAAGGTACTTGGGTTCGAATCTCGTCGATCTAAACTTTAAAAAAAGATGATAAATAATAAAAATATAATATAAAAGAGAGGGGGATTTCTAGATAAATAGAGAGAGGGGAGAGGGGTTGGTAGTGAATATTGATAAACTTTATCTAAAACTGTGAAATAAAATGTTGTTTTCAAAGTAATAAATAATTATAACTTTATTAATAATATCATAGTTGTTAATAAATAATCATTTATAGAATAGTAATTAATCATGTGTAGAAAATAAACATAATTAGGGTTAACTATATTTACACACATTTTTATATTTACTATAATTATATCATAGTAGTTAACATATAATTTAAAGTTTAAATATGATTTTTAATCTTATGTTTTGATTTTAGTTTGTATAATTTTTTATTTGAGGTATCAAAATGATTTTAATTGAATGGAAAGTTCTGAATAACATAGATCAAAATATAGTAATTGTTTTTTTATCTGTTTAATATATGTTCCAAATTAAGTTGTCATAGACTTTTCAACAAACTTATTTGAAAATCAATAATTATATTTTTTAAAAAGTTGATAATATTATTTTATTATAAATATTATATATTATATAATCATATGAAAAAAATTTATATTTAATATATGATTTAAGTTTTTAAATATATACTAACCCAATTATGCATAAAAAAAATATGATATGATAATTTTTTATTTAATAATTGAGATCTAGGTTTTAAGATTTGGGTCAAATTATTTATTCAAAATTAGGTTGGATTATTCATCTGACTTGTCCACTTTTAATTCATCCAAAATTAATTTTATTTCCTAAAATTATATCACACTAATTGATGGTTTATGTTAAACAAAAGATAAATGATTATTAAATCATATGAATTTAATAGATATAACATATATATTATAAAATATATTATTTGTCATTTCTAAAATGAATATTAAGAACCCAAAATAACTGATTTCAAAATTTAAATGATGAAAAAAAGTATTTAAAAAGAGAATTTACATAATATACAAATATTAAAAATAATTTAAAATTTACAAAATAAAAATTAACATAATTAAAGTCAAAAATTTTATTTTACAAAATATCAAAATAATAATTTATGAAAAAATAAATATACTATAACTAAAATCAAAACTTATTTAAAGTATAAACATCTTTGAATCTATTTTAAACAAAAGAGATTCAAGAGGACAGTAATATTTAAACCAAAATCAGTATTTTAAAATAATTTATTTTTGCATAAACAACAAAAAAAGTATCTGAAAAAGCTGAAAAAGTAGTTAGGAAAGTTTGAATGTTGGGACAGTTTACAAAACATTAATGATAGCAGAAAAGAATTGCAGAAATGAAAAAGAGAAACGAAGAAGAAACCCTAAAATTGTGTGAAAGGTCACACCCTATTCTGATTTGCTTTTTGTCCAAACTTTTAAATCACAATTATTATTTTATTAAAATATATGTCAGAACATCTTCTTCCAATAATTTTTTTTTCATATTCTTAACATTTTAAAAGTAAGTTTTTAAAAATCTAATGATTTTCATATATGTATAATTAAATTATATATTTTTTGTATTAATATCAATTGTGATACTAAATATAATTCACACGAAATAGATAATGAATAGGATTTTTTTTTTATAATAAGTTGATAATTTCGAGTAATATATTATAGTAATTTTTTTAGATTATATTTTATGAACTAAATTTTAAAGCACTTTAAATATTTTTTTATTAAAAGTAGTTATAAAATATTTAGTATTTTATCAATTAAAACACTTTAAATAACTAAAATCTAATAATAAAATTAATTTATTATTTTGATTTTAAAAAAAATTAATTTACATGTGTATATTGTGTATCCAGGAACTATAAAATATTGATAGTTTAAATAACTTGTTATTTTCTAGTTAGAAATGTTATCTTCTTTTTTATTTAATTATAAGATGAACTTTACCTTGAATTTTATTTTATTTACTAAAAAAAATACCTAATTTTACATTAGAAGTTTTTTTTATATAAAAAATATAAAATTATGTTGTATTAATTATTAATTATTTTTATGTTTTCGTATGTTTTAGTCTTTAATATTTAAATTTAAATAATTTATGTTTTTATTTTTCAATTTCATTAATATTTTCTTCTCACATATACATATTATTAACTAAAAAATATATGCATTATATATCTAATATATTGAAAAAAAATATGATTGTTAACAACTTAATTGATAATAATTTAATTAATTTATTTTATCAATAAAAACTAATGATTATAATACATTTTTAAAAGAGTACTAATTACTAATAATTTGTTAATTCTTATTTATCATTTTATTATTTTCTCTTATCAAACTTAGGATTTGGTCTATAAAACACAAGATCTCAATTCATCGCTAGATCTTCTAGAGATGTTTTAGGATTGTTTTATATATATATATATTCTATAAAAATATTTTTGTTGAAATATATTTTTTATTTTGTATGTATATGGGTTACTAAATATCAATCAATATCCAAAAATTGTGTGTAGTGTTATTTGATTATAAGTTACTTTTAAATAATAAATGATAAATAACATACTTTAGTATATACCCTTGCTCTTTAGAAATTTAATCTCTTGGACAAAATTATTTAACTTTTTTTTTTAAGTGAGTAAATGTGTAATATTAAAAAAAAAAAAAAAAATCTTAAGATTTCTGAAATGATCCACGTGACTCCAACAAGTAACTTGGAAGATCCAAGTTTATATAATTGTAAGAAGGAAGAATGTCATATTGGGAATGAGAATATGAAAAGGGTAAAATCGTCATTGGGATAAAAATTGAAAACACTTGCCAATACAAGAGTTAGGTCCGACAATGTTAGTCAGAATCGATCACACAGCTTTTGTTTTCGCACTTCGCTGTCTGAGGTTCGTTCCAAACAGAAACATCGTTAATTCTTCAGACCAGTTCTGCTGTGCTTTTTTTGTTTTCTTATTTTCTTCTGAAACCCTAAATTTTTTTGTCTGCTCTCAACTTTGGGATCTTCCGCACTTGAGAAAACTGTTTCTTGTGCTCGACCCACCTCAATTCTGATGTCATAGATCTTTGAATCAAACACAATTTCTGATCATTTCTTTGTTAATCTTATATCCCCTTTTAATCCCTTTTCAGGTTCTGGATTTTCCGTGTTTGGGGAGAGCAACATCATCTATTGGCAAAGGTAACAGGTAACAATTCATGCTATACCTTGCATATATCTATGTGATTTTGTTCATGAATATGCATTTGTTTAGGTTACTGGAACATGATAGTCTGCTCTTTTCTATCGGTTGTTATAGTTTGTTGGGGATAATTTTTATTGGGGGCACCCATAATTCCATTTACTGTATCTTGTTTGATTCCTTTGGTGTTGTGGTTCCTTTGGTTAATTTTCTCGTGGGGGATTTTCGCTTATGTTAAACTGACATGTCTTGGAACTGAAGAATTATCTTTGATCTTAATTGTTAGAAAAATGGAAAATGAGAGCTGTTTTTTTTTTTTTTATGATTCCATTGCTCACCGTTAAAATCCCCTGAAATCTTGATGGTGGATGTTATGTTGAACTGTAAATTTTTTGACAGATTTATTTCTTATGTGAGCCATAAGATTCTCTGGTTGAATTGGGTGGTTGTCCTGAATTTTTGGAGGCATACGATGCTTCTTAGATGGAAAGCATGTTGGTCATTGGGCAGGGGAGATATTTGATGAGCATATTTGATTTTGTATGCTTTCTGAACTGTTGGTTGTGTCACGCTTGTTGCTTTAACATGTGTATTTCTAGGTGCCAAAGTTTCCTACTTGAATGCTTTGTGCAATAGTCACCTGCTTTAATGCTTTCTGCAAAGAGTCTTCTGCTTTTAGTGCTTTGTGTAAATCAAGAAAAAGATTCGCCTCTTCATTATTGCATGAAGCTCATGTTGTTTTCCATCACATGATTGAGAGCACTGTATTAGAGACCCGTTTTTTCATTCCTTCCACATTTTCATTGAATATTTAATCATAGTAACCTAACTAAGACAGATTTGCTTTAATGATTGCATGAGAAGTGTAGACACTCACTTATTCATGTTTTAGTTTACCCTGAAACAGAATGGATCATCAAGGGCATGGCCAGAACCCATCTATGGGGGTTGTTGGTAGTGGAGGTCAATTAACATATGGTTCTAACCCATATCAGCAAGGCCAAATAACTGGGCCACCTGGGTCAGTTGTGACATCAGTTGGGGCCATTCCATCCACTGGTCAACCTGCTGGAGCGCAGCTTGGACAGCATCAACTTGCTTATCAGCATATTCATCAGCAACAACAGCATCAGCTTCAGCAACAACTCCAACAATTTTGGTCAAATCAGTACCAAGAAATTGAGAAGGTTACTGATTTCAAGAACCACAGTCTTCCCCTGGCAAGGATCAAGAAGATTATGAAGGCTGACGAGGATGTTAGAATGATATCAGCTGAGGCACCAGTCATATTTGCAAGGGCATGTGAAATGTTCATATTAGAGTTAACCCTGCGCTCTTGGAATCACACTGAAGAGAATAAAAGGCGAACACTTCAAAAAAATGATATTGCTGCAGCAATCACAAGAACTGACATCTTTGATTTCTTGGTAGACATAGTACCCCGTGAGGACTTGAAAGATGAAGTGCTTGCATCAATCCCTAGAGGAACAATGCCCGTTGGAGGTCCCGCTGATGCACTTCCATACTGCTACATGCCGCCTCAGCACGCCCCTCAAGTTGGAACTACTGGTGTCATAATGGGTAAGCCTGTGATGGACCCAAACATGTATGCTCAACAGTCTCACCCCTACATGGCACCACAAATGTGGCCCCAGCCTCCAGACCAACGTCAACCATCCCCAGAACATTAGCTCTGATGTGTCATGGAAATTAAGGTGAACTTTAGGCTCTCTCACTTTTAAATTAAGTTAAATTTTATCTTGAAATGCTTATTTCAGTAAGTTACAGTAAATTTTTATTCTGTGCTTTCAATATCACTTTTTTTCCATAATGAATCCTAAATGTTATTCTTTTATATTAGACTATTATTCATAATTAAAAAAATACATTTAGGTATAGCCTTTTGCACTGACGGTTTATCAACAAGCTTGTTTGGAGTTTCAACAAGATCTTTTATATACTTTGATCAGCTTAAGTGATCTATATATTTTTACCTGTACTGTTATGCATCACAGATTCGCAGTTCTTTTGGTCTCATATTGGCTACATTTCCTGGCTTGCAGATAACCAGGCACCAGAATCAGTTGTGAATGTCAAACTGAATGATTGGGGAAGTCCATAGCGAGCAGAAGCTGTAGCTGATAGTTTACATGCAATGCAGACTATAAACATATGTAGATAATGTGCTAGGGAAAACTTAACCTTATCTTTGATTTAGCTGGATAAAATGGTATTTTTCATGTTTAAATTACAGGTCATCAGATGATAATATTTATTTACTGGTGCACAGCAGGATTTTTACTTGATTGTTTAAACTTGCCATGTGCCCAAAATGTATCTCATCTTATCATTCACATCATGGGTTCCTTGTATCCCTCCCATCTTTCGCTTTGATGGGAAATTTTCAGCTGTCACATTTGAAGTTTTTATGATATCCTCCATATTAGTAATTCCACCACAAACTACATAGTCATCTACCCCACCACCGGTAAAAAGAAAAGGGGAGAAAGAAGTTCTACCTAGTTGCTACACGAGTCAGTTTATTTTAAGGCGCCCATGGAGAGATCAATCGAAGTGTATGGGGGTTGAACCTTTTCACTATAAAGGGTATTAGCAACACAATGTATTATATCACTTAAAGAATTATGTGATTTATATAATCATTTTTAGTTAATAATAATAACAAATTGATATGAGAATTAGTTTTAAGAAAATTGGACTCGAGAAACTAAAGAATAAAGGAACCTAAGAGAATGAGATTTTGAGAATTGTATATCGAGAGGGATGATGGATGATATATTGAGAGAAAGTTTGTATATCTTGACAAAATATCAAGAGAGAGAAATTATACGAATGTTATAATAAGTATGAATTTTGGCAAAGTTTAACCCTATTTTTTATATCTAATTTAATTTACATCTTAACTTTTATTATAACAAAATCTTCTTTTAAAATAATCTTTGTTCTCAAGGATTAAAATAAGATACTTCTTCTTGAGGTCATAATAAAATATCCATGTAGCACATTCCAGGTGTTAATGCTTCCATTTGACAAAGATTTTAGTCATTGGTGCTCCTTTCCTCTTAAGGGTCATTTGATCCAAGATATATTCTGATTCCTTCTCTTCCAATGCATCTTCAGCTTGATATGGCAGGTATATAGAAGACAAAGCATCTCCAATATGTTTTTTTAAGCTGAGAAATATGGAATATATTATGAATTTTAGATTGCACACCAATATTTAGTTTATAAGTCACAACTCCAATACAATCAATGATTTTGCAAGGACCAAAGTTCTTGGGACTTAGCTTTACATTTTTTTTGTAGGCCACTGAAACTTGCTTATAGGGATGCAATTTAATATATATCCAATCCCTAATATATATGATATTTCCTATCAGTTCTGTTTTTATCTGCCAATTACTTCATCCTCTCTTGAGCTCTTCTTAAGTAGAACTTGATCAATTTTAACATTTCTTCTCTCTTCCTCAATTTCTTATATACTAATTCTATCTTGAATTCTCATGGCAGATAAGGAAGATATATAGGGGGTGGTTGATCATAGACAATTTCATATAACTCTAGTTGTTGTATTATAGATAATGTTACACCACCATTCAACCATAAATAGCCATTTGGACCAATTTTGAGGTGTATCAGCGCACATGCATCTAAGATATATTTCTAAGCACCTATTTACCACTTCATATTGCTCATTTGTTTATGGATAGTAACTAGTTAAAAGTTGGACTTGAATTCCGTGGAAAGCCATAAAATCTTCCCAAAACTGACTCACAAATATAGGGTCCTTATCACTAGTAATTGAATTCGGGCACCCATGCACCTTGAATATATTGTCCATGAATGCTTGGACTACTCCCTGACCCGAAATAAAATGACCCAAATATTCGACCTTATCCACAACAAAATAATACTTGGATTGTTTCGCAAACAATCAATTATCTCGTAATGTTAGAAAGACTATCTTTAAGTGTTGTAAATGTTAAAGCAAATTCTCACTATAGATGAGAATATCATACAAAAATACCAGTAAAAATTTTCTCAAAAATTGCATTCATAATTCCTTAGAAGGTTGCAAGTGCATTGGTAAGCCCAAATGGCATTACCACATGCTCATAATGACCATCAGGGATCTAAAAGTTTTTTTTTTTTTTCATATTAGCAGGGTCCATTCTTACCTGATTATAACCTGAACATAAATCAATCTTTCTTAGATAAGATTGTTGAACCATGTAATTCATCAAGTAGATTATCCACAAGCGAAATAAGGAATTTACTCTTCACCGTACTTCAGTTTAATTTCCTATAATCCACACACATCCTCCATGACCTATCTTTCTTGCTAACTAACACCACTGCGATAGCATAGGGGCTATTGCTATTTTGAATAAGTCCTAACTGCAAGTATTCCTTAATCAGATTGTCCAAAATATCTTTTTAATTTTTCGCATACCTAGAAGTTGAATATTAACTAGGTTAGTACTTGCACCAAGGGAATCTTATGGTCATGGCCCAGTTTGAATGAAGGCAACTGGGTGGGTTCATCAAACACATCACCAAACTCCTTCAATAATTGATCCACCTATGCTTTTATCTGAGGTTGGTTAACATGAGTGGAGTAGTGTGTTATTGAAAGGTGAACACCTTAAACCAAAATTTTAGTTAAGTACTGTTTCATTCATATACATTGGGGTTAAATGTTTTCCTAGGGCCAATTTTTTCTTACTCGTGTCTTCTTCTAAAGAAACATTTTTATCTAGACTCAATGGTTTAGGACCCAACACACCCTGTTATTGTTGGTTCCCTATTAGGTTTGCAATAATAGAAAAATTTTCAGTCTCATACAATCTTATTAAAGAAAAAGTCTTATGAATGATAATTGGTTGAACCATGCCAACCATTTCTTGTGTATCTTTCTTGAATTCTCCTAAGAAGCAACTCAACAAATCTTCAAAGAGTTTTAGTTGAGTAATAATGACGTCAAATTGTTCATAATACTCAACCACTGACATTTTTTGCATTAACTTCATTAAATCCACCATTAGATAAGCACAAATATCACCAAAGCGTTCATGAACCAACTTTTGTTATTCCTTCCAAGACATGACAACACAATTGGTAGTTTTTGAAATTGCAAAATGTCACTACAATGCTCTGCCTTCCATATGAACAACTGTCAATCTTACTGTAGCATTATCGATGTGTTATCAATTAGGAAAAAAATGTCACATTGATAAAGCTATTGGTTGACATTATTACCATTAAGCTGTGAAAAGTCAATTATGACTAAACATGTGACACAAGAATAAGTAGAATTAGGTTGGTTAGTTCTAACCATTTATCTAGTGGCCTCCATGTTTTGTCGTAGTAATTCTTGGAAGGTTTCTTGTATAGTAGTGCCCAAAGTCTTTTGTATAAAACCCGCAAGTTCATCCAAACATCCCTCTAGTATAGATCCTTCCAATGTAGATGTGAGACGTTCTTCTAAGTCCTTCATTGCTAAATGCTTCGTGTAGAGTTCTCCATGAAAAGAACTCAGAAACCCAACCTGGATGATACTAATTGATATGAGAAAACTAGTTCCAAGAATATTGGACTTGAAGAACTAAAAGACCAGGGAACCCAAGGGAATGAGGTTCCGATAATTATCTGTCGAAAAAGTATATCAAGAGGGATGGTATATCTAGATAATATATCAAAAGAGAGGTTACATGTCAGGACAAAATATTGAGAGAGAAATTACATGAATGTTAGAATACAAATATGATTATGGCCAAACTTGACCTTGCTCTTTTATAATTAACTAACAACTAATTCCGTTTCTTATCTTAATAACTAACTTTTATTATAACACAAATGTGTTTAAAAGTTTGATGGAGTGTGATGTTAGTATTTCTCTTTTACTTAAAGCCACTCTGAATTTTCAATTAGCAATTAAAACAAATATTTTAGCTATTGTCTTGGCTTCAAAAGTCATGATTAACCAAAATGATTTGAAGGATGCTAACATTTTGCAATTGGAAAATCACTAATGATCTAGCTCGGTGAAACATTAAAAATGAAAATGGAAAATCATGTAAAGCTAACGGCATTGGAAAAGCGGATAGGGGCCAATAATGATAATTGCAAGTATGTGGTGATCACAACATGATGGTGAACCAAGCATGGGTCGGTACAGAAATAGACAACCAAGGTTAGGTCGGTACAGAAATTGGAAAAGTTGAAGTAGCTGGTTCAGTCAGCTCAAGCAAGTTTAATCTTGGTCAATGATCATGCCATGACCAAATCAACATGAATGGAACGGGAAGGTAGAGAGAGCGTGTATGCCAGTAGGATATCATAGAGTGACAGAATAACATAAGACAGTTACTGTACAAAATTTTACCACTCTGAATTCTGAACCTCATCTATTTGACATATTGCATACGTTTGTATCAAATTATACAAACTTACATAATTTCAAGCCAACTGTGACCAATTGTCTTTGTAATCCTTCTATGATTCATAAATTTTCTAGTCACGTTTACCTCTTCCCACCTGCCAGCCTTTGCATATATATTAGATAGAAGAACATGAACCCCAGTTTGACCAGGTTCCAGCTCTGTTAGTCGCACTTTCACTTGATTAGCAACAAATAAGTTTTCATGAATCTGGCAGCCATTTAAAAGAGCACCCCATATGGCAAAATTTGGTTGTACGGACATTGTCTCCACTAATCTTTCTGCTTCAATGAAACGGCCAGCCCGACTCAAAAGGTCAACCATGCAAACATAATGATCTCTTCCTGGCACTATACCGTAAATCTCTGTCATTTGTCTAAAATGTATTTGAGCCTCTTCGACAAGTCCAACATGACTACATGCGAATAAAACTCCTATGTAAGTGATATAATCAGGGACTAGAGAACTATCCTCTTGCATTAATTGAAACATACTCAATGCTTCATTTCCATGACCATGCCTGGCTAAACCGTTGATCATGCTAGTCCACATCACCACATCCTTCTTCTGCAAACTGCTAAAAATCTTCTGTGCACCTCCTAACTCACCAGCCTTGGCATACATGTCAAGAAGAGCAGTAGCAAGGGCAATGTCTGTTGCAATGCCGGTTTTCAACAGATAAGCATGAATAGTTTGTCCCAATGCCAGAGCACATTGATGGGAACAAACACTCAAGACACTCAGAAAGGTAGCCCTATCAGGATAAATGCCACTGGTCCACATATCAAAAAAGAGATCTAGCGCCTCTTGATGCCTCTCATACTGATTGTAGGCATTAATCATACTGTTCCAAGCTACAATGCCTCTCTTGGGCATTTTTTTAAACAGGTCTCTTGCTATTTTCAAGCTACCACATTTGGCATACATTTCAAGGATTGCTGTTGCAAGAAAGATGTTACTATTAGGTGTGGACACAAAAGGATCATAACCAGCCTTACGAATGCGCTGGTGGATCCGACGTCCAGTATCAATGTCTCTACTGCAAGCACAGGCAATCAAAGCATTCACCATGGTTATTTCATTAGGCTCTACACCCCAACAGTTCATGTCTTCAAACACCTTCAAAGCTTCATATGGCTGATTATTGTTCACATACCCAGCAATCAAACAAGTCCAAGCAACCACATTCCGCTTGGGAATATTCTCAAACATTTTCAGTCCCGACTTCATATCTGCACAAGACAAATACATATGGAGTAACCCAGTAGCAGTATAAGCATCAGCTTCAAACCCAGATTTCACTATGCAGCTATGAATGCATTGTCCACATTCTTGATCAGCAATTAAACAACATGCTTTGAGTGCAAATGGGAAAGTAAAGTGATTTGGGGAATACCCATTTTCAATCATTTGTCCATACACAAGAATAGACATTCTTGGCTTGTGACCATTAACAAAACCACGTATGATAGAGTTCCAAATGTAAACGCTAGGGTTATCAATTTGGCGAAACACCAAGTATGCATAATTGATGTCCCCAAATTCTGAATCTACACAGAAGTCAATAAGCTTGCTCAAGGGGACTATGCTCTTAATAGTTGGGGTTGTGACAATTAACCCATGCAAAATTTTCAATTCACACATACTTTTACATCTTGCTAGCAGAGATAGGATGGGGTTTTGGTTTATCATCCCCAATTATTTGCTTAATACAATCCCACCTAGTGGTTGTTGTGGTGCCCTCCAAAACAAACTAAGGTTGTGTTGGTATCATATAAAGACTATTCCTTTTGGGAAACCACGTAATAAAGTTAATAAATTGTTTCAAATGGATAGAAGTATGGGAATGAATAACAAAAACATGGATATGTGTATTCTTTCTCCATTACCTGGCTGTAAATGCACGGGAAAATGTTGAGCAACGATGTTTGATCTGGAAGCAGCACAAAATAAATCAACTGCCAGCCATGCATATTATTAATTCATCACCACATCTCATTTCATGATCATCTCAAGGACTTCTTTTGGCAAGTAAATAGTGCGTGCGCACTCAAATCTAATCGAAGACGGTGATAAATTTGTTAGTTTTATATTTAATTTTTTATTTTTTTTGTATATTTTGTTTCATTATCTCAATTCTAAATTTATAAATTTTAAATTCTTATTTTTGATAGGATATATTATCTTTCATTATATGTATTTTCTATAAATATTTCAAAAATAAAAAAATTAATATTAAAATTTATGAAAAAAAGTATTAACCATTTTAAAAGTTTAGCAATTCAAATATACAAATTGAGAAACTTTTTATATCAATATATATAATAGAGAAAAAAGAGATATTATAGCCAAAATAAAAATAAGAAAAAATATAGGAAATAAAAGAGAGCTGCATAAATTAGTACTTTAAATGCATAAATAATCTTTCTTATCTCATTTTCTCGATGGAAACATTAAAAAATTGTTTAGCTAACTTACTTTTTATTTTTCTCTCCGTTTCTTTCCTTTTTTTTAAGTACAATCAAATGGGAGAAAAAGAAATATTTTTTATTTAACCACTTTGATTTTGGTTCAAACCCTGTATAAAATCACATCAATAATGATTTTTACTTACTTTAATAACGACAATTACGTGATTACAACATAAAATTAACAAATTTATTATACACAACATTAGGCGAGTACGAAATACAAGCACTTATGCTATTCTTTTTCTTAAAACTTCAACAATTTCATCGTCGAGAAATAACTAATTGCACATTTCGTTATTAGGGTTTGTCTGGATATAGAATAAAAAAGTGTGTTTTTAAGAACATCTCTACCATAAATTAGTAGAAAAGTTCTGAAAAGTGATTCTAATTTTATATATCAGTTAGAAATATAAGTTTTTTTTAATTGAGAAGCTTAAAAGCTTTTCCAACTTTGTATACAGACATTCCTAAAAACAATGATTAGTTTATTTTGTGTTATTCTTTAACTGATGGGGCTAGAAAAGTGAATATGAAAATCACCTCTGCATATATATATATATATATATATATATATATATATATATATATATATATATATATATATATATATATATATATATATATATATATATATATATATATATATATATATGTATATGTGGCATCATCTTTGCATTTCTGTAATTTGCCAGTTCCTATTGACAGATATGATATGAAGAGTTACTAATAATCATTCCGTGTTGGAGTATTGTAACAGCTTATACACGGTTCGATGATGTGTACAAACAAACTGCACTTATTGATACCATAACTGGCACCACCCTTTGGATCAAAACAAAAACAAACAAGGTAAGGTAAGAACATAAACGTGAGTTATTCAGGAAATCCATGCACATTAGATGAGCATTGCAAAAAATGGAGTGTAATGCACACTACATATACAAACAAAAAGAGTTGTATATATATATATATATACATATATTTATGTGTGAGTGTGTGTTTTCTAATATCATATCATTTCATTTGTTGCTGTTACATAGTGATTTCCTCCTTGCTAGAGAAAAAGTTGGAAGTGGGCATGGGGAATGTGACAGAGAGTAGCAATACGAGTGCAGCGAAAAGCAGTGATATGTGGGCGTGTAGAATGAAGCTAACAACGGATTGCATGAGGTGGGATAGCCTCAAGATCTCACCTAAGGAGTTTGAAGAAAGCGTGCTAGGGCAAATGAATGAAAGCAGCCGCAAAGCTTTAGAGTCATGGATTCCGGTGAACATCCTGATTTATGATGTTGATAATGGTGAAACTTATGATACTAGGTTGTTCAAGAAAGAGTCTTTTTGGTTTGATCCTATGCCTGTGTCGGGTGAAAGGCCAAGGAAGGGTGAATCCATGAAGGAGCCACCTTGTTACAATCTGGAGAAGGCAAGGGAAGTGTTTGCTTATTCTATTCAGCCTTTCAGACACATCATAAGGAAAAGAGATCTCAAATACGATCAAGAAATTGGACTTCGCTACTGTGGTGGCAATGTGGTTGTTGCATTCGAGTTTTCAGTTCTGCATTCTCCACCTTTGGATGTTCGTAGCTTAAGACCTTAAGCACAAAGCACATAACAAGAACTCTTGTTCGTTTCTGATGATCGTTTAATGTAATGGATTTTGATTCTCTGCCTGGTAGAAATCGTGTGTATGCACTTTGTTACAATTTGTACCCATGATCCTTCAAATTTATCTCCTATTTTCTGAATATGTATAGTATAGGACAAAAAAGTTAAATCGTGCATTCTATTTACGAAATGTCTCCGACTGTAGAAAACATGCTTATCTTTTTGCTTTGTTCTTCCTTCCTGATTTGCGGTATCTTTTTTGTGTTTCTTTGGATCATGTGCTTAGAGGTCACGAGAAGCTCGATGTGATTAAGGTAGTGTGGGACGCAACCAGGTTTTGATAATGCATGATTCATGTTGAAAAATGAGATCCAAATTTTGGAAGAAATCTGATGCGTTGGAGGGTTACAATCTGTAGTAAACGACAACACAATTAATGGTAGGGGTTATGGGGATGAGAGAGAAGATGCGCGTTAGGGTTTTATGGACAAATTGGGACAAACTGAGAGAAAAATAAAATAAAATAAAATAAAGAAGAAAAATATCTCAACTATTCTTAACAAAAATAAAACTAATATAGAAAATAATCATATTCTAAAGCATCCTTCATTAATGGAAGTTAGTATCCTTGAATATAGAGCTTATAGTCTATGTTACAAGTGGAGTGATTCAATTTATTAATTTTTTTCCAATCTCAACTGTACTTATTCTTTTCTCATTCAATTTTCTCTCTCTCTGTATAATTAATTCTTTATAAATAATTTAAAAATAAGAAACTTTTTTTTTAAATTATACTTTAAAATAATTTAAAATATATTCATAAATTTATTTTAAATAATAATACAATTTATTATATATTTTTATAAAATATATATTTAAAATAATTTTTTAATATATTTTAAAATATTATAAATTAAGATAAATATTTTAAAATTTTAAAATAATTTATTTATTTATTTAAATGGTATATTTTTTATGATAAATATGGTAAGATTTAATATTAAATAATAAATTATTGAATTGACATTTATATTATTTATAATTTTTAAAATATCTATCTTAATTTAAATACAAAATATGTATTTTATTTAGATCTATATTAAATTATATTATTATTTAAAATAAATCTTTAAATATATTTTAAATTATTTCAAAGAATATATTTTTTTTCAAAAATTTAATAATTTTTTATTTTAGATAATTTGTAAGGAAATATTAAAGATAGAAAAGAAAAAGTACTAAGATAAAATTGTAATAATAAAAATACAAAATAAAAAGGAAAATGAAATGTTTGATAAAATATAATGAGTTGTCGAATTCTAAATGATTGTGTGTAAATATGATAATGACTGTTAAAAAGCAGATTTTTAAATTTTTTGATGTAATTTAAATAAAAAAATAATGAAGTGATTAAAAAAACATGTAAGGAAAAATTGGTTGCATAAGGTAACGAAGGTTGGGCCCGGGTGAGGAGCGAAAATGTAGAGAAGGTTTATTGATAATTAAATGCCGCACGCAATCCACATGGATCTCCTCTGGACCCGACTCATATACCGAGAGAAGACGACACCGATTACAGTGAACCCTCGCAGAAGAAGAAGAAGAATGCAATGAGGTGAGAGAGAAAGTTTTCGTTGGCGAAATCTTAAGTCATAACGTAACATAAGAGAATGGAAGTTAGAGCCAGAGCTCCAGGGAAGATTATCTTGACCGGTGAACATGCTGTGGTTCATGGATCCACTGCAGTTGCTTCTTCCATTGATTTATACACCTATGTTTCTCTCCATTTTTCCACTCCTTCCGGTATTTTACTCTCTCTCTCTCTCGCTCTCGCTCTCGCTCTCGCTCTCGCTCGTTAATTTCATACTGTTGTTCTTTCATATATATGTTTTTTGTTGTTATTTTTTATTTTATTTGGCTGAATTTGTGATGATCGGCAATGACGTGCGTGAGCGACGCCGTTTAAGCTATGGTTCAGATTCTGATTCGGTTACGATTTGTGGATTGTGTGATAGACGACGTGGATTTGTTGAAACTGCAGCTGAAGGACGTGGCGTTGGAGTTCTCGTGGCCTATCAGTAGAATAAGAGCGGCGTTTCCTGAATCCGCCGGTCAGTTAACTTCCACACCTACCTCCTGCTCCGTTGAGAATGCCAAGTCCATTGCCGCTCTCGTTGAAGAGCTTAACATTCCAGAGGCCAAAATTGGACTTGCCTCTGGAGTTTCCGCGTTTCTCTGGCTGTACTCTTCTATTCAAGGGTCTGGACCGACTCTCAGATTGTTATTGTATGTGTGAGAGTGTGTTTTGTTTTATTTATGCAGCTTTAATTGTGTTTCCCTCTTTCTGTAGATTTAAGCCTGCTACTGTGGTTGTTACTTCTGAACTGCCTCTCGGTTCAGGCTTGGGTTCGTCGGCCGCGTTTTGTGTGGCTCTCGCGTCGGCCTTGTTGGCTTTTACTGATTCAGTTTCTCTGGATTTGAACCATAAAGGATGGCTCTCCTTCGGGGAGAAGGATCTTGAGTTGGTAAATAAGTGGGCCTTTGAAGGGGAGAAGATTATTCATGGAAAGCCATCTGGAATTGACAACACAGTGAGTGCATATGGTATGCCTCAGCCATTTGGCTACAAAGTTTCATTAAATTTTATTGATTACTATTTGAAACTTGTCTTTTTTGCGTTTTTTTGGTTACTGATGATTAATGTTTTATATTGCTAGATCGAAACGGAATATAACATTTTTATGATAGGAGTGTGGAGAGGATGAATAAAATGTTTTCGGTTGTTAAGAAAAGCTGGGGATACTAACCCTGTTTCTCTTTTACTTGGTCCGTTAATAGTCTCGCCCAGAATTAATTATAATTAATGTGGCCCAGGAGGCATTATTTAAGGTCATGACCCGCTGATTTGTGCGAGTGAATTGAGAAATAGTGTTTGGTGGGAGGGTATATCATGCAAAAATTGTGATTTGTTTTGAGTGTTTAATAGTCATATACTTTGTTTACATATGTAAGCTACTGCCATTGAATCTGAGACTCACTCGATGGTTACCATTATCAGGTAACATTATCAGCTTCAAATCGGGTAACTTAACGCATATGAAGTCAAGTGTGACACTTAAAATGCTCATTACGAACACCAAAGTCGGGAGAAACACAAAAGCATTGGTGGCTGGTGTTGGAGAGAGGATGCTAAGGCATCCTGAAATAATGGCTTTTGTGTTTAGTGCTGTTGATTCTATTAGCAAGGAATTGGCTTCGATTCTCAGGTTACCCTCACCAGATGAGCTCTCTGTAACTGAGAAGGAGGAGAGGATAGAAGAACTAATAGAAATGAATCAAGGTCTGCTCCAGTCTATGGGGGTCAGTCATGCCACTGTAGAAACTGTTCTTCGAACAACGTTGAAATATAAGTTAGCTTCCAAATTGACTGGAGCTGGTGGTGGGGGCTGTGTTCTGACACTGCTTCCAACATGTATCCTGTTCAATTATTGTTCTTTCCCTTGTGCTTCTATAATGCTTTCCCATTACATCTCTGATTTTCTTGTCCGCAGTTAGTTAATAGCCTATGTTTGCTTCTATTATTCTATTAAACTGTTTGGTTTAGAAAAGGGGAGGGAAAAGGAAGGACTCCTCGTTTGGTTTTTAAGGGGATGTGAGGGAAAGTAAAATAATATACTATCATACTGTAATAAGATACCTTAAGACCGTTAAGTTCAAGTATTTAAACTAACGATGGTTTAATCAGCATATTTTACAAACTTCAAGCGTTTTCCCTCACTTTCAAATCCTCTAAATATTGGAGCAGAGACAAAATTAACAGGGAAGGGGTTTTGACCTCCGTATTTCCCTTTCAAGCAAAACACTGTTATTTTCTGGTGCGGTTTGTGCATATATATACACATAAGGCATTTATAAACCCTAAACATGCCTAATTTGAATTAAGTTTTTAGCATGAGAGTTTTTGAATTTATACAGAAGTGCATGAGTGTTAGTTGAATGTTAAATGAGGACACTCTTGATATGTTTTGTTTTTATCTTCTGCAAGTGTTTGTTAAGATATAGGGACTGTACATAATCATGGCTAGAACACATGCAATTGACAGGGAAGACTTATTTTTGGGAGCAAACTCTAATAATTTATCTATTTTATTTATTCGACTCACTTTTACTCCCAGCAATGCCAATCTACTTCATACATCACAAATTTCTTCCTCTAGATACCCTTTAGGCGGATAAAACACAATTTTTTGGTGGTGCATTTATCGTCTTTATAATAAAAGAAACCATAGTTGTTTCCTCTAATGCTCGCTGCCCATCATGAGTTTTTAGCTTTTGAGTATAATGTTTTTTTTAATCTCAATTTCTTGTATCCCTTCCTTGACATGCTTTAATCAGTACTATCAGGCACCGTTGTTGACAAAGTAATTGCTGAACTAGAGTCATGCGGGTTCCAGTGTTTCATTGCCGGAGTTGGTGGGGGAGGTGTTCAAATTAGCTTTGGGGTGTCATCTTGATTTTGTATTTTTATTTTAACAAGGATTGATATCAATGAGTGTCAGATCCTCGAATAAGCAGCATAAAAATATGCTTCCTTTTTACATTGTGTATCCATCTCTAACTTTTTCTTTTCTATTGTTGAATTAATTTAAACAGTTTCTTATTCAATCCTGAGTGGAATTGGAGGATATAAAAATTCTCATATTTGATTAAGAACATGGTAGGGAACGGGATCGTGGAGTGGCGAATCGTATCCAAGGTCTCTATCTCTCTCTCACACTCATGATTTATGTGATCTTCGAAATGTTGTTTAGAAATTGTATGAAAACATTTGAGTGCCATAATGGGTGACCCAGATGCAAATTACCCTGGATTGCATCAAGAATATCTGTGTGAGGAACGAAAAAAAACAACTTATTACCCATTTTTATGTGCTATGTAGCCTACCCATTTTTGTGTGTTGATATTTGATCCAAATATATTAGTAGGATTGTGAGAGATAAATCAGATCCATTTTCTTGACCCTGGAAAAGAAATAGCAGATCATCTGTATAAAAAGAGTTGAGAATATGGTGACGAATGAAGATATTTTCTCAATTACATAAGCTACTAAAGCTATGTTTGTTTTGTCAATGACCCACTAATATTTTTTTTTTTCTGTTTGGATTTTAGTTCATCGGTTGAAACAAATTGGAAATTTTCTGTTGACAACCAAACTCCTCATACAACTGTATATATTAATAAAATAATGATATTATTATATTAATTTAATTGGTTGTTTATTAGATGTAGGATTTTATACACACTCGCACACACTTCCTTTCAAGTCATATTTTATTAGGTTTACACTATATGTTTCAAAGCAATGCATGCCTCACTTTAAAGTAGAATCTTCGTCCAAGCATGTAAATTCCTCCCTACACGTATATTCCTCTAGACATTGCCAATGACATTACATATCTTTGAACTCATCAAGCATTCACAATGAATCCACCTGAAAAAGAAAAACAAAAATAGTTAGAAAAGTGAAAGGAACAATTTATAACTCTAGTTAAATGGTATTGGTATGTTTATGACCGTTGGGATGGAGAACTTGGCCAGTTATGTAAGAGGAGCATTGGTTGCTAGCAAGAAACACAAAAGAGGGAGCAACTTCAATAGGTTGGCCCGCTCTCTTTATTGGCGTGTCCGAACCAAATTGAACAATTTCTTCCTCCTTCATAGTTGCTGCTATTAATGGAGTCCAAATTGGTCCAGGCGCAACCCCATTCACTCGTATTCCCTTACTCACAAGCTGAAGTGCTAAGGCCCTCGTAAACGCCACAATGGCTCCCTTTGTTGATGAGTAATCCACTAGTGTTGCGTTTCCTATATATGCAGTCACTGATGTTGTGTTGATTATGCTGCTTCCTTCCTTCATGTGCTTCACAGCATGCCTATAAATATACAGTGAAACTTAGTGGCTCCTTGATTTGTTTTCATAGTGACAATATAGATTAAAACAAATCATGTTGTGAAGCAAAGTGTTGGGAATAATATCTAAAGAGAGCTTTTGTTTACTTGGTCATGAAGAAATGAGAAAATATATTAGTTCGAAACACTCTCTCAAGTCTTATTTCATCGATTTCTTCCAATGATTCACTCTCATATTGCTCTGCTGCATTGTTGACCAAAATGTCAATTCGACCGTAAGCATCAACCACCTCATCCACCACTCTTTTGCAATTTACTTCATAACCCACATCAACGGGTATAGCCATTGGATCATTGGCATCTGCAGTCCTACCTTTCTTATAATCTCAAGCGTATCCCTTGCGTCTATGTCCTCCTGTCCCTTCACGTAGGTGAAGATGACAGTAGCACCCTCTAATGAAAACAAGTTGCACACAGCTCGTCCAATTCCAGAGTCACCTCCAGTTACTACAGCTATCTTTCCCTGCAAAATGTAACCTCTTAATTAGATTGAAGGAGATAAAGAAAGTACTTATTATAGATAAGGGGTAAATTATAATAACAACATATTATGATATATATGTGTGTGAGTGTATGTATGTATACTTGAAGTTTATTTGAAGGCCTGTAGTCCTGGCTGCTGTATTGTGGTGGTGGATTCATAAGATACTCTTTGCCAGGCTGCGTATCTTGCTTTTGAGGAGGGAAGTTGTATTCAACAGAAGCCATTATCTCTCGTAAAAAAGCTTTAATTTTGGGAATCAAAGATGGCTGAATATTATGTGGTTTTAGTTATTAGTGCAAGGGAAGGGAAATTTGAATAGAAAACAGGACATGGGGTGCTTTATAACTTTACCTTGTCGAACACAGTGTTAAGAATGTAGGTTAGGTTTGTGATTGGGATGGAACAAACCTCTTTTGTACAAAGATTTTAATAATAATAATAAGCGTGTCACATGCAATTTCCTTTGTGTTGTAGATTACCTTATCATTTTAAATTGGTTATCCTTTATTAGGTTTGCCGGTTTCCTTGATAATTTTGGTCACGTTTTAATTAATTTTGTGCCAACCGTCGCGCCGCCGTATCTCGCGTTACGTTTTTTTATTTAGAAACCTATTCTTTAAAATAAAAGACCTAATCAAAGTAATTATCTTCAATTTTTAACCAACTCTTTTTATAATTCAGGAAAATGACTAGTTATAATAATGAATTGTTAATTTAAATTGTTAATTCCTTGCATAATTTAGAACAACTATCATTTATTGTTTGTGGAATGTATATTGACTTCTAAATTTTGAAGAAAATTAATTAGTTCTTAAGCGATTTTTATTATTTTTTGTGATCGCTATGGGAGTATTATTTAGGACTATAATTAAAAATAAAACTCCTACATATAACATAAAGAATGAAATACATAAAAAAAATAGTTAGGGTGAAGAAAAAGTACATATTTATAATATTATTTTTAATTTGCTTTTTATTATATATTTATTATTATTATTATTATTTAAAAATAACATGAAAAAAATAAATTCATAATGAAACCACCTAAATAATTATAATTTTGTTTTGTAATTGAAAAATGTTATAAAATTATATTATGATGTTTTAAAAAAAAAGTATGTGAATCAAATTCGTTCCTTTTATCCATTTTTCTCATAATTTTTTTTTATTTCTTTATTTCATGCATTCCAAATGGATGCTTAGTAGGTTAGATCTAATTTAAGGTAAAATTAAATGTTCTAATAGCTAATAAAAATTAGAGATGAAAATAATTTATAATTAATAGGAACGTTTTAGTTAAATTTATAACTTTTAAAAATACTCAACCTCAAATAACTACAAGGATTACTAAGTAGTAAATCAAGTGTACAAGTTGAAGATTAGAAACATAAACATCTATCTAATCTATCCTTTAATCCTTACCTGTCCCATTTAAAGCATTGACCAATAGCCAATACCAAAAGTCATGGTTTCACACATCAAAACAAACAAAACCATTAAAAATCATTTTTTTTTTCTTTTTCTTTTGAAGCAAACACATCATAAGATTACACTCGTGGCATGGAGGGGTAGGTAAAGCATACGTGTGAGATGGAGATGAAATACAGTGAGCGAGACATGTAACGTGGTTTTTGGCACTGCTTCTGTCGGTTCTTAAAAGAATTATTCGATAACGAAGAATCGTGACGAAAAAAAGTGCTGCCATAACACTACACAATTTAAACAAATATTTCTTTCATATACATAAAAAAAAAAAAAATTATTATCGGTGCACATTACTACAATTGCTCAAATAAAAGAGTGAAAATTAAATATCATATACAAATATAATATCATACTTTACTTTATTTTTTAGAAAGTGTATAATTAGTTTTTCTTTTGTTAAATAATAAAATAACCATTTTTTTAAACCGAACATAACATATATCCTTTGGTTGGTGAGACAAGTGTCATGCTGGTTGGGTTCGGTTTTCTCAAGGTTACTTCATCTGAAATTTTCATAATGTCAAATTCAATTTTTCAATCAATAATTGAAATAAATGGGATGGAACTAGGTTAAATCGATTTTGAAATATAATATATTATTTTTGGTATTACGTTTAGTTAAATTATAATATAAAAATATAAAATTTAAATCAAGTTATATTGCATAAAAATAAAGTTATATACAAGATTTTATTTTTAAGAAAATATTAAAAATTTACATTTTAAAAGAATAATAAAAAACCAGGTTAGAAGAATCCAAAACCTAACCTAAATCAATCTTAAAAAATATATCATATCCATTCTTAAATTGAAATCTTACCAGATCAGTATGAACTAAACAAAATCAACTGATTGTCATGGTTATAATTTACATTTAAGAGAAATCACCTTTGTTCTAAATTATGAGAAAAATAAATAAATAAAATTAAATATTTAGCTATTTTTACTTTTTTTTAAATGATTTTTTTTCTAAAATATCCTAACTATTTAATGAATAAACTTTTATAACATTATCGTTATCATATATATATATATATATATATATATATATATATTTCTTAATCAAGATAAATTTAATTTTTTATAAATAAATTATAACCTTTTATTTAATTTATTTTTCTTTATGAAAATAGTATTATTGAAAATATTCCCATTTTAATACGATAATTTGATGTTTGACCTTATTTTTAAAAGAGGTTTTCTTCACGGGTAAACCATATATCATTAATATTTTGTGTTATTTAATCATAATCATAAACAATAAATTTATTAATTTTCAAAAAGATTATCTCAAAAATTATATAATGAGTTTTGATTAATTTATACCAATAGTACATGCATAATATACACTATAATTTTAATAAATTTATATTTTAAATATTATAATTCATATATTCTAAAAATAAATTATAATTAGGTATGTTTCATGTCATCCTAATATTATTCACCTTAGTTAAATAAATAATATTTTTGTATGACAATATTATCCTTGTATTAATTTTATTTATCTTGAAATATATAGTAGTATAGTTATATTTATATTTCTATAATCACTTTATTTAATATTATATATAGTGTTAAAACTCAAACGTATGTAACAAATTTATGTTATATAACTAATTGTTATGTTATATTTAAATAAAAAATTGGTTAACTCTAAAAATTTATTATTATATACAAAAATAATCCTTACTATATCACAAACGTTCTAACTTTTAAAATATAAAAAATATCCTAATTTATAAACCTTTACAAATATTTTATTTAAAATAATTATTTTGAAAAAACAGTCATCTTATAATGTATCAAATTATACATATAGTTAGATGAAAAGGTAAAGTTACACAACAAAAATACGTTATAACTTATGAACTCGTTAACATTTTATGTAAAGAACGAGAAATTTAGTTGAAAAGGTGACTTGGATTTGGTGGTAATTAGAAATTGATTAATATCATAAGAACTAATTAAGCAGTTAATTATTATGAACACTGACAAGATAAGGGATGAAGTTGTTAACTTGCATGTCAGCCACGTGGAAGATGAAACACTGCAACCTGCTACTACTTAAGGCACCATGTTTTTCTGTTCCACCTCTTCAGATCAGATGTGTTTTCCTTTGACACTCAAAATCACCATGGAACCCTTCAAACTTTCCCTCTTCCTTCTTCCACTCCTCTTTGCTTTCATAACCTTTTCTAATCCAGTGCTGTGCAATGGTACTCACTCTTTCTCCTCATCTCTTTAATTGGATTTATTCTGTTCATATTCTGCATCTCTTCTGTGATTTTCCTACCACAAGAGAATTTTTCACTTGAATTATCTTAGTTATGCACCAAAGATATTTAATCATCTTGCATTATTTTAGTTCATAGCTTATTACTTTGGATGAAGAATGTTCATTCTATCCAATTCCATGATATATATATTTGCTTAAACGATGGAAAACTATTTTTGTATTGCTATAAAGTTATCTGTTCTGTTTATATTTGAGCAATTAATTGCTTTGAGGTCATGCACTAGTTTTCACTAATTATAAACAAGGTCAACTGAGTTTTTCTTACCTTCAAAATTTACCAACTTTAATACCTATATATTTTGTTTTCTTCTCTTAACTGATATCATTTAATACTTATATTTTATTGAGGAAATTCACTAACAGTTTTTATTTTCTAAATATAAAAACTTTCACCCCTCATCTTATTTTTGTTGACTATTATGAGGTAGAAATAGGTATTGTCATGCTTTACTTGAATCAAATTTAAAATTTTACTTTTATAATTCACTTATTTGTATGTAAGTTTTCTTCATCAAGAACACAGATTTTTCGTCCTTTCAGACCGAACTTCAAGCAAATATATATACAGTAACCTACAGAGTTGGATTGATAGATAAAAGTTTGGATAATTGAAAAGAATAATAATACGTTGGCAATTAATTTTTTCACATACAATCACTTACTCATAATAACATTTATATTATTTTTCCATTATTATAAATATATGACAAATTACGTTCTCTGATTGCAATAACAATAAAGATGAGTCTTTTAGCAGAGAAAAAAATATGTCAATTTTTGAGGACCAAAAACACCATTGATACTAGTACAATGTAAGGATCTTAAGTATACAAAGTTTGGTTTGATCAGACAAGGAGGACAGTGTATTTAAGGGAATCAACAGCTACAGGCAGACGCAGAATCTGCCACCACTGAACCAAGTTTCCAAGGCAAATTGTTTGTCTGATGAAGTTGCAGAAGAAATAGAGAAAACGCCCTGTGAAAATGTGAATCGATTCTACCCATCAACTGTTTCTGGTGGTGGCAACAATCTTAACATCCCCAACTTGCAGAAGCACATAGATAAATGTGGCATTAACATCAACACCACCTCAGATGGGGTCATTCTCCCAGTTTGTGTCTCCAAGTTGGAACCCACCATTGTGCTCTCGAACTACACTCATTCAGATCGCTACGCACAGTTTCTCAACAATTCCAAGTACACAGGGGCAGGCCTTGGCTCTGAGGATGATTGGATGGTCCTTGTTCTCACCACCAACACTGCCGCTGGAAGTTTCTCTCCTTCAACTTCTGCTCATGCTAATGCTGCTTCTGTGGGGCTCTTGATCTTTGCTTTGCTGCTTCTACTCATCAACCATCTTGATTGAGCACTTTGGTCTTTCTTCTAAGCTTCATTTTGTGGAGTGTGGACACTTTAATATCACTCCTCTTGTGTAAATGTAATGTGAACTGTGAAGTGATCTTACTTATGAATTAATTTGTGTGTTGTTGTTATTTTTAGTCTTCAATACTTTTCTCATGTTACAGTCAGCTTGTGTCATTTAAGACAATGATCGGTGTATAATGTACGTCTTGTTTTTGGCACGTGTCAGGTCAAAGGAAAATTAAGAAAAAAAATTATAGTTGTGATAAGTGATATCTTACCTGACAAGAAAAGGGATCAAATTTTATTACCAATCCTAAACTAAACAAATACTAAATTTTGGGATCAAAATCATCTGAACCCTTTTGCTATGAATCAGCAAACTGAGTTTTGGTCTTTTGGTCCAGTCAAGCTGGTGGATTTCTTCTCTTTCCCTGGGCCTGCTTGTTTATGATTCTTGAATCTGTTTGATCTTTTTATCAAGACTGATTTTTTTTGGTAGTAATTATTAACCACACATTTATCGTCAACAAGTTGCAAGGATATAATTATATATATATATATATATATATATATATATATACATATTCATATTTTTGGGCATTTCAACTTTTAATCACTGAGAGACTGCAGTTCATTACATATAGTGTGAAACAAACTCACTGGACTTAGATCGTAAAATGTGAGAAGCATGTTTTAGTAACAATTTCTTTTTTCCTTGGTTTTCTTTTCTCATAGATATCCTCCTTTCACCACCTTTTTTTGCCAAACTTCAAAACATAAATTCACCGTGTACAACAAATTTAAACTGCTATGCTTCTTAATATATTTTTTCTCTGAAGTGCATCTTTTACATCTGATACTAGTTGAGCATATTGCAATCAGAAAACAAATCTTTTTTTCTGACACAATACACTCCTAATCCGTGTAGTTTGTGAGAACAAATGATTGCATAACTCTAAAAGCTGCATAATATAAATATATGCAACCAAAGCAACCTCAGGAGCAGATAATCTGAACAACCTTTTCTGTATGACTAAATCTTTACTGCATAAACGCTGCAGGTCTTCTACACTCAACAAAAGAAATAAGCAAAAGGAAAAACAACCACAATTCTTTAGGAGTAATTGATCATTGACAAAATATTAATGACAAATAGATTATACATGTATACTTTAACACTTGAAATAATATAAAAAGAAAATAACAGCTATTTTTCAAAAATACAAAATTGTTTCTCTCCCTATAAAAAGCAGCTACTCTTGTAAGTGGACTAGTATGGTTTCTGTGAATCTCTCCATGACAAGTTACCAACTTTTTTTCATAAATTGAAAAATATAGTTACATGTCAAGTAGAGATTAGCTGAGAGACTATACACAATCTAAAGCCATACAATAATTGCTCCTTGTGTCAACAGAGGATACAGGGGCTAGAAGTGCACCTACCTGTTGTGCAAGGGGTCAGGAGAGGAAGGAACTACTCTATTAACTGCAGCATAAGACCCTTCATTTGTTTCATTTATAAACCCTTTCCTCCATACTTCATTGTTGAGCATATGCTCCACTTCTTCTTTTACATAACGAGCACCCAATACTTGATGATTCAACACTGAAATACTTAGTAGTATCAGCAAGAGACACCCTACCTGAGACCTTGAAATTGACATCACTTCACTACAATTGCCAATGATCATTACCAAACCTCTTCCGGCTTCTATGTTTCAACCAAGAAAAGAAATTAAACAAGAAAGATTTTCAAGAATAAGTGTGTGGTAAGTAGCGCAAGGGAAAGGGTTCTCCTCGATGTAAGTGGGAAGGGGAATGAAGATTATGAGTTATGACTTGTGACTCTTTTAGTATGCTGAGTTTGAAATGAGGATAGTAGTTTCCCCACCAAATGTGTAATGTAGGGAACAAATGGTCAAGCTCGTGCTTCAGTTAGTTTAATTAGTAATAATATTAGTTCCAATGTAGAACAAGTCAGAGTTAATAATGTTTGACTACCTTGTCATGCGTCTTACTTCTTAGTCAGTGTCCATGTAATTAAACCTGACCCGACATATAATATAAGGACGTTTCAGAAATCAGAACTTGGAGAGTTTGTGCATTGATGGTGAAATATGTGCACTGTTGTCTATTGGATACCAACCAACCATTCCTTTATCAACTATTAAACATTTATGGCTATGGATTCTTGTTTAAGTCAGTCAATGAACTCCTTATACTTCCAAAATCACCCTAACCTTGTCAATCATAGAACCTTAATTTCAGGATCAGAACTAGACTCTCTACAATAGTTTATTTTATTTTGTTATTTTTTTCCACCTATAAAGTCCAAAGTGTGCTTTATCAAAATGTCTTCATGGCCGGTCAATGCTTTTTTCTAGGATTAGTGTGACTTTTGTTTCTATTCCTATGGTATCTTCATATTTTCACAGTACAAATGTCTCACAAAACTGAGTTACATGGTTGATGAGGGAGTGAGAGATTTTAGTAAACTGTAAAAGGCATCTTCTAGCTCATGTTTTGTTTGGCTTAATGTTTCTAGACTAATGCATGTTAGTGGGGTTTGTTTTTTTCTTTGGACTAGTTTGTGGCAGCTTTTAGATTCTATATTATATTTCCTTTCAAATTGTGGGATTCGTCATTTTCAATTAGCACTCGTAGTTGTGTCAGATGTTTGTCATTTTTTTAAGTTGATCAAGCGACTTGTAAGTTGTGAAGACAAGCTTCTTTCCAATTAATCTATCGCTTCAAAACCTTGTTCTGGTCGGTTTCCATTGGTCATCAAAGTTCCCAAGGGCAAAGCACTGTTTCTCGTCTCTAACATTAGTTGGCACCGACTGAAAAATAAATTAGGTCATACTAGTAATTACCAAAGTTTAGCGTAAACACTAAGCATGTTCAAAGACTTCTACCAGATTGTGTTGACTTTTTGTACCACCAATTCTTATTGGGGTAAACCCTAATGGTCGACATAGTGCTATTGGGGTCAAATTCTGGAGGGAAAATTATGGTGTGTTAATTTGATAGACTAAGACAAATATGATTATTGCCTCTGGAAATTATTGAAGCAAACAAATAAAGTCATCGCGTGGTTCGTATTGAATTTAGACTATTTTCAGTGCGAAATCATGTCCAAGCAGTGCTAAAGTTGACAATGAGGCAAGCATAATTATATAGCCTAAATTTAATCTACTTTCTATTAAATATTCTACATCGTGTTTTGGTAGATTTCGCCTAATCTGTGTCAAAGCTGAAAATGTGTCAAACACTCAGTTCAAATTTAATCAGCTTTCGTTTTATACTTTTTACACTCATGTGTCGGTCGGATCTAATAGTAAAATACGAGTGAGGGACATGGAAATCTAAGGATAATAGTACAAGTTTCTGTTAGGGTTTAGGCCAAAAGCTATAGCCATTAGTCAGAGTGCAACTCTTTTTACTTTAACAGCCCAAGTGCCACGATTCAATTGTGACTCGGCCCACCTGACCTTCGTCACAGGACAATTGATGCTACCTGCAACAATCTCCCCCTCAGCAATGGCCCACCTGACCTTCGTCACAGGACAATTGATGCTACCTGCAACAATCTCCCCCTCAGCAATGCCTCCACCACGGGACAATTGTGCAATCCGCAACAATCTCTCCCTCAACAATTGCCCACCAAGAATCGAACTCGTGACCTTGACTCTGATACCAATTGTTAGGAACAAGACAATAATAAAGGAAAGAATAAAGGAGAGAAAAATAAACGACACAAGAATTTTAACGTGGTTCGGCTAAAATATGTATGCCTACGTCCACGACTACACTAGGAAGTATTTTAATTTCTGTGTATATCTCAAACTTTACATAGGGTTGCTTATATAGCAAAATAGAGAACCTCATCTCACAATCCTAATCGATGTGGGACTAAATCAAGCACCATAATACTAACAGTTTCTAAATTGAAGGTAAAAAGGAGATGATTTTTAAGAAGGAAAATGAGGCGAATCCGATTGGATCACTGTTAAAACAATCCAAAGTTCTGCTGCCGTGAAGGCATTACATTTAATCTGAGCAAGACTCGGCCTTATCCGAGATAACTTAAGCACCTAACCGAATCCAGATACGTTCACCATGGGGCAGTCGCAAAAATAGGACTTCACAAAATGGGGAAGAAAAAAACCAGTGACTGAAATTTTTTATGCTCTGTAGTGATTAAAACAATTTAATTAACCACCCATTTACAAATCAATCTGTGACGTGAAACGAGAGTTTATATATAATATATCATTACCTATTTGAATGACATTTTTTCAACCAAGGTTTTAAATGAGACTTCGATGGTTGCTGTTCGTTTTCCACTGGAGCACCCTCAACTTGAAAAAACCTATTTTGTATCTTTCACTCAAGGTAATTTTGGAGGAGTTTCAACGGTACTCCCAAATATTCAATTCATCGATAGCAATGAACCAAACTCATCCAAAACTCAGCCCCAATAATTAATCATGGAATTTTAGTTTACAAACGTAACGAAAAAAAAAAAAATCACTGAAGCACGCCTCATAACTTGCATTAACAACGTAAAAGACAAGAGCTCGTAGTTATGATAATCACAAGTTATCGCCTCTATATTCCCGCAAATGAATGAATACACGATCATTTAATCTTTGAATTGTGTTTCAGCTACATATTCTAAAATGCCAAAAAGCTATACTTTCGTTCTATATATTTCGTCCATGATGCCCAGTTTCCTCTTAAACCGTTACTGTGAAGAGGTAAATCTTTAGTACAACAGCCAGAGCCAGCTGCAACAGAAATATGCCAGCAACAATCAAGAACCATCTTTCACCTGCTGATTTGATATGTGCCCGGAGATTAAGTGCCACAAATGTTGCTGACATGAACCCGGCCACACCTGCAACCACCCATCTAAATATATCCAGTGGCACAATGGACATACACTGCATAAAACAAAGGGTTTAACTTTTGAGAATACAATACAAAACAAACGTCAAATTTCATGTTTCCTTAAAATAAAAGGTAGGAAAAAAAAAAAAAAGAGTAACAACTTACCAGAGCCGGAATAAAGACAAACAGGGAATACCCATATAGACAGAATAGTTGCACAAGGCCCGCCGGTGCAGATAAGTATTTGAGGATTACATACAGGCAAAGTGGAACTATGGTGACGTAGCCATAAAATAAACCAGCAGACCAAGTCACCAGATTTATGTCATAATTCCATTCCTTGCTCTTCAGCTTGTGTGCTATATATGTCACAAAGGTGCCAATAGATGCTGCTACAAATATTAACGTAGTGCAAATCCAGAATGGACCATACCTGCATATATATATATATATATATATATATATATATATATATATATATATATATATATATATATATATATATATATATATATATATTCATATGAACTCAAAATTACATGCACAAAATTCACTCTTTTTGCGACAATGTTTTAAGAAGTATTGTTCTCCAAGAATAAAAAATGGTGAACATGATCTTGTCCAACACCAGTAATAAGTAATAAGAGATTAGGCCACAAAAGATACTTCCATAAACATACATATAAATGGAACAAAACAAGAAGGCATGACTTTTTAGCTTGGAAGATATTGTCATATTAAAACTGGCTGCAACAACATAGATACACCACTTCTACAAAAAATTATATTTACTATGTGCATATCATAATTTGAAAATGTCAGAACTCAACCAGAAATTGGTAGTATGCTCAGTCAACGACATGAGTAGAGACAGTCTACTCACAAATCAGGGTTGGTAGCAGTTTTTTCATTAAAAGATCCTCTAAATGGAAATAGTGAGTCTATAATCCTCTCCAGAACATCTGAAGAGTCCACATCAAAATACGGTTTGTAAGCGGCAAGTGTAAAAGTCCGAAACCAACCGCCCTGCTGGGTTTCATCAGAACCAGATATAGGTTTTGAAAATGAATCTGCATAAAATGAACAAAACAATTAAACAAAAAAATGTAAAAAAAAAAAAATATATATATATATATATATATTGGAAATATTACTTTATTATCTTTTATTTAAATTAGATATTATATCATATTTTTACTCTCTCTCTCTCTCTCTCTCTATATATATATATATATATATATATATTACATGAAAAAAACATGAAGATACACACGCAAGAGATATATTTCATATATCAAGAAATACAAATACACAAAAACTCTAAAAATTCTCATCAATATCCAAGAAAAATAATTAAACATAACAGCTCCATTCATAAAATTGCCAAAAGTACAACAGAAAGCATTGCCATGAGTAATAAGCATCAATCACCCCCAAGATTAAAAGAAATAAGTGCAAGATTCAAATCGAACCAAACACAGACAGTAAAAAAAAACTATCATATTATGGACTGGTTTTGACCCTAAAGTATGTAGTAACAGTCATCTCTGTAACACAATTATACAAAGTAGGTTAATGGGTGTCGCATCACATCACATCCAAGTAAGTTTCCTGCACAGTTTCCACCATAGTCCATAGTTATCAATATGGAATAGCAACATTTGCAGCCAAGCCCCCAAATACTATAGTGAAATAACATAGCATGAAGACTTCTATTTTGAAACTTTTTATATAGATTGTATATATTATCCTATACATATTGTCCCTACAACTAACTATTTTTTGTTTTATTCCCTATATGAAAAAAATCCTATATTTGAATCCCTACATGAAGAAACCTTTTACAAATTAGTGAATACCATTATGATAATTGACATCATTTTTTGTATAAATCTCTAAACTATAAAAAAAGAAAATTAAACTTTATTTTACCCCTCCATGTAAAAAACTCCACATATTTGGTCCTTACATTCTCTCTCTCTCTCTCTCTCTCTATATATATATATATATATATATATATATATATATATTTTGTTTTGTCCTTACATGAAAAATTCTTTAACATCAGCACATCTTCAATAAATGATTGGGATCAATCTTTTATAATTCTTTTTCATATATGAATGGAAATGTAATTATTTGTAGGATGACAAAACGAGTGAATCTACCATAGTTAAAATAGACTTTAGATCTCAGTACATCCTACCAAAGGGCGTGCTGACCTGCTAGCCTATGTATTTTTAAAAAATATACCTTTAATTAAATGAATTATTTTTAAATTTTTATTTATTAATTAATATTTTTATTAGATAAATTGAAAAAATTATTATATTTATGGATCAAAATAACTAAGTATAATTAATACTTTAAACTTAATTAGTTAAAATTTATAATTTTAATTATAATATTATAATATATTTATATTTTTCAATAACATAACACAAAAAATTATAATTTTTTATTTATTTTAATATATAATTTTTTTTAAAGCATACCAATAAATCAACCCGCCCTACTCCGCTTTAGGCCCGTCGGGTTGACAGGTTTGCCGGGATGGGAAAAATGAGAAGACAGATTAAAACTACCAATTTGTCTCGTCATTTTTGAGGTCGTTTGACAACGATATGTCGGACTTAACCTGTTTTATCATCTCTAATTATTTTTCATTTTAGATAATAAAAAAAAAGACAGGTGTAAAAACAAAAATATAATTTAACCTTAAAAAAATAACAATCTTGTCGGATAAAAGGGAAGCGGGATAACCTATATTTTAAATACTTTAATACAAACAAATTTATACTGCACACGTGAATAATTAAACCAAAAAATAATTGAAGAAATTCATAATAAATAATAACTCAGACATTTTTCAGACACAGTCAATCTAGGTGCAATAAGAACAAAGTAATGAAATCAGAAAAATGAAAGATGAAAGTGAAATTAGTAGAAAAAAAAAACATAACAAATTAGATAAAAATTAGCAGAGTGTGAACGAGGAAGCTTAAAGGAAGAAGAAAAAATAGAACACGCGAAGGAAAATAGTCCTGTAAAGTATGAAGAAACAAAGGGCAAAACACGGGCAACTTTCGTTACAATAGTCAAGAAAGAAGGGTTTCAAATCCTATTGTTTCTGCAGCATAAAATGCATTAGAAAATATAGACGAAATCACAATTTTACCCAAAAGAGGGCTCTAAACATTGTTTTATGAGTAAAAAATGAGTTGGAGGCCTATATTATGGTAGCACCACAATAACATTCAAAAAGTCGCTATTAGCAACCACTCTGCTGTTTTTAATCCCGTAGCACCATAATATCGCACTATTGCCTACTTACTAATCAAAATCCATGACTAAATTATAATTAAGGTTAAAAACAGCATGGGTCATTAATGAAACATGCAAGTAAATAATAAAAAATTGAATTTGGTTGAGACAATAAAAAATAGAAAATAATTAAGACTAGAAAGAATAAATAAATCTAAAAGCAACAAAAACATCACAGGTCATTGATGAAACTTGTAGGAAAATAACAAAAAATTGAGTTTGGTTAGGAGACAATAATAAATAGAAAATAATTCAGACTAGAAAACAAAAATCTAAAAGCAACATCACACTCTTTTATCATTTATTCCATTGCCATGCAATGATGTTTTCCCCCACAGGCTTCACTAGTGCACAAGAAGAGGTTGAGGATGAGGCTCTCTTTTGAATGGGTCCTTGAGACAATGCCAAGGCGATCCCTTTGAGAAAGAACAGACGAGGTTAAGGGTGTATATCGAAGTTCAGAACAAATAAAAGAACAGGGATTGGTGTCTGCCAGAAATACTGGTGGAGGAGGGAGGGTATTGGTTCCACAGAAGAGATAAGCATCTACCAAAGTTATTAAACTCGAGATTCTAACTAGGATCGCAAGGGGGATGAAAATTCATAACTCAGGATCATAAATATAAAATCCAAAACTATATATATATATATATATATATATATATATATATATATATATATATATTACATATATGTAATATTAAATACATAAAAAATAGAAAATAACCTCTATCACCATTAAACAAACTTAAAGTGAAATTTCACAACCGTATTAATAATATATTATAACTAAACAGAATACTTATAATATATTATTTATGGTTAAGAGAAAAGGGGAACACTTGGCTCATCAAATAAAATAATTATTTATTATAATCATTTTAAAACTTATAGTCTCATTCTATGAATATTTATAATTATATGTTATACACTTAGGCCCACTTATAACTTAAAAAATACACAGGCTCATTCAAAAAAATCTTGGCAAATTGCAAACAGGTGCAATCAGCAAATCAGCAGCGGCCCTGGGCAATGATGGTGGTGAAGGGTGAAGGTCCGGCAGTTGCAAATAATGAAGGAGAAGAAGCCAGCAAACAAGTGCAGGTCACAACAGGGAATGAGTGTGAAACACGACTGGAACAAAGTGTTTTTAGGATTATTAAAACAAATTTTTTGGCCAAATTCTGACTCGCTCGGAATCAGCAATCCCACGTGGAAAATTGTAGCCCCCCTCCCAAACGATTAAGGCGACAATTCAGCACAGACAAGGCTGCTTGGCAACTAGGATCTCACAATTCACAATCACAATCATGATTTTAACAACTATTCCATAGGAAATTACATCCAATTATGTTTTTTTTTTTTTTTCAAGTTCTGATTGGGGAAGGAAAATCTCAACCCCGCCTCCCATAGACAATGCAGTTTCAAGGGCAAATGAGTTTTCAAGATGTGTCACTTGTGATGCCGCTATAGTGTTGTAACAAGCTGCTACTTCGGCCACAATATGGCCCATGACAGACACTGTTCAAAAATGGACTCTGATGCAAACTTCGTAGCAGCCCAAGGCTGATACACTGCTATACCGCAATACTGATGATTACTACTATAGTTCCCTCTTCCATCCACACCTTCTAACATTCTCATCAGACAAATCAATGCATAATTTTATATGATATATTGCACGCACATATAAGATAATTATGATAACAAATAAATAAACAAATAAAGCAGAAGGATAAACAAGTTTATGAAATTCAAAACTAGATCGGGGGAATACTAATACAACAAGATTTGAAAACCTTTCGAGTATTACCAAACCCAGGTTCCTATGATGTCATCTCATCATCGCTTTATTAAGCTGTTAACTAAATAATTAAACTAAAGTCCTAAGGTACAGCGTCTAATAGACTATTACCAATCTAGAATATTCACTACACAAATGCAATGATGGATCAGTAAATGATCCAATCACTGGGAAAGGGAAGCTTTTAATTAACCTATTGTTTTTAGAAGATGTTGAAAAAAGAATGAAGAGAGTAGTTAGCACACACCATCGGCATCACGAGGAGGCCCAGAAGCAGCGGTAATCTTGCCCTGCGATCCAGAAGGAGGAAATGTCTGAAGATTGGAATCTAAAATGCAAAGAAATCACAAATCTATGATTAGATCCGGTATTAGAGAATGAGTGTCATGTAATTTGGAAAGAGTGAGAAAGAAAGGAGAATTGAACCTGCGAAATTGACGCTGACGTGCCGTGAATCTGGAACGGACTGAAAGAAAGGAAAGAGAGTATTGAGATGTTGATAAGAGAAGAGATTACAACGGAAATAGATTTCGATTTGGATTTGGATAGAGAAGACTAACAGGAACAGATCCCTGAACTTGCTGCGCGTCAATGGAAGTATATTTTCCGGTCATCATCTTGACTGGATCTTCCTCTTTTCCTTCGCTCAGATCTCTCCTCTTTAGCTATGTCATCCAAAAAGCTTGTCCGTGTTCATTTTGTATTTAAATAGCTCTTTTTAAAAAAAAAATAAAGAGTTATTAAATAACTGTAATTCGTAAAATTAATTTAAAAATAATTGTTGTCTCCTTCTTTTCTTAAATCATAAAACAAATAAAAAATATTTCAGTATTTAGTTCTTGGTTTTCTTTTATTCTTGTTTATCTTTCTATTTTTTTTTTTATATTATACATTTTTATGCGCCGCTACATGGTGTCTATTTCAAGTTATCTTTTCCAATGAATTTTAAGACAGCAATATTATTCTCGTGGATGTTTCAAAGTCGTGAAAATATATCCTTTTAGATTTTATTTTTTAAACAAAATCGCATTTGGATGGTCAATGCTTAAATATATTTTTGTTGTATTTTTTTAAAACTTGATCTTGATTTCTGTATTTTAAAAATTGATTAATTATTTTTTAAATTTTCTAAAAATATAAATTTATCTTTTTATCAGTTTTATAACAATAAAAATATTAAATTTAGATGTAAAAAAAACATATTTTATTAATTATAACTAATTTTGTGATTATAAAAAATATCAATAAATGTTAAATTTATATATTAAAAATAATATATTTTAAAAATTAGAAGATTAAATTATTAATTTAAAATATAAAAAAAAATAAATTTAATATATATATATATATATATATCAATATTTTTAAAATATATCTGATAATAATAAAATAAATAATAATTATTTAAAATTAATATAATTGATATAAAATAAAAAAATTATTATATTTTTATAATATATATATATATATATATATATATAAATTTAAAAAAAATAAAAATTTTGATCATGACCGAAAAAATTACAATCAAACTAATATAACTCTTCCTGTGTCGCGAAACTTTAAACATAATATAAATGATTCTAACTAGAATTTAATCAATAACTCAGAACATACTAATACCTAAATATCATTCAAATTCAAGCTCAAAACATAGAAAAAGGCATGGAAATCCAAAATCAAAATGAACGAGACTATGCTGGATAGCTTCCCATCTGATTTTCTGGTAGACAAAAAATAAAAAAGAGAAAAGTTCTATTCCTGGCGAGAATCTTTTCTTCATATAATAGGAAAAGAAACAATTGAAAACCTGGTTCAAAGTATTCAGTAAATATTTTTCAGCCAATACAATACAGTTGGTAACGTGTATCAAAATTTAACCAACCTGCATGCAAGTGTGTCACTACACACCCATTAAAGAGAATGGAATGGGTTCTAATATTTGAAATTTCATTACTAGGATTACAAGATATTCCTACCCTTTGCAAACACAACTTAGCGGCAATATTCAAAATCTGCCTCATTGTCCCGCCAAAAATATCTCAATATTCAAAATCTTAATATACTAATCGTCATCTGAACTACTATCTTCCGAAGTCTTTCCCATGTCATCTGCTACGGTTTTATCCTGCAGATATGCAAAGTTATGAGTGCAATAGCTGTGCAGAGTATGAAGTAACTTGTTACAACTTCAAAGGATACTTACAGGCATTTTGTCCCAATCCTTTATTCTTGAACTTGTCAGCATATAATTATCTCGTAGTGGAGCCCAAGCAGGCTGTTCATCTTCTACCTTGCCTGTGCCTTCATTAGCCTGCATATCAAAACCCAGACAGTTTGATAATTTAGCAACAGAAAGAATAGTTACAGTTTATTGTCAAAATCAAATAAAAAATTACCAGTTAGAAACACTAAACATGGTCATGTAAAATATCTATGGTCATTTTAATGTAAAATAACTAGCATATTGTTCTTATAGAGAACTTGAAGGCACTGGTTTAAAAACATCAAACCAAATTCAACCAGTTTGACAAACCAAATAATAATATATTTAACATAAACGGTTGAATCCACATCCAAAATAGTATGACTGAAATTTGTTCATATTCAGGATCTTGCTTCTAACTATAATAAAATAACTGGTCAAACTGAAAGAAAACCAGTTTGATCATTTTTAAATCACTGTTTGAAATTATCAAAATCACCTTTGTAGTGGTGCCAATTGCAGGCAATGATGGTTTCCCCAACTCTGAAAAGAAGACTTGTTTGGTCCGTTTTCGTATCTCTGCCATCATACACATTTGAGAATTAGAATTATGCACACACCTCTTAATATTTAAGATGTTATGATTCAAGAAAATAGAACAGATCGGAATAAACAAAAGAGAATGGAACAGAGAAACAAGAATAATGTGTACTGCAGTTATATAATAAGAATAAAAAGGAAAAACGGCATTAAACAACTAACCTTTTGCATCCTTAGTCCTTGAGGGATTCAACCCTTTGTGCGCAGTTTGTGCCTTATTGACCTGCAACAGGTGTGAACAAAATCTCTCGCTCAATAATGATAGAGATACAAAGCATCACAGAGAAACAGGTACACGATCTAGGAAGAAACCAAAATTTGGTTAAATGTTAAGTGAAAACTTACAGCATTGAACAACTTGACCACTGAAAGTAATCCAATTTGATGCACGGTGACAACAAAAGTCCAAATCAGTAACAAGAAAATGCAAGTCATCAAAAAATTTAAACCAGCCATAGACTTTAATTTAAGACATTCAACCCATTTACCTCCTTTTGTAGCAACACTAATTAGAAACTTTTCATGCGAGTCCAAGTAAGCAGCAGGTTTGACATGCCCCTTTTCTGCTATCTGTAAAAAGCAATAAGATTACTATCTAAGACAGAAACTTTGGGGCAACAAAAACTGTGCATACAAATAAATTGTCAACAGTCAACCCTACTTTGGATAACATTAAAATCCATCAGCTTAAAATTTACGATTACCATCTGCTTTTCCTTTTTGGCCTCTCCCTTGACCTTGCGTTCAGCTTCCTCTTCTGCAAGTTTGTCTATAACAAGCTTCTTGTGCCCAGACAATATTGGACCCTACAGATTATACAAGTCTTAGAAAAATAGTTTCCCAATGTTCTGTAAAAACAGAATCTTCTCTAATCACATAACTCACCAACATGTCATCAGGAACACTCTTCTTTGTAATATTCCTAAAAGCCATCTTGAATGCTCTGCATCCTTCAGTGAATTTTGTAATTCCTGGCTGAATTTCATTATCATCTTCTCCTTCATCATCAGAGCTATGATCATTCATATCAGTAGCACTCTTATTCAATGTTTTCGGTGGTCCTGCAGCTCCCTCGTCTTCAGAGTGATCCTCGCCCTCTACGTCAACCTCCTTCATTCTTTTATTGGTGATAGATGTCAGAATTCTAGTCTCTGAGGCAGCAGGGACAGTGGCCTCATCTTCTTCATCATCAGAATTATACTCTCGTGCTCGCTTGCGGAAGAGTTTCTTCATTTTTTGGTCAATTTTAACTTTCTTCTGTCCATGCGGTGGTGGCCTCACTTTTGTTTTCTTACTTGACATCTTACGGCCTTGCTTTTTAACAAATTTCCTCTTAGTTCTTCCAGGTTCTATCATTATCGTTTCTTCAGCCATGGACTGTTCTATAATTCAACTGCAACCTGCATATGTCACGAGTAAAGATCAGTAATATCAACAAACTGCAGCATTCAGCATGTACCCGAATAAGGTGTGCAGAACAGGTACTACGCAAGGAATGAATGTGACACTAGTCATAAAAATAGTGGAAAGAAAAACAAATTAAGCACTCATAGCAACCGTAACCCATTCGCAAACCAGCTAATAGCTAGTCACTGAAATCAATTTCATTGTATCAACTACTTAACTGAACTGAAGAATATCTCGGTTAAACACATTCAGGTCACGCTCAACACAATCTGAGTTCAAAATCCAAGTTTACACCTCAAAAAACAGAACAACCAAAGAGAACCCAAACCATTGTCCTTAAATTTCAGAAAAGATAAAAACAAAATCATTCAGAACCAAGCAAACGCTAATCATGAGCCTATGACTGAATTGAATGTCAATGGGTTTCCAGTTAACCATGAAAAGACGAGACCTCCGAGTATCACTAACAGTGTCGAAGGAAAATCAAGAAAACATTGAAGTTCAATTTCTACAATACACACCAACAACAAAATAAATTACCGAATAGAAGAGAGATGACTCGTACCCGAATAATTGACGAGGTCTGTGCGGGATGGACTTACAGTGGCTGGAGGAGGGGGAGCGTTAGGGTTAAATTGGCACAAATTCAGTGGAAGTCATATAATTATATGATTCCTATATAATTAACTAAAAAACATATGGGTTCATTATTTATTCATTTAATTTTATAATAATAAAAAAAATTATTTTTCATTTTCATTATTATTTTATTATTAAAATAAGTTATTATTATGATTGGAATGAATACTAGTATAATATATCACTACTCTTTTATTTAATTTCTCTATAGATTAAAAAAATATTAAATCTCACAATTTTTAAAAATACAATGATGTTCTCTGCTGCTTATTTTCCCATGTTTGTTCTTTACGATTACAACCTTAAATTTTTGTATATATATATATATATATATATATATATATATATATATATATATGTTTGATTGCAATTTTTTTTAATATAATTCTATAATTTTCATATACAATTGAAAGAAAATATATATATAAGTAATGATATATTGATAATTATCTTTTACCAATATTCATTCAACAATCATTCTTACATTATTATATATGTATTTTATTTTATTCTTTTTCTATCAATAGATAAAAAATATTATTTTATAGGGTGTCAAAATATCTTTCTTTACTCTTATTTATATATGAAGCCAATGATATAAAAAATATTTAAACAAAACGATGAAAAAACTGAGGCAATAAAAGTAATTAGTTGTTATTGATTAATATTTTAATATATTTTTGTATGTTTATCTTTTATGTATTTAAATATATACAAACAAAGAATATTTATTATATAAAAAAACTCATAGAATGTATTAAAGTCATATTTCTTTAATTATACTATTAAATTACTTTATAATGATCATTAGCCTTAGACAAAAATAGTAATAGAGGTTTAATATTATTATATTTGATGTGAAAATCATGAAATGAAATTCTATAAAAATTACCTATATATATATATATATATATATATATATATATATATATATATAATATAACATCAATAAAATTAATCACCTCGTTAATTTAAATTTAACTGTACAATGATTTTGTTATTAAAAAACATGTTCCTGAATTATAATGAATTATGCCAAACATAGTTTAAATGGCTCTATCAAGCTTCTCACAATATTTGAGAAACAACTCTTTTGTCACAAAGAGTCTAAATTTCAGATTAAACAAAAACTCTATCTCCATCCTATTCATCTCCTCTGTACTAACTCCCCCTACTCTGGCAAAGTAGCTATTGCTATAGTACCTGTAAAAATGAAAATTTGCAAGAACTTATTAGTACTCATATGACATGCATAATACTGGTTTTTTGGGGCAAGTACTTACTTATCATCAAGAAACTTAGCTGCTATCATAACACCAGTGATTAGGAGGCGATGAGCATTGAAAGAAGTGAGGTAACCACCCTTTTTCTGAAGAAACCTTTCCATGTATATCTGTGCAATCACAAAGCAAGATGGGCTGCAATTAGAGTACTTGAAAATGCGTTCCATGTACTGTGTAACACTCAAGTTTGGTGCTTTGGACCCATGAAAGATGGTAACAGGATCACTCTTTCTGGTTGAGAGCAATAACTTCTCATTCTTCAAAATGGATCTCTCCCAGATTGAAGACAGATTGAGCAGAGCTTGTGGAGTCTCAGAGGCATGGCTCGAAGATGCTCCCAATTCTAATGATTTATAGGCCTCTGATATTGTGATAGCCATGTCTTCAGATGGTGGTGGTGTTTTCTCTTCTTCTATTTAAGTACTACACCATCATTAGGCTTGCCTTAATCATTGTATTAGCAATTTAATTAGTATGTTGTGGTTTTATTCTGGAATGGTAGAGAAGTTTTGCTTTTGGTTCTTTCTGGAGAATATTAACAAAAGTGTATTCTTTCCTTTGGGTTTGAGATATGACACTCCAGAGAATATTATGCATATGTTCTGATAAAAGATGGAAGCAATTCCATTTGGTCGAGCCAATTTGGCACAATATACAGTTCAAAACTCTGTGAAGCTTTCATTTTCTTCAAGCACCAATAAATTCCAAGTCAGGTATCAAGTATAAACCAATTAAAATACTTACGAGGATAATGTGTATGAAGTTATGTGAGTACATGTCCCTATTATGTTCAGAGTATGATTCTGACAATAATTTAGAATTGCTCAGTGAAGATGTTACTTACTAAAAAACAGGAATAAAGTGCTTAATTCAAACAATAACCTTGGAATAAAAAAAAATTATATATCGCATGTGTTATTTTTTAATTATATATAAATATATATATATATATATATAAGTATTAATATTTTTCTAAAATTATTCATCTTTCATTTTTTATTATCAAAATAAACCTTTAAGTCAATTTTATAATATATAATTACTTGAAAATATAAGTTAAAATATATTTATTTTCTTGTACTAAATAAAATATTTATAACATCTTTATAAAATACAAAATATACATACCTAATTAAATTATTAATAAATTAAAATATTTTATAATTATATTAAATTCTAATAAAATAATATACAATATTGATCATGATATTTGACAAAAAGAATAAAAGAAAAGTAAATTTTAATATTTCCTCAAACTAACACTCAAACTAACGCATATAAATGTCATATGTCAACTTGATAATATTTTGAGAATATTTTATTTGAGACAATATTTATTAGGACAACACTAAATTAATCTTTTGAGCCAAGCGTATATAATTTTACACTTTTTTCTTCTAATTTTCTTTTGATAAAAAATTTTATTCACTTCAACATGTTTTGTTCGATCATGTTGGATTAGATTATGAATAATATCACAAATAATTTTATTATCACACTTAAAAATATAATTTCAAATATATTCATTTTCTAATATAAAATATGTACAATATATTTATAAGATACAAAATATTTATACTTAATTGGGTTAATAAAAAACTAAAATATCAACAATTATACTAAATCTTAATAAAATAATATACAATCTGTATTATAATATTTTTCAATGAAAAGAAAAAGAAAGTAAATCTCAACACCCCTTAAGTTGATGTATATAAATCTCATATGTCCAACTTGGCTAGACATTGTGGGAATATTTTCTTTGAGACAATTTTTGGTAAGATATCAATTAATTGATCTTTAGAGCAAATCGTAGAAAATTTTATAATTTTTTTGTTTAATTTTTCTTGATAAATAATTTATCCACCTCAACACATTTTGTTTGATCATGTTGTACTAAATTATGAGTAATATCACAATCAACTCTATTATCACACTATAATTTAATAGGTTGTGTGAATGAGTATTCAATATCTTTTAAGAGAAATCATTGTCATAAACCATTATAAAATGTGTCAAACCTTTAACTCATCTTTTGTGCTTATAAGAGACCACACTTTGTGTTTTTGTTTCTCCATGTAACAAGATTACCATCAATAAATGTAAAGTAGTTTGATGTTGATTGTCTATCTTCCAATAATTCAGTCCAAGCATTAGTATATACATCAATTTGTTAATAATTTATATTTTCGTGAACAATAATTTTTTTCTAGGTATTGACTTTATATATCCTAAAATGTGCATAATTACATTCATATGTTACCCTCCAGGATTATGCATAAATTGGTTAAGCATACTTCATACGTAGGTGGGATTTGGTCTATGTGTGCTAAGTACATCAATTTTTCTACATGTCTTTGATACCTTAATTTATCAACTAAGAATTGATATAACGTAATATAAGTTTCAACCTTTTTTCTATTTGTGTATTTGTTGGTCGACAAGCTCACATACCTATTTATTGTAATAGGTCTAAAGTATATTTTCTTTGAGGCAAAAAAGTTATTTTCTTAAATATATATATATATATATATATATATATATATATATATATATATATATATATATATATATACTTCAATTCCAAAAAATATTTGAAAGGACAAGATCTTTCATTTCATCTTGACCATTTTCTATAACAATCATATCATCCACATATACAATAAATACAATTATTTTACCTTCTTGTTTCTTCAAGAATAAAGTGTAATTTGAATTACTTTAATGATATCTAAATGTTGTCATAAATTTTGTAAACCTTTCAATCCATGCTTGTGGGGATTGTTTCAACCCATATAATTTTTTTTTTAATTTGCATATATTTCTATTGTATTGTTCAGGTACCATGTATAATTCATTCCCCATGTAAAAATGCATTATTTACATTAAACTATTTCAATGGTCAATATAAATTTATTACTAAAGATAATAATACTCGAATAATATTAATTTTTGCTACAAAAATGTCTCTATGTAATCAATCACATATGCTTAGACATATCTTTTTGTCACCAATCTTGTTTTAAATCTTTCCATTGTACCTTTTGCATTTGACAGAGTAAATTCATCGGCATCCTAATAGTTTCTTTTTTATGGACAATCAATATGGATCCAAATTTTATTTTTTAAAGTAAGTTCATCTCCTCATTTATAGCGGTCTTTCATCTTGAATCAGTTAACAATTCCTGCATATTGTTAGGAATAACTACTATATATAACTGATTCATTAATATTTTATTTATTTTTTACTGTCTATGAATAGATACATAATTACTTATGAGGTATTTAACTTTATTAGAGAATTTAGGTTTATAAATAAGTTTAAGAATATCTTTAATGAGACTATTTGACAATTATTTTCTGACCAACAAATGATTGGTAACATATTCATCAAAAGTTTCATGTATTATTTCAATATTATTTTCATGTAGAGATTCACTTAATTATTCAATCTTACTCCCATTAGGGTTTTTGTCATGCTTCAATATTATCTTTGTTCATAGATTTTTTTGTGATGCTTCAATGTCAATTTGTTCTTCATCTCGTCAAAGGTTGATATGAATTTATATCACTTAAATTTATATATTCTAAATTTTGAATTTTCTAGATTTCTTGTTGATTTCCTCGTGAAAATCAGATTCAAAAGCAAAATACAGTGTATCTTCATAAAAAATCACATCAATTATTACGTACTTGTAATGAGTAAGAAGATGATAACACCTCTAACTTTTTTATGTATAGCATATCCAACAAAAATAACTCTTTGAAAAAGTATTAAAAACTCCTTGAGTTTGAACATCACAAACAACTAATTTTATTAGATGTATCAAATTTCTTTTTTTCATGTAGAGATTTTAAAAATTTAGAGATTTCAAAAGATTTAAGATCTAAAGAATAATTACTCCTCTTGATACCAACTTAAAAATATAAACTAAAATATATTTATTATCTGATACAAAATAAATTATATATCTAATTTATCTCTACAATACAAAAGATGGATACTTAGGTTATTATGAAACTAAAATCTTTTATAATTATATCAAATCTCAATCGAATAATAAATAATTTATACAATGATATTTTGTAAAAAGAATAAAAAAAAGGAAATCTTGGCATAATTATTTAATTTTTATTTATTTATTTAATAGTTTGAAAACTATATATGTAGAATTTTTTTATTTTTTTTCAAATAAGCAAATATATTTATTTATTTTAGTTCATTCAGTTTTTTAAAAATAAAACCTAAACATAGTATTTATTTAAGTTATGTTTAAATTTATAAAATAAATAAATAAATAAATATTACATTATTCCTCCATTCCAGTTTTTATTATTCGTCTAGTAATCTTAATATTATGATTAATTTAATTTTTAATTACTTTGAATCATTTTATTATAAAGATAATGATAATAATCTAAATAGGTTATGAAATGTTAAGAATACGCATTTTACTCTCTTTGTACGTGGTTACATCTTACAAAAGTTTAACATATGAAAATTGTATTAAAATTATATCAGTGTCAATCAATAAAAAAAATAATTGAGTGGATTATTTTCTCATTTTATTATTTATATATATATATATATATATATAAGTTAATTGGATGGAAACATGAATAAGAATGTGCGTTTATTTATTAATACAAAATAAAAAGAAGTGTATGTAATATTAAACTATGTTTATAAATTTGTGTAACATATGATTTGTTTAGATATTTATTTTAGTTAGAATTCTTTTTCATTTAATAACTATTTAAAGCTACATAAATCTAAATATATTAAATTTTGTACCAAACAATGAAAAAGGATTTAAGTTGGAATATATCTAAAAATTTGGGTTGAAACTAATGTTATATTAAATTTTAACATAAAATAAAAATAAAAATTAAATATAATAATAAAATTTATTGAGTATAAATAAAAATTTAAAAAGTTAAATAAAGTAATAGAATAATTCAGAAATTTATTTCAATTTTCTAATTTTAAAAATTAAAACACCAAACAATACTAGATTTTTTTATCAAGAAAGACATTTTTCTCGTCTTCACTGTTTGTATGAAAATTTAGAAAAAAAACTATACTTATAATATTTTTATTATTAATAAAAATATTTAAAATTTTCAATTTTAATTTTATAATTTGCAATAAACATATTTAACAGTGAAAATTATAATTTTTTTAATATATTATTTAATATATTTTTTATTGTTGAATTATTATTATTATTATTATTATCATCAATATATAAAAGTTTTATTTTATTTTTATATTATTAGTTTTTATACTGAGTTTTAATTTATTTTTTTATCCTGTATTATTAATTTACATATCTTCATTATAAAGTATTTTCACGAAGTAATAGAAATTTTTTTTGATAAAATAGATGGACAAACATTGAAACATTGTGATTAATTGTTAGGAGGATGGTGGTTAGGAGTTACCCTCCACGCCACCTTAATTAGATGACTTATTTCTAATTTTTTAAATTATTTTTATAACACGTTATTGCCATTAATATATGAAAGATTTATTTTATTGTTAAAGTTTATTCCCATATGCATCCTAATATTTGGATAAAATTGTACCATACCAATCGAATGAAAGAGACTTATAATTAAGGTTAACTTTTATATTATAATTTGTAGTTTATTTTAATAATTTTACAAGTACTTTTTCTTTCATTTTGTCGTACTAATAATATTTATATGATATCAAATAAATTTAATAGATATATTGTAATGTAAAATGCTTCATAAACCATTCAGAAATTATCTTTAATATATTTTTTACATTGTATTCTAATGACACTATTTTAAGTTAATATTATTAAATTTATTGTTTATACTAGTAATTTACTTAATTAAGTATTTTTAACTTATCATTATTAAAAAACAAAAATTTAGATTTTATTTTTAAATTTAAATTTAATTGTGAAAAAGTATGAATTTGCATTCAAAGAGTAAAAACCATAACTACATGTAATATTTATAAATGACAAGAAGTAAGATTAAATTCCACAACAAATGATAATAAAAAATGACTTATTGAAAACTAAATAACATTTATTTTTTTGCAATGATAAAATAGGTTAAACTAATAAAAATATTTATAAATTATTTATTTATGTAATGATCATATCTTAAATAAAATTTTTGAGTAACAAATATCAATTCGTGGTAAGCAATTGAGGAGATTTTAATAACATTAATTAAATATTTTAAATTATTCATAAAGTTTGAGTATTATAGTCATGGCAAATGTTAATTAGTATTTAATAAAATTTAAACAAAGATACTAATTATTAAAATTATATATATATATATATATATATATATATATATATATATATATAATTACGAAAGCAGATTTTTACAATTATATATAATAAGTTTGTTAATAGTTATAATAATTATTTTGAAAATCATAATAATACTATATTGTTTGATTATGTAAAAAACTGTATGGAAATTATATTATATGGTAAAATCATCAAATGCAACAATAGTATCGTTCAAAACTCATTGGTTATAAATAAAAGAGTGATTTTGTCAAAAAAATCATCCATCCAAGCCACATTCACCAAACTCAAGAGGAGAAGAAAAATGACTTCTACCACGTCCTTTTCTTCTCGATCACATTCAAGACCAAAGTGTTTTCTCATTTGTATCTTACTTGTGTCCCTACCCTTCTTATTGTTTCTACTTTTCGAGAAGCAGAAAAGGGTCACCAAAACCATTGAGATGGATCTAAAGCCAAGACCAAGACCAAGACCCACTTGGTTTGATGTCATAGCAAAAGGTTTGAACAACAAAAAGAAAATTAAGGTAGGTCTTGTTAACATTGATGCTAGAGAGGATGGAAGAGTGTATGAACAATTGGATTCACTTCACCCTCAAGTGGAGAGTGTGTTTGTAGAATTTGATCATGTCGATGGGAATTTGAAATGGGAGGAGATTTTTCCCACATGGATTGATGAAGATAGGAAGTGGGGTGAACCCAAGTGCCCAAACATTCCAATGCCAAAGTTGGAGAGTTTTGAAGATCTAAATGTTGTGGTGGCAAAGGTTCCTTGTGGGGAGAAGAAAGGGGTTAGGGATGTGTTTGGGTTGCAAGTGAATTTGGTGGTGGCTAATTTGGCTGTGAGAAGTGGATGGGTGGAGAAGATGGAGAGTAATCACAGGAATGTTTATGTTGTGTTTGTTGGGTCTTGTGGTCCCATGGAAGAGATTTTCAGATGTGAAGACCTTTTGACACATGAACAACAACATTGGCTCTACAAACCTGATTTATGGACCCTAAAACACCAATCACTTATGCCTCTTGGTTCTTGTCAAATTGCTCCTCATTATGCAAAAACAGGTAAACCTCATTCATTTCATTAATGTTTCATTGAAAATTTTACATATTAATCATTTTGATTTCTTAGATGAGTACGTTGCTTTGCATTAATAATTAAGTCAATTATATACTTATGGTGAAAGATAATTGTTAATTATAATAGCAAAATTCTTTACAATTAAGGAATGATTTAAATTATAATCTTCCTTAGTTAATCTTATTATCTTCCAAATCCATAGACATTCTTCTATATACTCAATTTCTTACCTTCATTGTGATAAATGATAACTTTAAGGTTGTAACTCTTTTGAATAGAAGTATAATCGAATTTAAGGTTCTAACATCATCCTTACTTTTACAGAGTCTCATGAATTTGATTATCATATTTTTACTCTTTTGAATTAAGTTTTTTTTTTCTCTTTTAACTATAAAACATATATTTTAAATTATTTCTGGGCATGTGATTTTTTAAGAACAAGGTATAATTTTAATTATTCCAAATTAACGTGGATAACTTTAAATTTTATCTCTATGTTTTTAGTTTAGCTGAAAGTGATGACCCAGTTTACAGTTGTTTTGAAAGCATAAAATTCAAAACAAAATAAGTCATATAAGAAATAATCTTTTACTAATTTTTAATAAACATGTTCTTATTATCATTAATAATAACTCATCCATTATTTATTACAGTCTTTTTTATTTTCAATTATTATAATTATTATTATAATTATCAACCATATTATAACTATTATTAGTATATCGATCTCTATCCATTAACATTACAGTAATTCTCATTATACACAAATATTCACTTTAAATTCACTAAACTCTTTTTTTTTATATTATTTTGTTTTAAAACTTAAAGTCTCTTGAAACTTTTTTTTTTATAAAACTTAAATTAATTTTAATTATAATTCACAACTAAAAATTCTTCCAATTTGGTTGTGATGATTATATTTCAAATATGAAGGACTAGACGTATATATACGTCATTTAAGATATCATGTCATTTGTCTGATAATCGTCATTAACATACCATGATGTAATGTAATCTCATAAAACTGTTTAATGTTTTCAGTGATTAGGGAAAAAAAGACATTTCGGAATACTAATAATAAATTTGCATAGAAATCAATAATGACTGTTTGCTATTTATTATATTTATACATTATTTTTTTTAAGTGTGGGTTTGAAATAAATATAACAATTAAATTGTTTTTATAATCTATTATAATCAAAATCGGTGTGTGAAGGTAAAAAAATAATCTTAGAAAAATATACATGAAGCTGAAAAGGAAAGAAAAATAATAATTAAGACCCCTTCTTACTTTAACATATAATATTTTTATTAAAAAAATTATTATATGTATACAATAAAATATTTAATTATAATGAGGCACAATAAATTATTATTCAGTCCTTAATATGAATGGGTTTTGCAGGTAAAGAGGCATGGAGAAATTTGTTTGGTGAAGCAAAGCTAGCATACGTATCTGTTCTTCACTCTTCAGAAGCTTATGTTTGTGGTGCAATAGCACTTGCTCAAAGCATTCTTCAAGCAAACACCACTTTTGATCTTCTCCTTCTGGTTGATAAATCCATTGCTCCTCAATCCATAACTGCTCTGAAAGCCGCAGGGTGGAAGATTCAACGCATCAAACGCATCTTAAGCCCTTTTGCAGAAAAGGATGCATACAACCAGTGGAACTACAGCAAGCTACGACTATGGCAACTCACCTCCTACGACAAAATCATCTTCGTCGACTCCGACCTCTTACTCTTCGACAACCTTGACCATTTATTCGCCTACCCTCAGCTGTCGGCAGCACCTAACGAGGAAGTCTTGTTCAACTCGGGGTTGATGGTGATCGAGCCATCGCAATGCATGTTCCAAAACATGATGAACAAAATCTTCAAGGTTCGTTCCTACAACGGGGGTGACCAAGGTTTTCTGAATGAGATATTCACCTGGTGGCACCGTTTGCCAACTAAGGTTAATATGCTGAAATGTTTTCATGGCGAGGATGGGAAACGTGAAGTCCCTGATGATGTTTCTGGCATACACTACTTGGGTTTGAAGCCATGGATGTGTTATAGGGATTACGATTGCAACTGGGACAGGCACGATCATCATATTTTTGCGAGTGACTCTGCTCACAAAAAGTGGTGGCAGGTTTATGATGCCATGCCTAAAGAGTTGCAATCTTACTGTGGACTTACACAGAAAATGAATGATAGGATTGTGAAGTGGAGAAGGATTGCAAGAAATTCTAGTTTCTCTGATCACCATTGGAAGATCAAGGTGGAAGATCCTAGAAGGGGTGATTATCATTCAGATTAGAACATGGTGGTGTTTGTGATGTTGTATAAGGTTAGGGTTTATAGACTTAGAACACTCTTTTTTTTTTTTACTTTGATAGACACCATATTAACAAATTAAGTTCATATATAAATTATGATTAAATTTTATTTTCTTTTATATCACATTTTTATAGAGGTTGAGGGATTCCCTCTATAAAGCATTAGCTAATAATAGAATAACTGATGATTTTAAAAATCTTAGTTAACCCAATAAAAATATTATAATTGTTTTGGGTTATAATGAAACAAAAGTAATAGTTAATTAAGCCAATTTAAACTAATTATTTAATCGATTTTATTGGATCATTGTACCCATTCAATCAATTTTGATCTTATAAAACTCTCAGGATCTAAAACCTTTGAGACGATGGTTCACAGGAACCAAAGTAAATAAAAAAAGTGATAATTTTTTTAGTTATATTTTACATTAGAGAATATATGAAATATAAAAAAAATTATAAAACAACCTAAACATCCTAAATAAACGCTTTATCGATACCAAACAAAAGGCTATCTTTACTTAATTAAACTTTTATAAGCTTTTAGTACCTATTAAGGGCAATAAATTAAATTAAAACCGTAACTTTCATCAAATTTGGACATTAAAAGTGAAATTAAAACCGAAAAAAATTTCATAATACCCTTTTTTTTTAGTTAATGAATACTTTCGTTAAAAATAAAGACTAATATTTAAAACAGTAAAAAATTATGTTTAAAAAATAATATTATGTTATATATATATATATAACTAAAAAATATTCTTCTTATTACATATTTAAAAATATAATTTTTTTTACTAATATTAAAAACATAAACATATATTTATAGTTTCTTAGGTTAAGGAAATATTTTTTCATAAAATATTAGACTTCCTTTAAGTTTAAATTTATTTATTTTTAAATAATGAACACAATAAGATCACTAATTTTTTTAATATAAGTAGTTTGAACTATCTTTATTGATAAGATATTTTTAATTGAATAAAATATTTATTTAATACCGCTTAATTGATATATGACATATTTAATTATTTTTATTTATTATTAAATAATAAATGGTTTTTGGTAAATAAAAAATATTTCTTTTAAAATAATAAACATAGAAATATTTTTCAGCTGAATTATTTAAAATTCTTTAAAATTTATGCTTTTAGAACAAAATAACTCAATAAAAATAAACTACATTATTCATTATAAAACAACATCATGACACGTCAATAACATGTTTTGCCACCTATGCACTCCACTGTGATGTTATATCTATATACCAAAATTAACGTGTCATGTCACAGTAGATAAATCGAGTGATTTTCTCTTCCTTTGTACTATTGCGTGCGCTTGAACAACACAAGTGAGGAAGAAGAAACCTCTCCGGCGATCTAAGGTAGTGATGACGGAGGAACACCGTAAGAAAACGCTGGATTCAGGGTGGGTAGCAGCAAGGTTTAGTGAGGTGCAATTCACCGGAACCCAGCTCACCACTACTCACCCTCCAACTGGCCCCACTTCACCATGGATGGAAGCTCTCGTTCCAGCAACGTAATCACACTTTTCCCATTTCACCATTTTTGCTATTTAACGTTCATTCGAGATCCTATTTAAATTATTGACTTGATCCCACACAACGTGACATAACATAATGACAGTGTTCTGGCGACCTTGGTGAAGAACAAAGTCGTACCCGATCCTTTTTATGGACTGCAAAATGAACACATCATTGACATTGCAGATTCTGGAAGAGATTATTACACCTTCTGGTTTTTTACAACCTTTAACTGCAAACTTGTACGTTCTGTGCTGTGATTGTTCTCTCATAAATTTTACAGATTTGGAATTTCAAGTGGTACCCTTTGATTTTAATTTCATATTCCCCTTTTTTCTCTTGTGCTGATCTTTTGTGCTTTCAAGTTTGTGAAATTAGTTTTCCAAACATAGAGACCAATATACAATGTGTAAGATTTTATATTGTTGTTAGTTACAGACTCACAGTTGTGGTCTAGCCATGATCTTTGATATTACTAAAAATTGTTGACAAATGTGGCTGATGTAGCTTCAATTTGAAGCTTTGGAGAGTCCATAACCTTTCAGGATCTCAATGATAATCTTCTTTTGAATATACGATGGTGTTTCTTATTTTCAAGGAAGGGGCATCACTAATTACTTGACCCTTTGCATTTGCAGTCAAACAATGAGCACTGTGATCTGAACTTTCGTGGAATCAATTACTCTGCTAATGTGTATTTGAATGGCCACGAAATCATCCTACCAAAAGGGATGTTTCGAAGGCACTCCATTGATGTCACCGATTTTGCTCATCCTGATGGCACAAACCTGCTTGCTGTTCTTGTTCATCCTCCAGATCATCCGGGGAGAATTCCTCCCGAGGGGGGTCAAGGTGGTGATCATGAGGTTCGAATTAAATTCATACTTCTGATCCATTAATTTTATCCTCTTCAACTACTTAACCTTCCAGTTACATGAAACCTTCAGATATCAATTTCAAGTGTTTCATAACTTCTGGAATCAGTTAAGATTACAGTGAAAGTGGAAGGGGAAGAGGAACAATGCTTGAAGTTGCGTCCTGGATATCTAATTCAATGTTGTCTTGTTATTTTGTAGATAGGAAAGGATGTGGCCACACAATATGTTGAAGGTTGGGATTGGATGGCTCCTATAAGGTGACTTTGCTAATACTTGTATAGTTGTATTGGTCATTGGCTTTCTGATGCAAAAATAAAATATTTATTTTTACTTTATATTTTGAACTAAAAACATGTAATTCTTTTTTTTCATTAGCTATTGACTCTTCAAAATTTCGAGAGTTGGAATTAGTAGAAGCTATGTTAAGCAAAGTGAACCTATAACTAATGCAAGTGTTTAATATGATTGCAGAGATAGGAATACTGGAATATGGGATGAGGTTTCTATTTCTGTTACTGGGGTGAGTAGCGTGAATTGTTTAAGCACATCCCTAAGTCTTCAATGTTGTTTTTTAATCACTTTAGGATTTGTTGCTAAGACCAATCATGGAGGAGGCCTTTCATTTTTCTTCCCGTTTCTTCTGTGTTTATTGTATTGTTGCTCCTAATTAAATCCTTTTGTAGTTCATACTAACTATTGATGAACTTCAAATCCAATCATATGTTAGCTTTATGTAATAATATGTCAGGAGTCATCGAGATGTTTGGAGAACTAAACCAGGATATTGCAGAGGCATGAGCCAGACATAGAATTGCTATGCTCATTTGAGCTTTTAATGCAGTCCATACAATCAACAAACCCGATCAGATATTCTGTATTGTTGATTTTCTTTCTTTTATAGACGATGGTGCTTCTAGTTGTTCCTTGGTGGGATGATTTCAATTTCTGTGTTTGGTGCAGCCAGTAAAAATAATTGATCCGCACTTGGTTTCAACATTTTCTGATGAATATAAGAAGGCATATCTACATACGACAATTGAGTTGGAAAACAGGAGCTCGTGGACTGCTGAGTGTTCTTTGAGTGTCCAAGTGACAATAGAACCCGAGGATAGCATTTGCTTAGTAGAGCATCTTCAATCTCAAAATCTCTCAATTCCTGCAAACTCACGGGTGCAATATACATTTCCTGAGGTCAGTGACTGCATTCATTATGCTTATGACAAATTTTGTTTCATTGTGCTTAGACCTTTAGTACATTTGAAGAACTTAACTATCAATTCAAGACATCTTGATTAAATAGTTTGGCCATTTTAAGAAATTTGTTCAATTTCACACCCTATTCTATTGTTCTTGGACATCTTTTAGGTATGTTTATGTATATGGCTTACATCAAGTGTTTGTGCTATATAGGTTTGTCTAACTTTCTTACTGTAATTATAATTGAATTATACTATCATTTCTTTAGCGTGTACTGTAACCAGACCATCTTTTCTACACTGCTGATTGTTTTAGGTTCAGAATACCCTAAGTGATAAATGGATCTTGTATATTAGAAATTGTCAAAGACATGGGCAAAGCTGATGTCTTTCTTTAATTTTTATGCTGATATGTACAATCTGAAGTAACAAAGCTGATGGCAAAACATTTAGATAAGCCAAGTGATCACAAAGCCGCCAAGTTATCATAGGGACATTGCTGCCCCCTTTTTTACATTGAACATATTCAATCCTGGATAGATAAACCAACCCAAGTGGTCATAGGGACAGCACTATTTAATTTCTTTTTTACATTGCACACGTGCAAGCCCAAATAGATAGTATTTTCAAGCATCCTCTTATTACAGACAGATCCCATTATTTTGCATATGTTTGGGTTTTAGTTTCAATTCAGTGCTTCTTTTCAAGTGCTAATGATCTGAGTTAACAGCTTATCTTCTCCAAGCCCAACTTATGGTGGCCGAATGGAATGGGAAAGCAATCTTTGTACAATGTTGTTATTAGCATTGATGTTAAAGGATTTGGTGAATCTGATTCATGGAGCCATCACTTTGGATTCCGCAAAATTGAGAGCCACATTGATGATGCTACTGGTGGAAGGTAAGACGATTTCCCAAATTTCTTCAATGTTATAATTTTCTAACTTTTACTTAGTAGAATTAATTCAATTTTCAAACCGTTTCTGTATATGTTTTATTGTGTACATTGAATTTTATAGGTTGTTTAAAGTCAATGGAGAGCCAATTTTTATTCGAGGTGGTAACTGGATATTGTCTGATGGACTACTGCGGTTTTCAAAGAAGCGGTATAGTACAGATATCAAATTTCATGCAGATATGAATTTTAACATGATTCGATGCTGGGGCGGTGGGCTGGCTGAAAGACCCGAGTTTTATCATTACTGTGATTATTATGGCCTTCTGGTAAGCTACAACTGCTGCCAGATCCTTACTTTTTCTTATAGGTTCATGTCAACAAGTTAAGATCCAAATTGCATGGCCACTTCAGAAGTAAGGAATTTTGGCATGGGATTTATAAAGCCTTGAACAACTCTCATTGTACAACAGCTAGATTTTGTAGTGTGGTTCTCCCATGGTTTTTATTGTAGTACTCTTCCTTTGTTATATTATTGATGAATTTATTGCATTAATGCATCTCTACAGTGTGCATGATTTGCTATGTTCTCTCATTTCTGAGTACTTTTGTGTGGATATAGCAATTTGTATTAGTTTGAATGACTCAATCACCTTGCTAAGGGCAGGTTTTTGTTGTTCATCCTCGTTATTGAATACTTTTTATTATTTCTTTAATTTTTGGGTCTAATGTTGGGTAAGTGGAGATTTGATTCTAATATTCTTTTTCTAAAACCCATTATTTTGTGATTTTAATTGAATGGTTTCTATGTGGTGCTTATGATGTTGGGATACCCAGATCCCGTGTTTCTGAAAAGTGACTTTTAAGTGGTACTGCTGCTACAGCTAGACCAGATGGTCACTGTTTATTTATCTGATTTGAAGCATAGACAGATTTACCACATAGCCTTGGTCCTGCCCAATATCTTATGTTCTTTATGTTTGTACTACATAAGTGGCAGTCTTGGTTTAGAAAATTGATCTAGTTGCTGGCTGAATTTTATAGGTATGGCAAGAGTTTTGGATAACTGGGGATGTTGATGGACGTGGTGACCCAGTATCTAATCCAGATGGTCCACTGGACCATGATCTTTTCTTGTTTTGTGCAAGAGACACAGTTAAGCTTCTAAGAAATCATCCTAGTCTTGCCTTATGGGTGGGGGGAAATGAACAAATTCCACCAGCTGATATAAACGCTGCTCTAAAATATGATCTAAGGCTTCATCCTTATTTTGAAAGTGAGGATGAAAATAGAAAACCTGTAGGAGACATGTCCCCAATACCGACAGATCCTAGTCAGTATCTTGATGGCACACGCATTTACATACAAGGTTCAATGTGGGATGGGTTTGCTGATGGGATGGGGAACTTCACTGATGGTCCTTATGAAATTCAAAATCCTGAAGATTTCTTCAAGGATAACTTTTATAATTATGGATTCAATCCAGAGGTTGGTTCTGTGGGAATGCCAGTTGCAGCTACCATAAGAGCAACAATGCCTTCAGAAGGCTGGCAGATACCATTGTTTAAGGCACTTCCCAATGGTTATGTTGAAGAAGTTCCAAATCCAATATGGGAATACCATAAATATATTCCTTATTCAAAACCAACAAAGGTTCATGATCAGATTCAACTTTATGGTGATGCAAAAGATCTTGATGATTTTTGTTTGAAGGTAAGAAAAGAGTAGAAGCCTTTTCATCCTGTTGGCCATTAGTGATGAATATTTCAGCATCCTATTTTTCTTTATCTTTTTGCTGAAGTTGATGTTTAATTTAGATGTTATATTCTCCTCAGGCTCAACTTGTTAATTACATACAATATAGAGCTCTTCTGGAGGGATGGACATCTCGCATGTGGAGTAAATATACAGGTGTATTGATATGGAAGACACAAAATCCTTGGACTGGCCTGAGAGGTCAATTTTACGACCATCTACTTGATCAAACAGCAGGTTTCTATGGTTGTCGGTGTGCTGCAGAACCAATTCATGTACAGCTTAATCTGGCTACATATTTGATAGAGGTAAGTAACGAAATGAAGTTCTAGTTTTATAAGTAGGTCATGAAAATAGAGATGTTATTATAGCGATACGATAGGAAGACAGAAGTGGCGAGTTAAAAAAATTTGAAGGCTAACAAAATTGTGAAAATTGTTTGATGTACAACTTTCTTTGTAATTTATGCATGGTCCACTAATGAAAGAGTAATTCTTTGAGGGTTGTGTATTTTCCTTATCTTCCTCCTCAAAACAGGTTGTTAATACTACATCAGAAGAGTTGTCTAATGTTGCCATTGAAGCTTCAGTGTGGGATCTTGAAGGAAAACGCCCGTACTACAGCCTTCATGAAAATCTCTCTTTGCTGCCAAAAAAAGTAGCACCTATTGTTGAGATGAAGTATCCAAAGTCAAAAGATCCAAAGCCTGTCTACTTTCTTCTTCTCAAACTCTATAACATGTCAGATAACAGTGTTATATCCAGAAACTTTTACTGGTTGCATCTTTCTGGTGGAGATTACAAGTTATTGGAGCCATATAGGGAGAAGAAAATATCTCTCAAGATAACATCTAAGGTTTCAATTAAAGAATCCATTTATAATATTCAAATGAATGTAACAAACTCATCTAAAAGTCCAGAGTCAAGAAGTTCAACAGCTAGGCCAAGTGATGGAATAGAACATGAAACTAGTTTGTTTAAGAGGATACAAAGATGTTTTTCTGAGAAAAATGATGGCTTGAAAGTTACTGAAATAAATGGATCCGATGTAGGAGTTGCTTTCTTTCTTCAATTTTCTGTTCATACTTCAAAGAAGGACTCCAAGGAAGGGGAAGACACTAGAATTCTTCCTGTTCATTACTCAGATAACTATTTTTCACTGGTGCCAGGAGAGACCATGCCTGTAAATATATCTTTTGAGGCTCACCAGGGTGTCACTTCTCGAGTAATTCTGCATGGCTGGAATTATGAAGAAGGTGAAATCATTTATGAAGTTGTTTAACAATCATCTGCAACACTGAAATTATCAGGTTTTGTGGTGGTGTATGTTGTCATTAACAAATGCTTCAGAAAGAGAGACCTTCATGATATTCAAATTGTTTCGCTTTTATAGCTAAATATCTTGAATTTTAATTTTGTTCTCATTGATAATTAAACTTTATTTTTTTTAAATAAACATAACTTATCAATTTTTTATGAATAATTAAAAGAAAAAGATGATATAGACTGAATCACTATGTAAAATTTATTATTAAGATTATTTATTTAAATTGGATAAATATTGTTATACTTCTATAAATTCCGGATATATAGATTCTAAATCTTACTCTTCAAACTTATAAAATTAATTTTTGGAAGATAAAAATGATCACATAATCAACAAATTAAAAGTACTAGATTTTTATAAAACATTAGAATTTTAAATAAACAATTAAAACTGTACTCAATTAAGAATTATTTTGTATAAATTAAATAGAGTTTTCAATTTTTCTTTTGTTATTTTATTTATTTCTCATTTTCACTATTTTTGATATATAAAAAACGAGTTCTAGCTAGAAGAAGAATAAAATTAAAAATTATTAATGTTTAATGTAAATTATTTAATTCAAACGTGTACGAAAAAATTATTTATAAAAGACCTTTAAAATTTTAGGCATCTATTTAAAAAATATTAAAGTTTAAGTATTAACAAAAATAAAATTAAAGTTGAAATTATTTATTTATAAATGGGATGAACTTTGATGATCAATTAAGACAAAATTTAAGGTAAATTATACCAAATTAATTTTAGGTAAATTAAAAATTAAAATTATACTGTATTAATTTTAGGTTAATTACGTTTTTTAAGTTTCTCATAGCGTTCTTGTATGATCTGAAAAATTGAAATAAAACTTTAAAATTATTAACTATTTAATCTAAATCACTAAATTTAATTGCGTATTACTATTTTAGCCATTAATAAATCACTTAATCAATTAGGTGTGGAACAAGAGATAAGACGGTTAAAGCCAATAGTAGTATTTCAAAGAGTAAGTAAAATATTAATAATTTTACGTTATTTTGTTGCTTTCTTCTTCTACATATACTTGGGCCTCAATTGAGATTATTTCAGTTATGAGTTTTAAAAAATAAAAATAACAAAAAAAAATTAGTTTAAGGTGGTTTTAATTTAATTTTATTTTAATCTCCTAATTTTAGTTTCAAAATAAATTATTTAAAAAATATTTATCATATTAAAATTAGTTTAAATATATGTTTGGATGATTGTGACAATATTAATAACGACATAATTTGTACACGAAATAGTGTTCTCTGGGCCACCATCAGCATCCCTGTTTTCCCTTTCATGGATGAAAGCCAGATGGAAGTTCAATGCTCATCTCCCTTCATGGCTGGATTCTCTCAATATACCCTTCACCTTGAAGGCGCCAACTTTTCAAAACCCATTTCCAGCAACCTCAAAATCTGTCCTCAACCATGCAGACTTGAGCTCCCTTCTTTCGCTTTGCGGCAGAGATGGAAACCTTAATCTTGGTTCTTCCATCCATGCTCGTATCATCAAGCAACCTCCATTTTATGATTATGATAGCTTCCCCCGCAATGCCCTTTTTGTTTGGAACTCTCTCCTTTCTATGTATTCAAAATGTGGTCAGCTGCAGGACGCCGTTAAGCTGTTTGATCATATGCCTGTCAAAGATGCCGTGTCATGGAATACAATGATTTCTGGGTTTTTAAGGAACATGGATCTTGATTCGGGTTTTAGGTTTTTTAAGCAAATGAGTGAGTCAAGGACAGTGTGTTGTAGATTTGACAAAGCAACAGTGACTACAATGTTGTCAGCTTGTGATGGACTGGAGTTCTCTAGCGTGACCAAAATGGTCCATGGTTTGGTTTTTGTTGGTGGGTTTGAGAGGGAGGTTACAGTGGGGAATGCACTTATAACATCATATTTTAAATGTGGGTGTTTCAGTGAAGGTAAGCAGGTTTTTTATGAGATGCTTGAGAAGAACGTTGTAACTTGGACGGCAGTGATTTCTGGCCTCGCAAAAAATGAATTTTTTGAGGATGGTTTGAGATTGTTCAATCAAATGCGTAGCGGGTCTGTCAGTCCTAATTCTTTGACATATTTGAGTGCACTCATGGCTTGTTCAGGTTTACAAGCATTATTGGAAGGCCGTAAAATACATGGGATGCTATGGAAATTGGGAATGCAGTCGGATTTATGCATTGAAAGTGCTTTGATGGATTTGTATTCCAAGTGTGGAAGTTTAGAAGCAGCATGGCAGATTTTTGAGTTTGCAGAGGAGCTTGATGAGGTTTCCTTAACTGTAATACTTGTAGCTTTCACGCAAAATGGACTTGAGGAGGAAGCCATCCAGATATTTATGAGGATGGTAAAATTGGGAATTGAAGTTGACCCCAGCATGGTTTCTGCCATTCTCGGGGTATTTGGTGTTGGTACTTCTTTGACTCTTGGTAAGCAGATTCACTCTTTAATTATAAAGAAGAACTTCAGTCAGAATCTTTTTGTTAGTAACGGACTCATAAACATGTACTCCAAGTGTGGAGATTTGTACGACTCCATGCAAGTCTTTCATGAGATGACTCGAAAGAATTCAGTTTCATGGAACTCTGTGATTGCAGCTTATGCCCGCTATGGGGATGGTTTCAGAGCGCTTCAATTTTATGATGATATGAGAGTGGAGGGTATAGCACCAACAGATGTTACATTTTTGTCATTGCTTCATGCTTGCAGTCATGCAGGCTTCGTTGAGAAGGGAATGGAGTTTTTGGAATCTATGACCAGAGATCACAGGTTAAGTCCACGGTCCGAACATTATGCCTGTGTTGTTGACATGATGGGGAGGGCTGGACTTCTTAAGGAAGCTAAAAAATTTATTGAGGGATTGCCTGAGAATCCTGGTGTCCTGGTTTGGCAAGCATTGCTTGGAGCTTGTAGCATACATGGTGATTCCGAGATGGGTAAATATGCTGCTGATAAACTATTCTTGGCTACGCCAGATAGCCCAGCTCCTTATGTATTGATGGCCAACATTTATTCTAGTGAAGGGAAATGGAAAGAGAGAGCACGCACCATTAAGAGAATGAAAGAGATGGGCGTAGCAAAAGAAGTGGGTATAAGTTGGATTGAAATCGAAAAGAAAGTAAATAGCTTCGTTGTAGGGGATAAAATTCATCCACAAGCTGATATTATATTTTGCCTCTTGTCCGTGTTATTGGAACACCTGAAAGATGAAGGTTATGTTCCTGATAAAAGGTGTATTCTCTATTACATGGATCAGGATAAAATCGAGTAGTTTGCATTTGTACTAATTAATGGTTCATTTGGTAGTGAAGACCCAATTGATTTTAGTCAGAAAACTGGGCATCCTAGAGCTGTGTTTGGATTTTGTGGATCACGGATGTCATGTTTGAGGATCCAAATTGACTATTACAAGCATGCTGCTTAGAAATAATTATTTTTAGAGAAAAGTTCATTTTTATTTGTTTACACTAAGTGTTAAAAAAATTATCATTACAGTGAAAAAAGCTATAAAAAGTTATCATTAAAATAAACTATAACTTTATTTTGTTTAGATCACAATATGCTACTTTGAAATCGCACGAAATATTGAAAAAATTGAGTTCCAAGCTATGTTTTGCTGTTTTCTTATTTCGCATTTTCTTCTGTGTCTCCGTAGCTCCTTGTGTGAACTTTTTTTGTTGTTATCAAAATAGCAACACGGATAAAGAAATCCATGTATGAAAAACAAAGAAATCCAATTTACATTTAATTTAGTTCAAAATAAAGGGTGGAGTCAAGTGGCACTTGGGCAATGGCCATCTTGTGTCCACAAAGTTTAACTTAAAAATTAATAAATATGAGGAAAAGAAATAGAAAGATTGAGTGGAATTGGAACCACTGTTGTTCTTTTGACGACAAAAAGAGTAGCGAAAATGAATATCACGAGCTTAAAAACGACAACTACGTTCCTCCCGTTTGGAAGTGGCAGTTTTCCAGCGTTTGCGAAGAAGGTAAGAGCGAGTTGCAGTCGCAGAGACGATGATGGTCCTTTGTCCTCTGCTTCGGCTTACGCCGTGCTTGGACTGGACCCTCTCTGCTCCGCCGCCGATATGAAAGCTGCTTTTCGAGCCAAAGTACGAACATCATCAACATTTTTATTCCATTCACTCATTCCAATTTCACTACTTATTTATCTTTGTTTCTCCCCTTCTCTTGTCCCAAAGGTGAAGCAGTTCCATCCAGACCTCAACAGAGACTCTAACGCAGCATACTCTGATGCTATGATTCGCCGCGTAATTGAAGCATACCGGATACTATCCAACTGCACCCCATCACAACTAATTGAAAGGTAGTGATAATTTTAGTCTTTTCTTTAACATTTCAGCTTTGGAATTTGGAAACCTGTCTCCTCCTTGTTTTCTGTTTTTCATTCGGAGTTGCGTTTTCAGTGAATGCTTAGATCCCTTTGACACGCCAGAGTGTGAAGCTTTTGATATTTTTGTTAACCAGCTGCTTTGTGTGGGCGAAGGTAAAGGAGATGCCCTTTCATTTTGCTTTGTGCTCTTCTGTTTTTGGGTTTAAGTCAAATTTGTAGCTAAATATTTGAACAAGTCAGTTCTTTGTGCTAAAACCACATCCTAGTTACGATTATGAGGAAAGCATAAGAGGGATTTGGGGTTGTAACAACCTTGCCTGTGTGGCAAGGAGGGTGGGAAAGAAGGGAAATCTGTATTAGCAAAAACAAAAGCAAGGGACACAGTTTATGAATAGACCTCAATTCCTCCAATTAAAGGGACACACATTGAATGAACTGATTTGGAGTCTTTCAAAACTTTTGGCCAGAACGAATACAAATTCTTATACTGTATCATGGAGAGCTCAACCCCCATTTCATTGTAACCCAACATATAGATGGACCGAGACATAAAATATAGATGTTGTTGCTGCATACTAGATGAATACACCTGCATACTAGCTATTTGGTTGGTCTCTGTCTCCATTAGTCAATGAGGAGTTCATCATATACCAAATCATTTATATATATTGTAATGGTGTCATTGGCCTATCTTTATATGTTCTGCAAATTAATCTTTATGTATATTGTCTTCCATTTACTATCTCACTATCATCACCACAGTAAACGGAACTACCACGATAGCATGACTTTATTTCTAATTGTAAACTATAATGAGAGTTTGTCATTTGTCAACTCTTGCAAACTAGGAATTGATCAATATATTTACTTTCCATTTCATTTACAATTTTTTTTTTTGGTCTGCAGCGTGTTCAAGTTCCTGTGTGAAAAGAGCCCCTCATGCTTTTACATATGCCTCTTCAACTGGAACAGCGCGTGCATCTTCTCAAGGTTTTATTACCTGTAATTCTGTTTCATAATTTTGAGCAAGGCATTTGCCAAAGAATGACATGTTTCACCTAGTTTGACAATGTTTTGTGCAAATATCATTCTTTTCATAATTTTAATTACATTACCATCTTTAATGACTATTTAAGGTCATGGAGATGATTACCAAGTTCAATGTGCTGTTGGACAATGCCCTAGAAGTTGCATTCACTACGTAACCCCATCACAAAGAATACTCTTGGAGGAGCTACTGAACAGGTAACCTTAATCATCCGCCTAAACTTATCTGGGTAAGATGCGGGATTTCATATCAGATTACCCATTCTGGTTTTTTATGTATTTCTCAAATTAAAAAGGATACAAGTTGGCCTTGTTTTCCCGTTAAAATGCCATAGTTCCTGTGGCAGTTTTGTCCAAATTCATCGGAGGATCTAGAGTATATTATATTCCATTAATTTCTTTTCTTGTTTCCATTTGTTTTATGTTGCAGTATACTGGAAGCACCCTATGATACATCAGCTGAGGCAGACTTGCTGTATTCACTTATAACTAAAGCTAAGTTTGAGAATAACCGATATCAAAAACCAAAGCGGCAACCCAAAGCTTCAAACCAACATGTCGATTGGTTTTAAACATTTGGATAGCAACTCTGTCCATCTACAGTCCCCAATCCATAGGACTGAGATTGGTGGGTCATCGTCTACAAGACACTGCCAATAGCTAGATATCAGAAGCTTATAGAAGCCATATACCTCATTTCTGTGAAACAAACATACTACAAGAATATATGATCCATTCAGTTTCTGAAATATATATATTCGTTTTTGTCTCATTTATTTATTTTATGATTTGAGTAGGGTTTAAACGATGTAAACTGGAAGATAAATTATTAAAAACATGTTCAAGTTTATAAATAGGGAGGGAAAAAGAGCTTCTTTTTATGACAGATTTAATGGAAACTATTTTTAGATTGCACTTAGTAATGATATGGTGAATTGCATATGCATCTAATGAAAAAATTGTGGGGCAAATAATTCCATATATTTTTTTCATCCATTTTTTATATTCTGATATGTGGGAGACTTTGCGAAGCCTAATGCATCTCCTCACAAGCATTTTCTCTTGTCATTCATTTTATGACAATTAATGTAAGAAAATACAGTCACATATAAAGATTACAAGAAAGTATATTCTTTATTAATAGCTCAAAAATACATATACACATATGGTATATTTTCACCTATATGAATTCTATCCTATATAAAGTTGAATTACCTACTAAACATAATTACACTTTAATTTCATTTCATGTATATTTAAGTATTTAACTTAACCATTCCATATCATTATATATTTTTTCAAATTAGTATTTAAATATTAATTAATAAATGAAAAGCACTTAAAAGTAACTAATTTTTTTTATATTTATATTTCGTAATAAATAGGTTTTTACATATTATTATTATAATATAAATTAAATTATAATTTAATAATAACTTATAAAAATAAAATTACATTTCAATAAGAACATGTAAATTTACCTAAACTTAAAAATAAATGTAAAAATGAAAATTATTTCTAAAAACTTTAGTTTAGTTTATTTAAATTTTTAAAACTACATTAAAAATTTCATAATATTTCAAAGTCTGTAAATTTGACTATTCTATCTGTATATCATATAAATGATTAGTTTTTACTAAACAATTTCAATCACTGTATGTAGTGTTGTTTTTTATTTATTTATAACATTCAAACATTGAATTTGTTTTAAGAGATGTGACTCCAATTCCACTGAAAATTTTTGCAATATTTCATTTTTAATTAAAAGAAATGGATTACTTATATTACATTCAATTTTTTAGAGTAAAAAATACTTTTTAATTGTTTTAGAGTAAAAAACATTGTTTTAGTCATTTTAACCTTATCATCAATCAATTTTAACCAGTATCATTATTGGCAACTTCAGTTGTAGCATTGTTAAATAAATTTATTTGTTTTTGAATTGTTGATGATTATTAAATTTGATAGTTATTAATTAATTTGAGTTAGGAAAATTTCAAAGAAAAAAGATAACATAGAGAGGAGAAAGGTTTTTATCCCCTCTTAACATAATATCAATACCCAACAAAAGAGTTATACAACCCTAACGTTAAGAGTTGAAATGATCCATGGTACCAATTTTAAAAAATACTTTTTAATTTTGAGGATTAAAAACTTCAAAATTTTAAAAGGAAAAATATAGTGATAGAATAAGAAGCATTTAAAATTTTAAATAAAATCGTTGAGTTGAAAACAGTAACGTACTAAACGTTTCAGTGATAGTCGTAACCGTTTCGTGCGGATAGGCTCTTGACCGTTGCAAAAAGAGGAGCATTTGCCATGCCATTTGGTTTGAAATAGAGAAGTCAATTCAGTTTGATTGGAAAGAGTGATGATATCTCAGTGTTTACCATTTTAAATTTTCAAACCCATTTCCCAAAGATGGTTGGTAGAACCCCACCAAAGCAAAGTATAATGTTATCTCTCAATCCTGTTCTAATCAGAGAAACACTCAACAAGGTGATGGATTTATCCACATTACACAATTTATCCAATGAAACTTTGTAAATTAGAATTAGAATTAGATTCCCCCATGTGCCACTTTTTTTTTTTTTCTTTGATCGTCATTATTTTTTATCTGAGCTTCCCTGAAAGTGAATTGTTGTGGTGGGTCATTGAAGGTGGATCAGTGCATGGTTCGACTGCAGGAACTTCAGTACACTGTGGCAGGTGGAACGAAGGTGGATTCAGGGGTAAGTCTCAGCCCTCGAAGCACCAAAGGTTATCTCAGAACCAGTGTAAGGTGTAAGCAAGAATCAGTAAGGTAAATTTTGGTTTTGCTTGCATTCTACGTCAATTTCAAGATTAGATTGACCCATTGTAACATACAAAGATTAATTGAGACTATAATAGTCTCAAACTATATTATAATTTCTCATTAGATATGTAAAATATGGTGGTGGCTATAGACTTTTACAATAAGCAAGTTGAAGAGTATATCTAAAATGGTTGAATGTTTTATGATTGATTAAGAGTGGAAAAATATGTATGTGTTGTGATTACTATTCATATTTTGAAGGGTGAAGCATGATGCAGAAAGAAGATCCCCAGCAGGGAAAATTCCAAAGCCAACAAATTCAGAAGAAGGTCTTGTTATTCCTCTCTCTCTTACACTCTTGGCCATGAAGAAGTCATTTACTTATCATGTACAACTTGATGGAAAATAAAAGGGATATTCATAACTTACTCCTTCACTTGCAAATGTAATCTTTTATGCAGGTGAAGAATGGAGGCAAATGTCATTGTCTGCAATGCTTGTTGGTGAAACTGTGGGACAAATTTTACACGCAAGTCAATTTGCCAGAAAAATAGTTTCAACTGTCAGTAGGAAAAATGCCACCAAGGATCCAAAAACTCCACTGTCCCAACTCTCAAAACAAAAACTTGACCCTGAAAACACGAAGTTCAATGATAGAAGGAGGAAAGAGAAACAAATAAATTCAGTTTCTGATACCCCACCACCTCAAAGGGCTCGATCTAGGATAAACTTTAAGGTTTCTCCTCCAAAAGGGAGAGAGTTTGACAAAGAGAATAGTAAGTGTTTCTCAAATAAGGTATCTTCCAAGAATAGACCATGTGGTAGCAATAATAGCAAGACAGTGCTAGTCACCAACCCTTTATTCTTGTCTACACACTTTTCAAGGCAACAACATTTTTGCAAGACAAAATCTCCGGTCATATCAAGAAGCATAGGAACACAACACAAGTGTTCGATCAAGTCCCCACCTAAAGAAGCTTCCCAATTTCAAGTCAAAATAAAAAACCCATCAACTGTGTCTATTTCCTCTTCATCTACAAGAACTACAACTACAAGTTTGAGTTTGAGCAAGAAGAGTTCTCCAAAGAGATGGGCTCCACCTTTCTCTCCTTCTAGAGTGGCAGCAAGACTATTAGCTTCCTCAAAATTAAAGAGCAAGAAAACTGAGCAGAAAAATGATAGATTATTAGCTTCCTCAAAATTGAAGAGCACGAAAACTGAGCAGAAAAATGATGGGGTAGGAAATTTGAGGAAGAGTTCTTCAAAGAGATCACTTACATCAAAATTAACTCGAACTTTCTCTCCTTCAAGACTGGTAAAAAAATTTGTTTCACCATTGAAGAGCGAGAAAAATGTACAGCAAAGGAACGGGTTAGTAAATGGAGTGAAACAACGCCCGTCATCAACTGCGCAAATCCCTGCTACAAAAATTTGAAAATATATATCTTCCAGTTTAGCAATTCTTTTATATGCTATTTTTTTTAACCTTTGATGATGAGGACAGTTTTTTATCAACTTTTTTAGAATACAGAAATAAGTTCTGACTTCAAAAATAATGCTACTTCTTCAATATATGTTCGCAAGTATCTTTGTTTATTCTATGCTATGTGTTCCTAAAAAAATTAATAAAAATCTGCTAACATAAGCTTATGGTTAAACTCACGTTTGAACGAGCTTACATTTAGCACCTCAGCAATAATGATTAAACGGATTAATGTGTGGACCAAATTGCATTTATTTTTTTATTACTGGCAAAAAACTATCTAATTCTCCCGAGTTTCATGCCAACTTCTGTAGCCCTATTGAGTTAAACTTCATCTTGTCCAAACTTACTGCAGCTTAGCAAGTTACTTTAAACTAAGTAGCGCATATTATACCCAACTATAATAATTAAAAAATAGTCAAAATAATACACCTTTAAAATGTTCACTAATAATGCATTATAAAAACAAAGTACCCATTTATGATCGTTTGCGACTTTTTTTATATAAATATTTTGGTGAATTGGATTCTAGGTGTTTATCAAAGTTAAAATGGATCTCAAAACATAAATAATACTTACAAAAATAATGATCAATTATTTACTAATAAAGTCCTCAACAATGACAGTGATAATCGAACTCACATACTAGTGAGAAATTAATTTGTTCTTTATCAATTAGATCGGCATTTGTCAGTTAAGTGATTTGTGATATTGTGTAATGTGTGACTCTTTCGCTTCTTCTGTGTAATCGACAAAACGGACGTGATAATAGTGATAAGTATCACCTTTTTCTCAACAGTTAGATTCCAACTTCCTATGAGCTATACCTCTTATGCATTCAGGATTTAGCTTTCTAAAATGCATTTTTTACATGGCATAGGTGTAAGGCCCTTAATTGTAGTATTTTGTTACTATGAGTAAGGAAAAGTTTAATTGGTTATAATATATGAAGAGAGCCACAAGGTTTGCTCCTATTGAGTGTTCAAGTCCTATAACCAACAAACTAGTTCACAAATTATAAATACTCGAACAAAATAACTATTATATTCTATAAAAAAAAAATTGGCGATTCTAAATTATAATAGTAATTTTAACTATTATGAGAAGTTTCCTGTCATTAATAGAGATTAAGTTCGTACTGTAGGAGTAAAATCAGATCACAAGTTACCATTGAAAAACAATTAGAGCAGGGGAAAAGATAGACAAGTGGCAAGAGATTCATAGGCAATCTTGCGCCACATGGTTCTGATTATTTCTATTTTCATAATACAAAAAGGGCATTAAGTTGACGGCCATGCACCTCTAAAACCCCAAAGAAAGTAAAAATTTTCAAGCATCGCATGTATAAAAAGCTTTACATGGCACAACACGGACAAGATATAAGCATGTGAGATTTTTAATTGGCAAAAAGGCCAAATTGGGATATATAACATTAACGACCTCAACAAAACTGCAATAACACGTGTTTGCAATCCCATAGTTAACGCAGGATGAAGAACCAGTCTCTTATTTGCTGGGAGAAGCAAATCTTGTCCGTTCCCTCTGCCGTTGTAAAGCTCGATCCTTTGGTGAAGATGTCTTTCCTCCCATGCCAGCTTGGCGCATCATTTCTGCAACATTTATCCAAAGCAACTTGTAATAATTATCCAAACCAACATTTGTCCAAAGTCTTGAAAAGAATGTCAGATTTAGGACTACTACAGAACTCTGGTGACAACTCTGAAAAGTCTAAATTATATTTCAATTATGCACTATGGTGACAACTCTGAATTCTTTCCTCATGTCTCTCGCTAACATAAAAAGTCAAATTGAGGACTGTTACAGACAGGGAAATAACGCGTTAAAAAAATATAGTAAGGGTTGTGAATTATAAATTTAATCCTTAAAATTAGCACCATTGGTCAATTTGGTCCCTGGTACCACAAAGGTGATTTGTTTGTAGTAACTACCAATTATTTGATTCTTAAAATCGACACTATGTCAATTTGGTTCCTTCATTTTCAAATCTAATCCTTAAATTTAGTATCTTCATTGGTCAATTTGATCCCTGATATAACAAAGAAGCTGATTTGATTTTGTTTAACTGTAATAACTATAAATTAATTTGATTCTTGAAATTGACACCATGTCAACTTAGTTCAAAATTGACGAAATTAGATAATTTAGTAATAAAAATTTGACAATATCATCTATTTGTACTTATCAATTAACTTGATCTTAAAATTGACACTGTTCAATAAAAAAAATTAGTCGATTTGGTTCCTTAAATGATCAAATTAGTCAATTACCTAAATTTGACATCAATAGTCAATTTGATAATTAAGTTTAACTAAATAAATTTAGTACTTGATATTTGGGATTGAATTAACTAAATATACATTAAACTTAGGGATCAATTTAACTAATACTCGCCAAACTTAAATGACAGTAGCAAAATCAGGAATTATAGAAACTTATTAGTTCTTTCACTAAAAAGATTTCTAACCTCGCTTTCTCTCAAGCTCTTGGTCAAGCTCTTCTTTCCACTTCCTCTGTCTCTCGGAAAAGCTTACACTGCAAGCACATGTTGCTTGAATTACTTTATATTTCGGAAAATGATTGAAGCATAGAAAAGCAAAGCAAGGCAAAAACAAACAAACCTTGGGCTAATAGGCTGCTGCTGAGAGTCAACGACCAGTCCTTTCCATTCATTAAGGGGAGGTGCCGGAATATCCTGTGAAGCATGACTATTTACATGGCCAACAGTTGTTGAGGACCGGCCATTACTTCCCGGACTTCCAGTATTATCGACGGCTTTAGATGGAGTGCTAACTGGTACTCGATTTGGTGACCTGCTTTTAGGAGGTAATTTCAAATATTTTCGAGAAGCAGTATCATCACTTGTGCTGTCAATGACATTGGGGGAAGAAGATGTATTTAAACTGTTGTAAAACTCTTCATATAAAGGTGTTTGTAGTTTTTTCAGTTCAAGAGCCTGTCATAAATGCATAGTCATCATTATAACACATCAGTTACTAGACTAAAAGATTGATGAAGTTACAGCAGAACGACAAACTTGATTTCTACAAAAAAGTAATACCTTCTCATCCAAAAAGGCTTTGATTTTTGACTCTGTGAGTTCATCATCTTCCTCTGAAAGAGACGGGACACCTGGAAAGGAAAAATCTGTCTGCCCCTTATCATCCCCTGACTGCTCAGGTGGCATGTAACTTTCATCTGTGCCAAAATTGACCTCTCGATTTTCCAGTTCTGGACTTGCATCAAATTTACACCCCCAATCATCAGAGGGATCAGATATTGGGTTGAAACTCTACATGAAACAAAAATGCATCAGAGAAGTCATTAATTTCATATTTAATAAAGCAATAAGGACCTGAATGCAATCACCTCAATATTAGTTGATAGCAGTGATTCGTATTTGACACCACTCGACGAGAACTCTTCCTTGTCATCAATCACACACATATCATCATCATCATCATTGCTCATTCCCCATAATTGTTTATTTCCCGAGTTCAGAGGATTTACGGTTGAAGAGCAAAGGCTACAAAAATTACAAAAAAAATTGCTAAACGATATCATATTATCATTCTCTACCATCAAGAAAATATAATATTGAAATATAGCTCCATCATATGTTCAACAGAAATAACTGCAGATCTTACTAAGTCCTTGAAGGAAATGTTCAACACTTACAAGGATTCAGCATTTGGAGCACGTGATGGTGAAGAAGCTTCCAAATTTTCCTGTCAGAAGTGAAAGAGATTTTTCTTTAAAATTGGTTTATAGAAGATACACAGCATTTTAAGTATCACTTCAATTTTACATACCGTGACATTAGATGACGGAGGAAGAGAATTCATATGTTCGCCAGTTACAAAGGGATGCTGTAGCAAGTTACAAACTTATAATTAATCTTAGGGAGTGCGGAAATATTTCATGCAAAACACATAAAAACAACAATAATAATAAAATGTAAACTCTACTACCAATCAATAGCTAGCGGTACTATGGCTACTCAAAATGTTATACACTTCACATTCGCAGCTTAAAAGAGAAATGCGCAAAGACTCACCTGCAGTAGTTCTGATGCCGAGGACCTCAAAACCGGTTCCCTACAAAAGGATTAAAATTACATGACTACTGTAATATGATGAAGAACAACCTTTGAAAAGAAAGCATACTAAACACATATTCTCTCTTGCGCACACACAAATTGTATGTTAAAAGAAAGTCTTCTTTTTTAATATAGAAATGTGTCGAGGGATCTTTCTCGGAAATCCCCCTTACCGCCCCCACTTCACCAACCGAAATAAAGAAAAAATCAATCATGTTTAGTTGATCAATCTTCCATCATATACTTTAAGACATAAGTATTAATCACAATGAAACACACTAAAACTAGGAATTTGTGATGCAAGAAAAGCAGAAGAAAATTAAAGTAACATACTTCTGCAAACATTTTAGCAGAAAATCTTTTGCTGCAACTGAGAGATGATCAGGAATTGGCGGATGAGACTTGGTTGTCCCTATATGGAAGAGAGCAGCAACCTGAAAGTTCTTTCTTTTAGTAGATTCAGAGAGAACCTCAAACGGAATTTCAGGAGTCAGAATATGAGATACCTCTTGTTGGTATTGCTGACTCCAGGGAGGTTTTCCGGTGGCCATCTCAATCACAGTACAACCCACGCTCCATATATCAGCAGAGCTGAAAAGACAAATATATTAAAACATCTTAATAAAAATAAATATTATAAACTTGCACAAAATAACTAAACAAATAACAAATTCAAGAAATACACCAAGAACAGTATAAGAATCCCCTTATAGAATTTTGAAGGTGGAATCCGCGACCTTGAATTTGTACGTGCCTTTTATCTAGAACATACGACTATCTCTTCGAGACAAGGCAACTAAGATGCAAGCAATAAAACCTCTGCCTCAAATTGCTTAGGACCAGAAACTTTAAAAGCATATTTAGCCTGTGTCTCTTGCTGAAAATTCCTGCCATTAAGATTTGTATTTCTATTTCTTGCAAGCAAAGATTTCTATTTCTTACAGAAACCGTCACTGTACATTAAGGGGTGAAGTTCTAATACAACTCTAGATATACAAAACTTTGCACAGAATGGTACACATCTGGAATCAATAAACAGTCAGTCACAACTAAGATACCAAAGTGATACCTGTCCAGAAGGAAATTCCAGTTTTTCAATCACGTTAAAGCATATTAAAAATAGAGCAACATAGTGTAGCATATGTCTAGAGGATCAATGTTCTTACAAGCTATGCCCAGTCTGGAGAATAACTTCTGGAGCCATCCAATATGGAGTACCCTTCATGGACTTGGCACCGGAAATGGTTGCCTAGATAAAAAAAAAAAATACACTGCTCAAACAAAATTTCACATAGAAGAAGCCTCACAAAGGTAAAGCTATATAAACAATAGTAGTGTAAAGGATAAGACTGAGATTACCAGTTCAACGACCTGCTTCGAAGCCCCAAAGTCTGCAAGTTTTATGCACCCTTTATTATCTACAAGAATATTGGCCCCCTGAAATTAATTACAGCTTGAACATCAGCCACCAGATAAGAACCAAGATAACAAGAGTATCAATGAAATATAATTCACCTTAATGTCTCTGTGCATGATTCCATTTTTGTGCAAGTACTCAAGTCCAAGTAGTAGCTGCTTCGTGTAAGTTCTTATAACCTGTTGAATGAATTAGAGGAGCTGATTTAGCATATACAAATTAAAATTAAAAAAGGTATAGCGGCTCTGTAAATAAAACGTACAGCCTCAGGGAAAGCCCCAAACTTCCCCAATAGAGATGATATGGATCCACCAGGAACAAACTCCAAGAGAATATTTAAGGTGTCCTCTTCTCTGACCGTACCCAAATATCTCTACAGCATAAGAAAATATCCAGTCAAGATATAATCCATGTGAACTAATTTTGCCTAAAGCATCTTTCGCCAGTAGAATATCATACTCACAACAATGTTTGGATGTGAAAGGTCTTTCAGTAATTTAACTTCTTCCTCTAGCTCTTTTATGTGAGCCTGTTCGTAATATGTCAACATAAATCAACGAACCGCATAAGAACTACACTAATAAAATGATACTCTCAAAGATATTACTAGCCACAATCTGAATCATCTCATGTTGAAAAAAAAAAACATTTTCGTTATTGTGTGAAAATGAGACCGTTTTCTCGTCACTCCAGGACAGTCACTAGTTTTAAGCATAAATTAATAATTATGTATTTACTTTTCCCCACTTCTTCTAGTAACCTTAACATTTCAGATGAAAATGCATGTGTAACAAAATAAAATTGCAATGCCTTTAGTGAAAAGCAAATTGTAACAGCTAGCAGAAAAAAGAATCAAGCATCTATAAGTTACAACGACCCTGTTCATTATTTGGAACTGTATAAACAGCTAACAGACGTCTGTAATGCACAAGTTACAACAATTGACTGGCACAAATTGCTTTAGCCAGTGCAATCAGATGTAGTTGCAAATGGAACATGATCAAAAAACAAACCTGTGCCTTCTCCTTCGAAGCACTGCTCGCCGCGATCAAAACCTAAAAAACACACAGGAAAACGAAATCAATTTAAGCAATAAAGCTAAAACCACAATAATTTCAGATTACACTGAACCACAATGACAAACTCGCATAACAAAGACGATTCCGAAAAACAATCAAGCGAAAAGAATAAACAAGCAGAAGCTAAGAACTGAACTCCAAAAATATAAAAAGTGATAATCGAAAAAAAAAAATTATAAAGAGTAAATGAACAATGAAGTTAACAACGAAGAATGGACTAAGAAAGGACGAAAAAAGTAATTGACCTGTTTAACCGCCAGAAGCTCTCCGGAATCGAGATTCATTCCAACATAGACTTGGCCAAAGGCGCCGCAACCGATCAACTCGCCTTTCCGCCATCGGATCGGAGGCGCAGCGTCCTTAGGGATAGACGGCGAAGGCGGGGAGGGTTTGGAGAAGACTCTTGAACTTCGGATACAATAACTGATCTTATCCACGAGGCTTCCTCCAACTCCGAGCGATGTCTCGTCGCCCTCCGGCGAACCGCGGAATACTAGTGATCGGCGAACTGATCCGAAAATGTCTTGCATTTGCGATTTCTCTCGCGTTCTCTGTGAGACTGAGAGAGTGAAGAGCGATGCGTATGCGAGAGACGTTGCGTCGGCAACAACAGAACTGAACTATACAAATACAAAGCAGAGAATAGAGGGAAAGGGGTAGCCAACATCACTTTTCAAATTTTGGGTGACTTCCAAATATAATAAAAATAAATTTTGGGGCCATTTTGTTAATTTTTCAGTTTTTTTGGACTTGTTTCTTAATTTGGAACACTTCAGTTTCCTTTTCAGTTTTCACCCCTTTTCACGGACACGAATTCCACCCTTTGTTGAACTCAATCATTATTATTGACTTGACCCTCTAATTTGAGTATTTTACTGCCTCTCTTTTTCTTTTTCTTTTTTTTTTCTTGTTCGTCTTTAAAGTTAATAATAAAGAAAAATTAAAAAATATGATCCCAGTCTAACAAAATATTAGTGGCTTGTTTTACGGAAATAATCAAAACAAGTTGAAACGATAAAGAAACACAAGAACAGATTTTAATAATATAATCGCATATGAATTATTTAGGGTAAGATTAGAGGCTAATTAAAATCATATAATAAATAAGATTATTTAAAATTATATATATTGTTTTAATATTTATAATTTATTATCAAATTTAAAAGTTAGTATTGATTCATCTCACTTGTGTAGAGTTAGCAATCTCTCTGTCAAGTGAACACATGTATAATCAGAACAAAAGCATACGTTTTGGTTGGTCTAAAATCCATAAATAAATTATTTTTTATTAAAGAAAGAATTTAACCTTTTAAACTTGAATTTAATTGGAATATCTTATATTTCTATGGAACTTAAAAGTATAGGAGTTAATTTTTTTTTATAATAGTAAAGATTTAATGAGAAATTAAATTTATGTTTTGGAATCAAAAAATCCTTCAAACTGTTTTTTCTCAATGCAATGAATAAATTTCCAACAAATAACTAGACATGTTTTTATCACTGATAAGTATATAATTGTTATGTGTTATGATTAATGAAATAAGCAAGGAAATCAGCAGTATATAAAGATAAATGCGGATAATTTTCTTTCCTATTTTTAACTTTTATAAATAAAAAAATCAATGATTTCATACCTTTGCTAAATTAATATGTACGTTGTTATTCCGAGTCATTGCGTCATTTTGTTGATCCAAACATATTTAGTACGTTGTTAGTGTGTGTTTTTTTCTGGCCAATAAAAATGCATGCCATAATTAAAATCAATTTCTTTAATTAACAATTAGCTAAAATTTTGAAAGTGTTTGTGAGAAATTATTATTTTTAAAAATACACTTAGAAAACTAAAAGAAATAATTATTGATAGGGTTTCTGAAAAACATATTAAAAAAACTGAAATAAAAATGCACTAGGGTGAAAATGTGTAGCACAATCAGAGAAAAAAAAAATAGGATTACGTTAGCAGCAGAATAAAGACGACGTGGAAAAAAAAGTAGGGAATTGCTCTCTTCTATATCTTTTTAAAATAATAAAACGGATTCTCTCCTAAATATTCTCTAAAATAATAAAACTGTTTTAGTATGTCTTAAAGTATTGAATATTCATCATTTTAGTCTATCAGAAGAAATATTTAATAAAATTGGTGACCAATTTAAAATATATATATATATATATATATATATATATATATTTAGAAAACAATTTAGCTTGGTCTCTAAACTTTAAAAATTACTTAAGTAGTTCGTTTTACTTTAAAGATAATTAAAAAATTGGCTGTAAAAAAATTAGGGATTAAATTGATATTTTTACTCAAAATTAATTATTTCACGGATTGTCATTCAATCTTCCAATAGATGATAACAATTCAATGTTTCGAGGAGGCTTATTAAAAGAAAATAAAAAAAATATATTTATAAAGTATTGTATTTTAACCAATATATATATGACCCTCGTAAAATCAGATATATTTTAATTCTATAACCCGATTATTAATCTCGTTCACGTTCGCACGAATACAAAATTATGATTGAGAGTATTTCTTAACATTTTTTAGAATAACAATTATTTTGAGACAAGTTGGGTCATAATGCTTTTTATGATAACAGGGTCCACAAAGTTGAAGTTAGTCCAAAAGGAACCATAATCTAATAAAAATAAGGTATGACACGAAAAGGTAAGTTCCAAATCTTTTGATAATAAATTTGTACATTGAAAAAGCCCAAATGGCGGGCCGCTGCATGCCACCAACAGAAACCACATTACAAGAGCAATTGAATATATTTTTTGTAGATTCCTTAACACCTAAAGTTTCCTTGCCATCATTAGTATCCATAAAAATAATAACCATTTCAGTATGCCCAAGTGTGCTGGTGTCTGGAGAGTCTTCATTTTATCTCTATCTGTACTTGATACCATGGAGAGCAACAAATTCGAGACTCTATCATTTTGTTTTTTCTCATTTCTATAATACAGAGTTAAGAGTGTTAGCTTTCACAACAGCAAAAAATTACATTGAATCTCACAGAAAAAGCATACTCAAGGGCTGCAAATGGCTAAATGCTCAATTGTCCTGCAGAGATCCTATGATCAAATTCAAGTTGTCCCTATTCCTTCTTTTATTCACAAAGTCTCCTGTATCAATTATGTCGATAAGCTAGAGGATAAAAACACACACAATAATAATAACAATAATAAAAACAGGTAGGGAGTAGCACGTAGAATGTGAACCTGATGTTCCAAAGCACATTAACATGAATTAAATTCTCTGATGGATGATAGGCCGAGTGTTGTTCCAAAGCCATTGGTGAGCAGATCCATCCAACAATGGTGAAACCTGTGAGGTATCATAGTAGTTACAGGACAATCAATCAACAATACAAGATTATGAAACAGAAAATTGAGTGGGTTTTAGGGACCGGAGGGTGGAGGAGTAAGGGGACTAGGCAGACTGCACAAAGCAGGACTAAGGATGGTTCCTTTCGGTGGAAAGGACAGGCCAAAGAGAGAGGTTTATCAGATGAGATAAACATGAATAAAAAATAGGCATGGTACATAATGTTTACGTATTCTTAAACTGCTGAGGTGCATGGCATAAAAAATAATATTTTAAAGAAACACAAGACTAAGGATCATACAGGCAATTACAAAAAAGCAAAGCCTGACTCATGGCCTTCAAGAGAGAATACATTTGTTTAAAGATAGGGCAAAGGGGACTAAGGATAATCAAAACAACACAACAAGAAAGCCATGGAACATACTAGAAGGAATTCTAATGTACCTAAAGGAGCCAAAGCAAAGTACCTTTTCCCAGACTAGTGAGTGATAGTTGTTAAGCCAATCAATCTCAGCAGCCGATAGCAGAGACAAATCAACCAATTTAATCTGAAGGATATGCACAGGTTAGTAAAAAGTGTAATCAAGGATATATGGCTCGGAACAGAAAGTTATAAAGTTTTAACAAGACCAGATGAAAACTGAAAGCATCACTTAAAGTCCTCAGAGAATATATTTTTAAAATATGAACAAACATTCAGAATGAATGAGCAGACAATTCAAATTAATGATAAATTTCCTGAGAATACTTTCAGAAATGCAGGTATGGAGAAAATGAATTATTTATAATTTCTGGTTAGTAATTTACCTATGCTTGTCTTCTATAGGATTAATATTCTAGAGAAAAAAAATCATAAGCACTGAATTGTCCAGCATCAAATAGGCCTCAATGACCACTGACTATCCCATTTCAACTCTTAAAAGAAAGGAATTGTCACTACTACATCGGTATAGAAGCATAATTAGATAAAAATTTATGAGAGAATGAGCTATTTTACTGCCTCTTGCAATTGTACATCTTCAATGTCCTGATGTTGAACTATAAACCTACAGCAGGTATTTCATCTTTCACAAACATCAGCCAAAAAGAAAAGAAAAGAAATCTATCAACTTCAGCAACAAAAATATGGGGTAAGGACGACCAACAGGTAACAACGTACCTGAATGGGTACATATGTAAGTTTTTCAAATCCCAGGTATTCGATTCCCCCAAAACGATTTGGTGTCTCAACATTTCTTACATACAGGAGATTCTGCAAGCCAAAAGAGTATCATCATCATGCAAACCAGAATATAAAAACACAAAGAAAATGTATTTTAACAGTGAACAAGAGAAAAAGGGAATAGTGTACGACGGTATCCTAGCATTTTCTTCTCATTAATAAGTGATGGTAAGAATAATGAAATATAAAAATCTTGACTCAAGTAATCCACTGCAAGTCTCTTAAAAGACAGTCGTGATTGATGGAAGGTTATGCAAGGCATACATGAAATTGAAACTGTCACTTATAAGCGATCAAGGGAATCTGGAAAATAGTAATCAAGCTTCAAAAGATCTCAAAAGACAGCCTCTCTCATTAGAAATTTAGAATACTTGAATTCCTATACGCAACTTTCATTAGGTGTAAAGGGTGAGCTTTTTGATGGAGGTAAAATAAGTACAAGTATTAACAACACCTAATGAAACTGATTGAATTATAAACAATACAGTAAAACTAGGAGCTAAAGTTAATACTTCAAAGCATATAAGATAGCTGAAGAGAAAATTACCTCAATCCGAATACCAAAGGCATGGTCTTCATAATAGCCAGGCTCATTGCTAACTATCATGCCCTTCACTAGAGGGGTCAAATTTCCAAAACGGTGACTAATACTTTGAGGGCCTTCATGAACATTTAATGCAGCTCCAACACCATGCCCAGTCCCTGAACAGGTAACAATTAAGCACAATTGTTCAATCAATCACCATTTGGTTTTAAGAAAATATATAACATCTCTCCATCTGAAGTACGAACATACCATGCCTGTAGTCAAGTCCAACTTTCCAAAGAAAGGAACGGGCAAAAGCATCCAACACAAAACCAGGGGTATTTTCTGGGAAGACTGACTGATCAAGAGCTATATGGCCCTGTAATAAGGTATTTGGGTTTAGACAAAGAATTATTTACAAAGAAAATTACCAGGACTGAGATGTTAAACCATTAACAACAACCATTATGCATACTCTGAAAATAAAAACATGTAAATCTGTTTGATTAACACATTAACCTAGATAGCTGAATTGTGAAAAACACTAAACACAAATAAAATGCAGAAATAAACCCAGCAAAGAGGTACACAAGCAAGATACCTGCAAGACTCGAGTAAAGCATTCTTTCTCTCTTGCTGTAGGCTTGCCAAAATGAACTGTCCGAGTTATGTCAGTTGTGCCATCAACATATTGAGCACCACTATCCAATAGGAACAATTTCTTGGCATCCACAAAACTACAGCTCTCCGGTTCTGGTTTGTAGTGTATGATAGCACCATTTGGACCAGAACCTGAACCAATGAAATGAACAAACTATTGCTCAAAACAAAGAGGAATTGCACTGAAGTCTAAGAGAAGTAAAAATACATATGGAACTACCGGTAAACATAAGTACTATGAGTAATAATAGCAACGTATTTTTATAGAATTACCACACTCTGTTACATAGGATTACAATATGGTGTTCCTTTACACTTCATATTTATAGCAGCTTCTTTTTTTTTTTTTTTTAACTTTTCCTAAAATAATTGGCAGTTGAACAAATCTGTGGAAAAATTACAGCATTATGTTTTCATCTTTCTTTAACCATAATTCAATAGAATATATTAAAAGAAATTATCAGTCTACCACAGTACCACTTATTGTGTCAAAGCTAGTATCCAGGAAACCAGCTTGCTTTGAGCGAAAGTCAAGAAGTTTATCTGAAACCTCTACTTCTGTCAATGTTCTATCCTTTGTAATTTCGGTTTCTAACCAATCCCAGAACTGAGCAAGGGCAGCAGCATCCCTGGAAACAAAAAGATTATATAATTATATGTACATTAGTACATATATATGCTCGTTTGCATGCTGAAAGCATGCTTCTATTTGACGAGCACATTAGTTTAAATTAACATTCTTATCAAACACCTACAAATATCCCATTAGAGGAAGAAAAATAATGCAGCCAACCAGCTAAATGCAGCGCTCTTATTTGGAAAAGATCATTAAAATAAAGAAATTAAAACATGCAAAACCATCAACAATAATCTTAACAAAGGTAAAATAGAGTTACCTTAAATGACAATTTCGCATCCCTTCTAACTCTGATTCATTTTTTATGGCCTTCAAAAGAGAAACAGGAGAGACTTTATGGATAGCAAAGGGTACACTGGAGCATTCATTAGATGCATCAAAACCATTAGTCCTGGTTTTGTGCTTACTCTCCCGGTTCTGATAATATCTGTCGCAGGCAGCTCCATAGGCATTTACAATAGCAGCATTAACAGATGAAGTATCCAACCAAAGAGCAGCACCTTGTGCTGCCAACCTTGAAAAGAAAATCAAGCTCAGTTCGAAAAACATGATGCTACTATAAACAATTGACAAGATGAAAGATGCAGCACTAGAAAGCCACATTGGTCTCTCTACTATAATATTCTTAAACACTTCTAGTAAAACCGTGGAAAAATTGGAGGGGAATGAAGATATGGATTTTCTATAATTACCTTTCAATTTCAGATATAATTGAATTGTATGGCCTAATCTGTATTTCAGCTTTTTTCAAGTGATCCCTCACCTCTTCAGTAACTTTGGAATCATCTACAAATAATTTTGCTCCATCAATCTCCACAATCAAGTATGCATACACAACCGGTGAATGTGCAATATCACTGCCTCTCTTCAAAAGAAAAAGTCAAAATGTTACTCGCACTGAATGAAACATTAGCAAAGAAAGAACAATGAAAAAAAGGAAACCAAGTTAGTAAAGTTAGACTCAGATCCAAGCAAATTTAGTAAGATCTTGAAAGAAGTTTTACAAGGATATGTGATAGTATATACCAAACCATCAGTATATCAAGGCAAAGAAGGTGTAAAGAATTAAAGATACATTACCAAGTTCAACAACCATGCAATTTCATCAAGCATGGAGATGACAATTGCAGAAGAGCCAGCATTGACAAGTTCTGACCTCAAAGATGACAATTTCGATGCAACATCTAAACCAGCATACTTTAAGTCATGCACTCTAACTGGATTATTAGGAGGTTTGGGCCTAGATTCTTTCCAGATTTCATCCACAAGATTTGAATTGTACAAGTAAACAAGCTCATGGTCTTTCTTAGAGATAACCCCCTTAAGCTCCTCTGCAGCATCCGAAGTAAAAAGAAACTGCCTCCTTAACAATATGGAAGGGAACTTCATATTAGGAAAAGAAACCAAATAAGGGGTATGCAAGCCAAAAAGAAGGGGAAAATAGTTTTTAATATTTCAAGGTACTAAGAGAGTATAAAGATAATACATCAACAAGACATTTAGGAGTTAGATTACCAATTAGAAAAGATAAGCTAGGCTTTTTTTGGGTCAAGAATTCTCCATTATAAGAGAAGAAAATAAATAGAAAAAATAGAAAAAAAAAACTTCTCTCATAAGCTAAACTTACACATTAATTTGTATAAATTCATTCACTTAGCTTCTCTAAAATTTGATTTTAACTGGTGAATAAACTAATTTTTAGTTTATGAAAAAAAGTTTATGTCATTTTTCTTCTTATTTTCTTCTGCTATTAGTGCTTATAGGAAACTTCATCCAGACAGGACACTGCTACTTAATTGGCTATGCTGACAATGCAACATTGTTCACATGACCGGGTAATAAATAAAGACAACTTCAGTTTGTTTTGCTGAATGTTAGAACAAAGAGAAGTAAATATACATGTTGCAATAAAAATAGAAAACATTTTAGGAAATCAGCAGGCAACATTTTAGAAAACTCACGGGATCAATGCCAACTCTGCAACCCGGAGCCAAAACCTCATTGAGCCATTCACTTGCAGTTGGGACTCCTGGATTTCCTGCTCGCATGAGAATCCAATTTGAGTTCAGCTGCTTCTCCGCCTGCCCAATTATAGAAAATAAATCATAAAATTAGTTCAATTTGTTCTGGATAAGATGAAATCTGCAGCAGCTTGGAGTCCAATAAAACCTAACCTGGAGAAAATATCTGCCATCTGTCCAGAGAGCAGCTTTGTCCTTGGTAACCACAGCAGTTCCAGCACTACCAGTAAAACCTGATATGTAGGCTCTCCTTGTATAACACTTGGCAATGAACTCACTCTAACACCAAATTCAAATTATCATGTAGATACAAGTAAAGGTCTGTTTGGTTTAGAGTGATTTAGGAAGGAAGGAAATGAAACGATGAAAAACACATAAATCCAAGGGGACGTTTATTTTAACATTTTCTATTTTCATTTTCAAAGGGAAAAAAAAAAACTAAACACATGTTTGGTTAAAATTTTGAAAAACATTTTCTTTCAAAATATTTTAAAAAATGTCAAATTTAAATAAAATATTTTTTATTTTTATTTTCTGTATTCTTTGTATATTTTCATCCCGATTAACCATTAAAACCTCTCATCATTACTACCAGTCCCTCACCAAACCATCACTCGCTCCAAAACCGTTAATGGTTTCTATCACCGACTTCAAGACATTGGTGACAGTGTTTGATAAAACATCAACATCATTTAGGTGACTATAAACTCTTTTCCCGAAGCTAGTTGGTGCAAAAGTCATGTTTTCAGCACCAGGGAGGAACCTTGACATAGGTAATGTTGACTAAGGAAATACACTATATGTGGAGATAAGGGCAAGGCAAGGAGGACAAGGAGGAGTGGTGAGACAAACAAAGAAATTAAATATGAAAACAAAAAAAGTAAAACCAAACAAGTTCTCTAAATCTTAACAAATAGATAATAAAAACTACTTTCAAAAAAATGAAAATTAGAAATGAAAATAATAAATAAAATAGGCAATGCTTTCGCAACCAAACATCCCAATCTCTTCTATTGTTTGGTTGGTTTAAAAATGTGGGAGAATGGAAGAATAATATGGGACTCTCATAGATATTCTTTCATTATAAAAGTGGGAGAAAGGTAAAAAATGACTGTTCTTTTGTTAGAATGACTGAATTAACCTTTTTCATCTGTTAGATATTGTTTAGATATTATTTAATATTGTTAAGATATTGTTAGATATTAACCATAATATCAAACAATATCTTCTGTTTATTTTGTTACTTTTTTAGTTGTATCTCTCTACTATAAATAGACTACCCTATGTGTGATTTATACACAAGGGAGATTAATCTCAAACTCAATTTCTTCTATATTCAACATGATATCTAGAGCTTAAAGTTATTTTGAATTTTTTTTTTCGCCTTTGACCACTATTGAAGCCGCCACCACCGCCGCTATCGCTGTCGGTTATTTGGTAGTATGAAAGTGCATGTCTAGGAAAGTTCTGACAAGGAAAGACTTGGTATTTAAGCGCGTCCATTAGTGACCCACCTCTCTTTCCTGGGAACTTACCTGGTGTACTGGTTCACGCCGCTGTCACTATCGCCTCCGCCCTTTATGAGATCTTCCGCTCCTTTTAGTACTTCCAATTCTGTCAGTACTGCGTCTAATCCTTTCATCTACACTAACTATGTTAATGTGCACTTATCCATTGACAAGTTAACTGACCCTAATTATGCCACATGGTCATCAGACGTCAGATTATGGCTTAAGAGTCAGAAGTATCTTAATCATCTTGCCCCGAAAGCACCTACTCTCACTCCTGGTGAGGAAGACCGTTGGGACACCATTGATACTCAATTATGCGTGGTTCTCAAGAGTACTCTTGATCCTTCGTTAAAACAAATTTTTCGTTCCTACGAAACATGTGCCAAAATCTGGGAACATGCCAAGTTATTATACACCAATGATACTCAACATCTCTATAATGTCTGTTCTAAATTTGTAGATGTTATTGCCTCTAAACATCAAGATTCTATGACTGATTATATGGGCAAAATTCATGCTCTTTTTCATGAGTTCAATGAGTTATTGCCTCCTTCCCCCGACCCTGCCACCGAGATAGTACAACAATCAAAGTTCTTCATGCTAGGGGCATTACACGGACTTACTGATCAATATTCACATATTCGTGATCAGATTTTGGGTTCTCCGGTTGTCCCCACCTTGACATCGACCTGCTCCACTCTTTTGCGTATACCAGCAAAACCCAACCCTGACACACCTGCTTCTGTTAATGATTCTTCTGCATTGGTATCTCACCGTGATGATTGAACTCGTCCTCGCAAATAGGGAAAAGGGCGTCCTAAGTGTGAACATTGTGGCAAACTAGGTCACAAGATTGACCAGTGTTATGCATTACATGAGTGTGAACATTGTGGCAAACTAGGTCACAAGATTGACAAGTGTTATGCATTACATGGTCGTCCTACTCGATCTACTGTAGTTGCTCAGACTGATCTTTCCCCACCTTTATCTGCTAAGGATCCTCCTTCTTCTATTTCATCAGACACACCTGCTATGTTCAACAAATTTCTCAAATGGTATAAGGATCAACAGTCTTCTAGTTCCACTGCGTTTGTCGCACACACAGGTACATCTTTTGCTGGTCTGACCCAATCTTCTTCTGGTCCTTAGGTTTTTGATTCAGGAGCCACTGATCATATTACTGGTAACAAATCTTTGTTCTCCTCTTTATCCTCTCCTGATCATTTACCTTTTGTTACACTAACTGATGGCTCTAGAGTATCATCTCATGGTGTTGGAACTGTTAAATTTTTCCCTTCTTTAATCATTGATAATGTTCTTTATGTCCCTGGGTCTCCTTTTAACCTGTTATCCATCAGTCGTCTAATTCGTTCTCTTGATTGTATTGTTTCTTTTACCAACAATTTTGTGTGTTTACAGGACCGGAGTTCGAAACAAGTGATTGGCACAAGATGTGAGTCTCATGGTCTTTATCATCTTCGTCCCTTTACACATGTTGGTGCAGTTATAGAGTCTCCCTCTCTTCTTCATGCTCAGTTAGGTCATCCAAGTCTTGCCAAGTTACAGCAACTTGTCCCTGCCTTATCTAAATTGTCTAGTTTGGCATGTGAGTCGTGTCAATTAGGCAAGCATAGTCGTACTTCCTTTCCTCGTAGTGTCACACGTGGTGCTTCGTCCCCTTTTGCCGTGGTTCACTCTGACATTTGGGGACCTAACCGCGTTAAGTCTACTTTAGGTTTTCAATACTTTGTTACTTTCATTGATGATTATTCCAGATGTACTTGGTTATTTTTGATGAAAAATCGTTCTGAATTATTTTATATCTTTCAAACTTTTTTCAATGAAATTCAAATTCAGTTCGGTGTTTCTATTAGAGTTTTGCGCAGTGACAATGATCATGAATATCTTTCTCATTCTTTTAAACAATTCATGGCTTCTCATCGTATTTTACATCAAACTTCTTGTGCTTATACACCTCAACAAAATGGTGTAGCTGAACGTAAAAATAGACATCTTATTGAAACAACTCACATTCTTTTAATTCATGGAGAGGTTCCTCAGCATTTTTGGGGTGATGCTTTTCTTACTGCATGTTATCTTGTTAATCGCATGCCATCTTCGGTTCTAGATAATAAAATACCTCATTCCATTTTATTCCCAAATGAACCACTTCATCCCTTACCTCTAAAAGTTTTCGGGTCTACATGTTTTGTTCATAATTTTAGTTCTAGTCTTGACAAGCTTTCTCCTAGATCAGATAAATGTGTTTTCTTAGGGTTTACAAGATCACAAAAAGGATACAAATGTTTTTCTCCTTCTCTTAACCGTTATTTTGTGTCTGCAGATATCACCTTTGATGAGTTCTCTTTTTATTTTAAAAGTCAATCTTCACCTCTGTCTCCATCCAATCTTGTCAACACTCCTAGTACATTTAATGTTCCTGTTGTTTGTGACCCTCTAACTGTGTCTTCTTCACCATTAGATTCTACTCCGCAGTCAGCTTCTTCTTCACTGCCTCTTCAGGTTTATAGTTGTCGAAACCAATCACAACCACCACCATGTGACTCTACTAAAGTGTCAACTACTCTGTCTCCTCCGGATGTGACACCTGAGTCTGACCTTCTCATTGCCCTCCGAAAAGGTATCCGTTTTACACGTAATCTCTCTCCTCATTATATTGGTTTGAGTTATCATCGACTGTCATTACCTTTTTATACATGTCTTTCCTCTCTTTCTTCTGTGACCATTCCAAAAACTGTCCGTAAAGCTTTAGCCTATCCTGGTTGGCGTCAGGCCATGTTAAATGAACTAAGTGTTCTTCATAATAGTGAAACTTGGGAATTGGTCTCGTTACCGTCTGGGAAATCTGTTGTTGGTTGCAGGTGGGTGTTTGCTATCAAAGTTAGACCTGATGGTACTATTAATCGCCTCAAAGTTTGTCTTGTGGCCAAAGGTTATACTCAAACTTTTGGGTTAGATTATGGAGATACCTTTTCTCCTGTGGCAAAAATGACTTATGTTCGTTTATTTATCGCCATGGCCGCTCTTCAACAATGGCCTATTTATCAACTAGATGTTAAAAATGTTTTCCTCAATGGTGATTTGCAAGAAGAAATCTATATGGAGCAACCTCTTGGGTTTGTTGCTCAGGGAGAGTCTTCTAGGATGGTATGTCGTCTTCGCAAATCCCTATATGGCCTAAAACATTCTCCTAGGGCCTGGTTTGGAAAGTTTAGCAAGGTTGTTCAACAATTTGGTATGACTCGATGTGAAGCAGATCATTCTGTCTTTTATCAACACTCAAGTGCTGGATGTTTTACTTGATAGTATATGTTGATGACATCGTTCTTACAGGTAGTGACAATCATGGCATCTCTCAGTTGAAACAACATCTCTGTCACCATTTTCAAACCAAAGATCTTGGCAAACTTAGATATTTTTTGGGTATTGAGGTGGCACAATCCAATGATGGTATTGTTATATCTCAGAGGAAGTATGCCATGGATATTTTAGAGGAAACTGGGTTGATGAATTCAAAGTCTGTTGATACGCCCATGGATCCCAATACTAAACTTTTACCCAATCAGGGGGAGCTTATACCTGATCCTGAGCAGTATAGAAGATTGGTTGGAAAATTGAATTATCTTACAGTTACTCGTCCTGACATTTCCTTTGCAGTCAGTGTGGTAAGCCAATTTCTTAATTCCCCATGTGAAGATCATTGAAATGCAATCATTCGTATCTTAAAGTATATTAAAGGATCTCCTGGAAAAGGATTGTTATATGATTCTAATAATCATACAAGAGTTGTTTGCTACTCAGATGCTGATTGGACAGGATCTCTTTCGGATAGAAGATCTACATCTGGATATTGTGTCTCCATTGATGGTAACTTGGTCTCATGGAAAAGTAAGAAACAAAGTGTTGTGGCAAGATCTAGTGCAGAAGCAGAATATAGAGCTATGGCCTCAGCTGCTTGTGAACTTGTTTGGCTCAAGCAATTGCTTAGAGAGTTACAATTTGGAGATGTCACTCAAATGTCACTTGTGTGTGACAATCAGGCTGCTCTTCATATTAGTTCTAATCTTGTCTTTCATGAGAGGACCAAACACATTAAGATTGACTGTCATTTCATTCGAGAAAAGATTATGTCTGGAGACATCAAGACTGAGTTTGTTAACTCAAATGATCAGTTAGCAGATATTTTTACTAAATCTTTACGGGGTCCTAGAATTGATTATATTTGTAACAAGCTTGGCACATACGATTTGTATGCTCCAGACTTGAGGGGGAGTGTTAGATATTGTTTAGATATTATTTAATATTGTTAAGATATTGTTAGATATTAACCATAATATCAAACAATATCTTCTGTTTATTCTGTTACTTTCAGTTACTCTTTTAGTTGTATCTCTCTACTATAAATAGACTACCCTATGTGTGATTTATACACAAGGAAGATTAATCCCAAACTCTATTTCTTTTATATTCAACATCATCTTTCTTGAATAGGCATATGTATGTCATTTTATATCAAAGTTTTAACTTTCTTTCTAGGATAAATGACTAGCTTAGCCGCTAAAAGTGCGACAGATTGTCAATTTAGTCTCTAAAAGCAGGAAACTATAAAAGCATCCTATAATGTGAAAAATGCGTCTCAATTTAGAGAAATTATAAGGTAGTCCGGGACCATTACATGTTCTATGATCACAATCGATCTCGAAGTAACAGATATCTAAGTTTTTAAATATAGGATAACATTATTTATGATATTTAATTACATGTTATATACAGATTGGTAAGGACATAAAGAAGTGGTGGTTTAATACCACCTAATAATTTCTCCTCAGTTTGGTACTACTTATAAATTAAATTTGTTGACAATCACGCCTACATGCCACATTATCTACTTGTGAGGCAGTGATGGTGCACATATGACAATCTAGTCAATTAGACTAAAGTAAAAGTTGATTTTTTTTTGTTTTTTACTTTTTCAATACTTGTGATATGACATATAACATTTTCAATTTATTCATTAAACTTAATCATTTACTGTTATTTTGGTCCCTGAAAATACTTTCAAATTTTTAATTCAGTTCCATGTGCGTGTCAATTATGAGCAAAGATATCACCAGCTCCCCCTCCCTCATATCTTCCATTAGCAAAGACACACATTCTGTGGTTTTTCAAATTAAAAACTTGTAAAGTTAAATACAAGCAAAAGGGACATGCTTTAAAATGTCACAAGAGCATAAAATAAGTTTCAAACTAGATTTTTACTCAAATTAATAGCATATAAGTTAATACCAAGATTTCAATAGAAAATCTGGTTGAAACTTAATAAATTATTATCAAGGATGTCTTGGATTTAACCATTAACTATACTATGTAATTACTCATAATTTAGTTCCATAGTTTTATAATCAAATATATACCATGTAAAATTTTTAGTATGTTAAATATACATGTTAATTAAAAATTCGAAGGTACTTTGATAATGAAAAAAAAAAATAGCATTATATGGTTAATTTTAGGGAACAAAATCACAGTGAGTAGTTAAGCTCAAAAACTAACTAAAAATGACATGTCCTAGAAAAAGTGACAAAGTAAACTTTTAATTTAATCAAGCTTACTAGGTTGTCATGTATCATTCACTTGTAAGAGTTAACTATCACGCACAAAGGCACATTAAGTCTACAAAATCAATTCAAGGGCAAGACTAAATTGAGTTGAGACTCTTCACTTTCACAAGCTAACTTCACAGCATTCACAATTTCAGAGAAAATATTGATTACTTATCCTTCTTTGTATTAAACAATCATCTCATTTTCTATTTGTCTTTCTTTCTTTTATTTCCTTTCCTAAGTCAAACAAAGAAGTTAATTGACAGAGACATTGAAGCGAAGCAAACCTGGTGAGCGTCTTGGGAAGGGATGACGTAGGCGTCAATGTCGACTCCAGGTTTGGAGAAGAGGTGTCGGAGCGCGGTGAGCTTGGAGTCAGGTTGGGATTCGGCGAGGGGTTTTCTGATTTGGGAAGAGGGTTTCACTTTGAAGGAACTGTTGCTGCAATTGCGAATGGTTAAGGAAGGTTTATTGGATTTGAGTTTGTAGAAGATTGGGTTTGGGCGTGAGAACAAGAGAGGAAGGAGGGGAAAGAACAAAGAACGAGTTGAGAGTGAAAGCGAGGATGAAACCAGAGCTCGCTGCATCTTAAGTTGATATTTTGTGCGTTTTCGGAAGAAAAAATGGCACGCTGCAAGAGTTTATAGTCGTCACGCGATAAGGTTCTCGTTCGTTCTTAATATCAGCATCCAACTCAAACTTCAATCTTCTGACAATTTTACAAAACTAATCTTTTGAATTATTTATTTATTATTTACAATATGTACTCATCAATTTTATTTTATTTTTAAGTTTTTTCTTTTATAAATGATTAAGGTAATATATTTTTAAGATGATAATAACATTATAAATAGCTAAAATCATTAACTTTATACATAGAAAAGACAAACATTTTAGAATTCTAAAACACTAACTTTTGTTTAGAGAATATAAACTAATAATTTAGATTGTAGTATATTTCTACCCAATACTAAATCGGATAGTGTGATATTGTAATCAAATTATAACATTATAAACCATAAATAAATAAATAAAATTAAGAACTCATAAATTAGTTTAAACATAATTTTACCTGAGAACTCCATCAATTTTGCTTGAATTAGAATTTATTAGTTAAGATCAATATTTATTATATAACTACGAGCATTAAATTTTACAACATGACAAAAGCTATGTTAAACACAACATAAATAAACTTTACATTACCATTCACAACAAAATATTAAGCATAATAAGATTGGAAAATCTAATAATAATAAAATTACTTGAAAATTCTAATAAATTAATATTGTAAAAAAATTATGCACAAGAACCATGTAAAAGTTTAATTATTCGACGTATGTTTGATTACAAGAGAAAAAATGTGAGGAAAAAAATTAAATAAAATTATCATTTTAAAAATAATAAATAATCAATTCTAAATTATTTGTTTTTAGACCTATAAGAAAGTATAATTAAAAAAGAAAACACTTTTGTCTATATTTTTTCCGTATACTTCATTTATAACTTATTAAAAAATAAATAAGTGAGTGAATATTTTTTAAGGGATTTGAACTGAAAAATCATAGATTAGAAATATTGACTTAAATTATTTTTTTAAAATAAATAAACCTCGGAGTCCGAGACTCCCACTAGACACCCATCAGCAGCGCAATGATGCTGTCACCGTAACCATCACTCAAAGCTTCAAAGGTGGTTTCAACTTTCAAGCTCTGTCCATCGACCATGGCTATCATCACAGAAGAACCAGAACCAGAGCCACAGCATCAACAACCCCACAAACCCAAATCCAAACCCAAACCCAAACCCAAACCCAAACCTCCCTCTTCTCCACCACCCCCTAACAACGACAACAACCCCTTCTCTTTCTGGTTCTACTTCACTCTCTCCGTTTCCCTCCTCACTCTCTTCTTCGTCTTCACCTCTTTCCACTCTCCTCGAGATGGCAAAGCATGGTTCCTCACTCTCCCCACTTCCCTCCGTCACCACTACTCCGACGGCCGCACCATCAAGGTCCAAACTCACCCCAACGAAGCCCCCATTCAAGTCTTCACCTTTCAAGAGGGTCCCACATCGTCTGAAAACGTAGTCATTGTACATGGCCTGGGTCTTAGCTCATACTCCTACCGCCAACTTGCCAAATCTCTCGCCGCCAAGGGAGTGCACGTCACCACCGTCGACCTCCCCGGACACGGATTCTCCGACAAGTCTGTGGAGGTGTCTGTGGAGGGGGTCGACGGGGTTTTGGGGCGGTTTCAGTACGTGTACAGTGAGATTCAAGAGAAGGGTATCTTCTGGGCGTTTGATCAGATGGTGGAAACCGGTCAGATTCCGTACGAGGAGATTCAAGCGCGTATGTCGAAGAGAAAAGTGAGAAAGCCCGTTGATTTGGGTCCACAAGAGATGGGAAAAGTGTTGGGCGAAGTTATCGATTCGATGGGGCTTGCACCTGTTCACTTGGTTCTGCACGATTCCGCGTTGGGGTTGAGTGCTGATTTTGTTTCTGAGAGAGCTGAGTTGGTGAGGAGCGTGACGCTTATCGATACAGCGTCGCATGGGGCTTTTCCCCTTTGGGTTCTGGAGGTGCCTGTGGTGAGGGAAGTGGTGTTGGGTGTTTCTTTTGTGTATGCCAAGGTGGTGGATTTGTGCTGTTCCAAGAGGGCTGGTGTGGCAGATTTGGATGCGTTGAGGTTGTTGTTGAAGGGCATGGATGGGAGGAGGGCGGTTGTGAATGTAGGGAAGAGGGTGAATTCCAGCTTTGAGTTGGCAGAGTGGGGTGAGGCTTTGAAAGGTATGCCAATGCAGGTGCTGTGGTCTGCTGGCTGGTCTCAGGAATGGAGTCAGGAGGGTGACCGGGTTGCCAGTGCGCTTCCACAGGCCGGTTTTGTTACACATTCTGGAGGCCGGTGGGCTCAGGTGAGATCAAGATTTGTTGTTGCATTGGTTTCTTATTGTCATGAAGAGATTATTTGATCGGGTTGAAATGGATGATGGGATGAAATTTAAAATGGGATGGTTTACGCTACACATTAAACTAGTAGTTCAGGGATCTGAAGTTGTATTTTTTTTCTAGTTCATGAGTTGGTTATTGATATTGTTGGTAAGCCTCTATCAGTTGCTAAGTTATTTCAGTATTAGGTTTTTGCGATGTTTGTGAGTTATGACTATGCTACGTTGCTGTGTTGTGTTGATCCAAACTTTCTTGAAGAGTCTTGCTTGCTATATTTTGAATGAGATTTTTTAAATATCAAGCTGTCATCAACTATAGATGTTAACTTTTCCTGTACACCTAGTGACGAAGCTATTGGCTATGCATACATTTGAGCTGGCTTGTGTTGTTTTTTCCATGGCCAGTTTTTGTGGGTTTTTCTGATGCTGGTGCAGTGCATGAGGTTATGGTCTCTATAATAAGTCAAACGCAGTAGCTAAAGTAGTGCTCTTCTGTAAGGTTTGTTAGTGATGGCACAAGAATTCATGAATCTCGAGAAAACTATAATGATGAGATAATAAACCATTTATTGTATTTTATATGATCATCTGATAGACTGATATGCTTAAATATTGTACGTGGGTTTTACTAAATCCTAATCCGATGTGAGACATGAACCATATGCTCCAACTTAACCATCCTGGCTATGTAAACCTCTTCCATATATAAATCTGCAGTGTTTACTCTTTTGAAGCTCTGAATGAGTTCTCTATTATTTTTTCAGATATCTATCTATCATTGTAATTTGTAGAACTAATTTGTATAACGAATTTGCTTGCTGTCTGTTAGGATAGAAAAGTTTTTCCAGCAATAAGTTCCCCCTCCCCTCGTGTGTTAAGAGCTTCCCTTTTTTGTTGACTTTGGTGCATCCAAATGGTGCTATAATTGAAGAATTGTACGAGGACTTATGAATAAGCTTCATTTTTTTCCATTTGCCAATATAATTGGTTAATGAACTATATTAGTTGTGGATATTTCCTTTCGATACTGTAATGTATATAGTATGGTTCTTGATAGGAATTTAGGATCTCCTGGGGAACTAATCCGGCATAGTTTGCTTCCTGAGAGAAGCAAGGTATCACTACCAACAGACATTAAACACATAATAGTAAATTATAACGTCAAATTAAATGCAACCATTCCTTCTCTCGTGGAGATTTTCTATATGAACCTTAGTAGATTAATCCTCATTTCAAGGACGAATGACCTTGGTTCCTCTGGGAAGAGAATGTTCCAGTAGGAATTCTGAGGGATGGGGAAGAAATATGTTGTCTAGTGAATGAACCATTTTTGGGTTTGCTTGAAGATGCAATAACTAGAATCTGAAAAATCCTGCTTCCATCTCCTGCTTTTTTTCATATTTTGTCCACTCATACTATTTACTCTCTTTTTTTCTTATCACATAAATTTACCATTCTACTATCCAATATCAATGCTCTTTCCTTTCTTTTTGAAACTAATCCAATTTGATGTCATATCAGGAGGACGCAGCAGTGGAGATAGCTGACAAAATTTCTCAGTTTGTCTTGTCATTACCAAAGTCTGGTAGGAAAGTTGAGCAAGAGTCCATCCCAGAGCACATACAGAAGATGCTTGATGAAGCAAAAAGCAGTGGTCATGATCACCACCACCATCACAGTCATGATCATGGCCATGGACATGATCACTATGATGATGCTCACATCCATGGAGCCAATTATATGGACGCATATGGGCTTGGTGATGGACCTCATGGTTGGTGAAAGTGAAAACTGGATATTACTAGCTAATGTTCACACTTGCAGATAATACTCTACTTCACATTGCTCATACATTGTATTGTCCAGAAGCTGAAGCTCGTTCCATATGTAGCTTAAGCCTACATGTTGTATTTTATTTATTTTTACTGCTTTACATTTTCAAAATCTCTTAAGGGTTTCACTTGTAACAGTTGCATCATTGAGCAGCTGATAGCTCTTATGCTCTAGTTTGGAGCTAATTTTTTTGTTTTGGATTTTGGAATTTGGAATTAGTTTTTGAAGGTGTTCGGAAAGAATAGATTTTAATCCATGTACTTGAGATATTTTAGTAATTTAAATAGATGATTGTGCAATGTCTGTTATGCTAATTAAAACTCCCGTTGCAGAAAACTAAAAGTAGTAGAATGTGCAAATCTCTTTCATTTCCTTTATTGAGATATTGAAATTTCTGATGGCTAAAATCATTTTATTAAAACTGAACCTGGCTGAATAATCATAGCAGACCAGTTAGGTCTTGGAAACCTAGTATACTGGTTAAGTACATTATTGGTTATGGAAAAGTAGCATTCTCTACTGTTTTGACAGGTAATAGACATGAATATTTGAACAAATGATCAGTGATCATGGTAAAGTATAAACTTTAGGCAAAGCTTATTAATCCATGTGATAACTTTATTTAGCTGGATGTCTATGTAAAAAGAATATCCTCAGAAAGAAAGAAATAAATAAATAATAATAATCATTGATTTGTTAAAGGGAAGCATGTGAGTTGATGGTGAAAGTGCTCTTTCCACCCTAAATTTTACAATTTTCTTCTCTCTCTCTTTCTACATGGTTCTGTTCTTGATATGATATCCCTCGGTTTGGTGTAGAAAACCAGATGCTCACTGACTCATAATAATAACATGATTTCGATAATGCTTAGAAAAGCAATAGAATTATAGAAGCAATCAATTATCTTCCGGGATGCATTGTATATCTTTATTGAAAGATTGTTTTTTAATATGGAACAGAATTCCATTTATTCTAAAGATGTATTCGATAAAGTTAAATTTTATTATGAGTAATCAGAATGAATAATCCTAAATAAGTATAATTAATTTCAGATTACAATTCTAGTATATCGTTTTATAAATATTTTTTGTATTTAATAGTTTAATAATGATTGATTTTGTTCAAAGTTTAGGCTCAACTAATTTTTTGTTCTATTATAAATATAATATTTCAGTTTGTAACAACAGTGTAAAGTAATAAATTTGAATTATTTCATTCTTATTAACACCTCTTTCTTTCTGTATCATTTTCTCTTCCCTCTATTCTATCTCAGGCTTTTTTTACTATTATTTTTCATAATGTTTTAAGAATATGTAATATGAAATATTTTTAATACATTGTAAATAGTATTTGTTTAGAAAATACATGGATTTTGAAATGTAATTAGAAAAGTTGTATGAAACAATTATAAATACTCTTATCTAGTACCAACTTCAGAAAAATCCACAAATGTTACATTAATATTTTCTCAAAAGTCTATAAAATCATAAAATAAATATATTGTTTTAATAAAGTGGTGGGGGAGGGTATGAAATTAAAAGCTAATAATTGATGGTGAAAAAATGGTTAAAAAGATTATGAACATTTAAAAAAAATAAAATTAAAATGATAATAAAGATGTGGGATGTGTAAACTTAGAGTTTACAGAGAAAATGTAAAACCAGGGTTTCAGTAAGATCTAATGTTTAAGAAACACACAATTATTTAGAAGAGAGTTGATAAATAACTTTTCCCTACTGAAATCCAGAAAATTGCTTCTGACAGTATTTTTCAGAATTGAAATTTTAGCATTGTCAAAAGTCATTCTGGAAATGTTAATTCTTTTTAACTCTTTTAAGAACTACTTTCAATAATATTATGAGTAAATATATTTTTCATATGAATAGTTAATTTATTTGATATGATTAAGTGATATATATATATATATATATATATATATATATATATATTTAAAAAAAAGTTATTGAGAAGAACTTGATGACTCTGATAATAAATATATAATTCTTTTATAAAATTTATTTAGAATTAGTTATTATCTTTTATAAAATAAAATTTATCTTTAATAGTAACAATTAAAAAAATCAAATAAAATATTTTAGTTGTATTAAATACAAATATATGTAATAATTACTGTAAAAAACATATTTTACTTTATTATTTAAAAAAATCTAAAAATACTTTCCCAAAAGACTATGTTTAGAAGAAAAATATAAAATAAATGTACATTAGTAAATTTGTGAGGTGTAACAATTGTTAATAAGATTCAACTTGAAATATGTAGATATTTAAATAAATTATTTTTTTGACTCAAAAAATATTTCATAAAATATTAAAATAAATCCGCATAACTCATAACCAACACTACGTTTTTTTTCCTAAAAGGTAAATTAATTTAAAAATATCTTAACTAATATTTATTTGATAAATCATTTAGATGAGTTTAAAAAAAATCTATTGGGCCCTTTTGAATTCAGTGAGCCGAGAGCCCATCTGCAACTAAATCATCATAAAAAAAATTATAACAAAATTAATTAATCTATAACATCTTAAAAATCAACTGAATTTTGCATGAATCAATACGAAAAGATGAATAAAATTTAAATATAAAATAAATTATTAAATAATAAATTATATTAATAAAAATGAATAGAAAAACAAAAAGTACAATAACAATGAATAAGGAAAAAAAAAACATTTTGAGGTCCACTAGTACTAACGGGCCGAACCCATCAACCAACATGTTTGCTTTAAGACACATTATCTTCATAGTTCTACACCTCTTTTTTTCTTTCGTCCCTTAGGGAACATTGCCGAGAAAAGATAAATATATATATTATTATTATTTCGTATCCACTGTTTTAAAAAATTTATCAAATGAGTTTTTTGGAAAAATTTAAAAATTTAACTTTTCATAAGTTTTTTTGAAAATATTACGGGATCAACTTTTTCAAAATATTTTGAAAAAATTGTTTTATAACTTTTTCGAAAAGCTTTCAAAAAATTAATTTGAACAAAATTTTAAATGATATTTTCATCAACTTTTTTTATTCACCTTTTCATAATTTTTTTTAAAAGTGTTACAAGATCAATTTTCTAAAATATTTTCAAAAAATTGATTTCAAAAAATATCCGAAAATGTCAATCTAACTTTTTTTCAAAACCTATTTACATTAGGATAATATTTTTATTTTAGATAAATATAGGTATACCTTTGTTGGTAAAAAAAAAATTATAAAATCTGTTAACACACTACATGTGTTAAATAGGGTTGACTATTTTATTTTTTTATATATATAAATAAATATTTTAATTTATCATTACCCATCAATCTCTCTCATTGCGTTTTTTTTTCACTCCCTGTTTTTTTTTTTTTTTTGCTTTGTAATTAATCCATATATTTTTTTCAAGATCAACATTTCAAAGAAAAGTAAAAGTTATGCTTAAAGATATTGTAATGATTTAAGAAGGACAAAATCATTTATGTGATTTTAATGTCATTGTAACTTCACTAGTGAATAAAGTGAAGATACAAGAAAAATGCATATGTTAAATATTTAATCGAAACTTATGAAAATAATTACATGTTATGAATTATCTAATTTGAAAATTAAGAAAAAAATTATGTATTATGGATGGCTTAATCTATGACTTGCAAGAAATCATATTCTCAATTCCCAAAAAAATTATTTCACTTCAAAAAGATTTCAAATTCATCAATCCAAATAAATAAATATATATATATATATATTAAAATAACAACTAAATAAACTAATCAAGTCAACATAAATTTATTTAAAAAATAATTAATAAACGAGCGTAATTAAAATTAGATGACTTAATTCAAACAAGACCAAATTTAAAGTAAATAAACAATATGTTAAAATAATTTAAATAACAAAAAAACAATTAAAGAATAAGTTAACACAAAGTTAAAAGAAAATTTGTTAAGACTTAATCTCACTCTCTCTTTTACTTAAACTAGTATATTCGATTATGAAACTTTAAGTACCGAAATTTTATTATTTAGTGTTGTAGGAGTGTATTTATCGAAAGAAAAGACCACTTTAATTTTCTTTTCATTAAATTGTTCAAATATCATCAGAAGCTTATCTTTGTTATATAACTAAAATTCCGTGGACTCCAGGTAATCTAATAATACAATAATAAACAAATTAATGCTTTATTAATTACCACAAATCTTAAAAATATGATTTTGTTAGTATTATAATTATATTAAATTTGATATAATATGCTAATAAACCTTTTACATGTTAACTGACGTAAAAACAATTAATAAAAATATTGTAAAATATATTCGTATTTTTAATGACATTATCATAAAAGTAAGCTTTAAATAAGTAATAAACACATTTATATAACATAAAATAAATTAAAGTGAAATTATTTATAAATTAAATGAATTTATACGAGTTAAAAGTAAACATTTGAAAAACTATAACAAAAAACTTTTATAAATTTGTTTATGTACCATTATTACAATACATTTTCTTAATATCGATACTTTAAAAAAAAAAAACTAATGTTAATAATTGTAATTTAATATACATACATATATATATATATACATACACATATATATATATATATATATATATATATATATATATATATTAGATGTATTTGTAATACAGTTGAATTTTATATTAACAACCCATTCGAATGAAATATAAAATTTAAACATGCTTTAATTTAAATTCAATAAAATTAAATAAAACTAATTTAATATTTTATAGTTTAATATGAGAATTTTTATAAATTTTTATTATAAAATTATTATTTTTATTGTTATAAAAAATTATTAAATAAAATATATATTATAAAAATATCATACATAATTAATTAATTATATTATATGTATAATTTTGATTTATTTTTTATATTGGTATATTTAATTTAAAAAATAATATATATTTTAGATTATAAAAAAA